TACAGTGTACACAGAGTAAACCGGACTCATGTCAGTTGAATCATAACCCAAGACCAAGATCTCCTGCTAGAGTCATGAGGGACTCCTACGCCGCCGGGCAGTAGTTCTCGCCCGTCGCGACACTACTGTACAGAGTAATGCGGTTTGCGTCCAGCCGAGACATGGGCAGTCCCCGAATGTCATCCGCATGTTGACGAAGTTGATTGGCATTTCGTCTACCGGGTTGGGCTGCGGCACAGTCGAGGTACATACGGGCGGCGCTACGATGGTAGGGATCCGGCCCTGACCTGACTGCGTGGCAGCCTAGGCTGTGTCGATGGCCGATGCCTGTGATGCTAATAATACTCTGTACTAATATTATTGCGCCGGAGTTGTACCGTCGCATTCGAACCATCAATAGTGGTATGGGTTTATAGTCCCCATGCGCTATAGGGACCCATCCGGTAGTATCGCCTCCGTCGCCATCCAGCATGTGATTCCGCTAGGGATTGTGATCATGATTCATTGTTCTAGAGGCGACAGAATCGAGAATGGCGAACTTGCCCGCCAGTCTCGTTGTCAATGCATGTGTATTGTCATGAAACGCCGCTGCCTCGTCACTCGTCAGGCCGTTTTCGATCGACAGTTTGGCAGGCAAGTAATCAATAATCACAATGTGAGATTCGATTCTGCTGTGGTCGTGCTCGGTGGTGACTGGTCAGGACTTGAGAATATTCAGGTGAAGGATGACCCGGCGAGAGACCGGATTGGTTTGATATTCGACTTTCTTTCGTTTTTTTTCCCCTCTTCGGCTTTCCCGTGACCCGATCGTCTTTCTTTCTTCTTTCCGTCTCAACTCATGATGACTTCATCTTATTCGAGATCATTGATTTTGCTTTTTTTTTTTTTCTCTTCCTTTTTTTAGCCCCATCATATTCCATAGGGCTGCCCCCTCTATCCTCGCACATTGTACACCGTTTCGAGTCTGGGTTGGCAGAAGCGTAACCATGGAACGACAGACATCGTACCCCGTCGTATCCGCCAACGATTATTGACGGATGAGTTATGACCATTATCCACTTTGATTATTATTTGTCTTGCGTTCTCAAATCTTCCCCCGGTTACCGAAATGGAGAATTCCACAGCGCCAATTCCCAACCGGGGACTTAGAAGGCTAGTTTCCTACCCAGGGGGGCCGTCCGGCGCTCAGCTGGACCGGAACCTGCTCAAGGTTGGTCACTAATGCCCAACTATCACACCTTCATCCAGACTGTCGGGACCATGGTGGTATTCACGATGCAAGCATCAGACGGTGGAGGTTTGAGACTTGGGACAACTTGAGAGAGAGAGAGGGGAAGGTCCACGAACGGAACCCCGGCTTGCATGAGGCGCTTGACTTGGTCAAGTAAGAATCGCGACATTTCTTTTCTTCCCTTCTGGTTTTTTTGATTGTCTTATGCATGTTCGCTTCTGTTCGTTCTCCTTTTGGGTCTTAGCTTGTTCCCGCGGGTCTGGGTGAGGGGGTTTGGTTGGCGTTGCAGAAGTGGGAGATACTTGGTCTGTACCTCGACTGACGAGGCAATAATAGGCAGGCTGGCGATGCGCTTCCCTTATCCGCTCTTGCGCAGTAGTCCTCAAGAGTTGGTATGTACTGTAGTAACACCCTATATTGCCGCCGAGTTATTAATCTATCCGACCTTTTTTTTTTTTTTTTTTTTTTGTTCTTGCTCCGTAGCTCCGGTCCACCTCTGCGGACATGTACGTTCTGTGACTGTCCCGAATCGATGGCCTACAGGCTAGGCTAGGCTCCCAAGTGTTTCTAACGATCCCTCACCAACGTCGGCGAACTAAACTCTCTACTAGCCTCTAGCAAGTCGCAAGATGGATTTGATTGCCCCTGCTTAACCAAATCCAGCAATTGTTGACGGAGGTTCAGGACGATTGAAAAGTCCGGAGCTCCACGAATCTATTTTTTTATTTGGTTTTTATTGTTCATGTTCGGGTTATCGGCCTTAAGGATCCGTAAGATTCATATTAAACGAGCTGCGGGTTTTTTATTTTTTTATTTTTTACTTTTAACCATCTGGATCTTCTAAGATTCTAACAGTGCATTTAGGTACTGGACCGAGCCTTGCGGGCGTAACTTTTTATTTATTTATTTATTTATCTATTTATTTTGTTATTTTTTTAGGTCCTGACCTACTTACTCAGGGAAAAATTCAAATCGAAGGGGAATTAATTCAATGTGGTTTGCTGGTGGTTTTATCCGTTGCTGATTTGGAATTTTCGCACAAAGAAAAGAAAATTCGAGAGAGTTGTTACTAAGGTGACTGAGTACCACTTCTTTGTTGCTTCAAGTCGTCACAACTTTCTTTTTTCCTGTATTCTTTTGCTTTCTTCATCGGAGATCTCCGTTTCTGATGAATCCACCTGCTCCGGATGGGTGTCTCTGGTCTATCTCCACGGTCCACAAGCTGGAGATGGAATGGATTTGCAGGTTGCTGTCTTTGATGGACAGTACAGTTGCACACGACACATTACGTGGAAGTCATGGAGTGTAGTCCGGGCAGTCTGATTTCTGTAAATAATGAATAATTAATTCATTTCGCTTTGATTAATTGATTTTCGCTTTCGCCGCGCACCTCACCTAAGTGGAGATTTGTTTCATCACTCCACAAGGCACCGACTGGACTGGACTTCCGGAGTACAACAGCACAGTAGACGGAGGATGTGATGACTGACTCGTGTGACTGGCAGATGAAGAATAATTATAGGTACGTGCAAGAAGACAAGAAATAGACAACGGTATCATCTTCATCTTCATTTTCATACTCCGTAAAACATATAAAGAAGACACAGCAATCTTCAGGTGCAAGCACCTGAAGATAACTAACTATGAAATGTAGTCAGCCCTGACTAAGTCGGCGGCTCCGGTGACCGATCTCCACGTCCGACAAGTCGGCTCCGCCTTCCCGTCTGTGCCGTTGCCGTCCCTGTCGATGAAAGATTGTATGTACAGTTACTGAGTACGGAGGAGGACAGGTGTACTCGAACTAACTAACCTCATATCGAACCTCCTAGATTCTCTTCCTCATATAGGAATTAGCTCCTGCTCCTCCTCGTATGTCTTATCGCCATTGTCTCGGAGAATAGAACGCGAGCCTAAAAATAACGACGAAGATGTACACTAAAAAGTACGGACCTTCGGGGTCTTCGTATTGACCATTGACCAGTGACTAGTTATTGTGTGCATACTGCATAGAAACTAGAAAGATAGAGAAAAGCAGAACAAAAGTTAGCCGGCCGAAGACAGACAGAAGGAATATTGTCATTATGAGGTCAGATAAACTAAATTAAAACAGAAAATGTCGGAGTCTCAGAACTGTCCGCGATTTCGAGGCCGAGACTTACTGCTTTGGGATTAGTCTCGGGTGTAGGAGTTGCTGGTATTGGTTTCGTATTGTTTTGTTTCGTACGCGTCCTTCGCTGCCGTCTACGTATACTGTATGGCTTCGTTACGAGTGTTTATCCAGGTTCCCCTTTATGAAGTATCTGGAGATTGTCGATCTGTATACTGCTCATCAGAAGGGGAAAGCACGAGGCAGTATGGGTAGAGCATGTGCATACAAGCCTGTCGTTGAAGATACAGGTGAGTCTTCTATCTCCAGAAGTATCAAGGTCACCGGAGTGACGCTTCTCTTTACTGCTATCTCCCAGCTAACCTGTAGATTTACAAGTATATTCTCTGGGGAATACATACATGCAAGAACCATCACCAGATAAAACATATGGATTGGATGAGTTCCGTTCTACCAAACAACTACCGTGCAGTCGTCGCAAGGCCCTCCCAACAAGTCGATTTTGATATCACGCCGAGAGTAAAAAGGTTGCCATCGACTGATCAAGACTGAGCAACTGAGAATGGTGAATTTCATGCGGTGTACAGAGCAGCATAGTCGGGTAGGTTTGAAAAATTTCTCTGGTCTCGTAGGCTATCACGTTTCCTCGTGTCGTGAGGACCTACCTACCTGCTCAGCCGGCCCTTAGATTCTTCCATTGACCTTGAGCCGGACATCATCGAAGAAGTGGGATTCCCTGCAATGCGGCGCGAGATCATACCTATGTTAGAGGACCCAAAGCGCTCGAGGACCAAGGGAATGACGAATCATGAGTTAGCAAGATGATAAAGAGAAACGAGCACGGCAGAAGAAATCACCTGGAGGAGTCGATTACAACGAGCCATCCTCCTCTCGATCCTCAATTATCCTCACCCGGCCACCTGCAAACACGGCACGGCCGGCGCTTTCTGACTGAATAGCAAAAAGAGAACCCGATGGATCTTGTCTCGATCGCAAAGTCTCTATCAGATCGTTATCATTCCAATGCTTCGGCGTCGTCGCGGACTGTCCATGACGAACAGAGCTGTCAAGTGTATTTCTTGGGTTAGATGCTGGATCCTGGATAATGAAGCTTGCAGAAGGTACCATACTTAGCTCCTCGGGTCAGGTCGATGTTTGTGAGAAAGATGGAGGCTCTGGTTCTTGGTATGACGTGGTGTCTTTCCCGTCACTAAACGACCTAGGTAGATTCTTTAGACTCTTCTACGTAGGTCCAAGATACTTCCTCCGTCCGGCCTTCTTTCTCTGCACTGATCGTGTACTAGAAGAAGAAAGTGTTGAACAGATATGAACCATCCTTGAGGGCGAGAAGGAGGCTCTATTGTTTCCTTTTCTTCTGTAAGGTGGTTATGGCTGTAGGTTATAGCTCCTTACAATAGAAAAAAAATGGGTTTCCAATAATTCATATTCCATGCAACTGCATGCCTGTCATAACGGACAAATGGCCTCAATATCCTTTCATCGGGCAAGGGCTTAACCACAGGGCAAGTAAAGTGCACACAATAAAAGAAACCTCACCGGCCGATCAATACCATCCTGTTCAATCCGCCACACGGTTGACTTCTGTCAATAACCGTCAAAGTTGCCATCTCAACCACTTGTACATCGCAAACGGAGTGGCATTCAGTCAACGTGCATCCCAGTAGCGAGATCGCAGCTGGATAAAGGAGCACAAGTCAGTCATCGGTCATATCAAAGAAGAAGGAATACTTACGGGTCACTGCCATACTGCACATTGCATTGCTCCCAGTCGGCATCACGAATGATCGCAGCGCGGAAGCGCACCGCATCTTCGATGGTACAGAAGCGGAAGGATGCACTTCTTGCCTGTGATAATGGATTAGCACTCACTGACCGGTAGGCCACAGGCCTCTTATCAATAGAAACACTCACTTCACCGGGGACCCAACTGTCAACGATCTTCTCGATTTTGCGATTCTGGGAAGTGGATAGACGAATCATCTGATTCATGTTCACATCTGCATCGACACCCACGGCACGGACGACGCGAGTTGCACCGACAGAGAGATTGAAGGACAGCTGAGAGCTGACCACGTCCACCTCCTTACCCAACTCGACAAAGGCGGTGACCTTGCGACTCTTGTCCAGGTCAATGCCATTAGGGTATTTGTCATAGAATGCCTGGCACGCATCTGCATCACAGAAGCGAACCTGAGCGGTACCCATGGGAGAAACGTGAACGTTTTCGATAAGGCCTCCATGGACGAGCGACAACACCTTAGCGGGGGTAGTCCAGGTGGACGGCAATCCTCTGATTATGACAGTTCTCACACGCGCAGCTGGCAAACGCGGTAGTTAGTTTCAATGCCGGCAGATGGTCACTTCAGAAGAGGGTCTAGGCTAGGCTTGCTCTTACCAGGCTTTGCACGGGCAGCGGGAGTACCCCAGGTCTCAAAGGTTGTGAGGTTCTCACGGTCTTCTTCCTGGTCGGGATGTTCCACCAAGGCTCCAGCCTCGGTGAAGGAGCAGGCACCATTCGAGACGGATGCGATTTCATGTTTGGGGGTTTCTGCTATTGAGTGAAATTTGGTATCAGCGCGAGTCGATGAAGAAAAGCAGGACAGGAAGCAAGGCAGAAAGACAGACAGAAGAGGAGGTAAGGAAGGAAGGAAGGAAGGAAAGGAAAGGAACACTTACCAACAGAGCCAGCCCCATTGGCAATAGACACTGATTCGGCATCATCTGCGTCAACTGCAACGACAGAAGCGCTGGTCGAAGCACAAGTAAATTCATTCACGCTCTTCCAGGCGTCGTCCTGCTCACCGGCAGCTTCTTCCGCAGCAACAGTAGAAGTGGTAAGATCAGAAGTGTAACTAGGCTGGCTTAGCATGAAAGTACGAGCCGCCGCCATAAAGCCAGCAGTGTCGTCAACGTCCGCGGTAGAAGACATCTTGCTAGACTCTTTCTCCTGGACAACGTTGCTCTGGTTGGCCGTGTCCTGAACAGTAGAGACCTGCGCTGTTGGGATGTTAGAGAGACCCAAGCAACAGTGTCACCTATCTTACTGGAGGAAATGTGGGCTACTTGGTGCTGAGTTGCAGGTGCAGAGACAGAGAATCTCTCACAAGTGGTCACAGTATTTTTGAACGCAGAGAACCCCTTATTTTCAGAGATGATCTCAGTCTTTTGCAGATTAGTAGAAGCCTTGACTGCACCGGAGTGAGAAAGGGGGATGCCCTTCCTGTCACGAGGGACCACGGGTTTGTCTTGGGCAAGGGAGGCGTGAATAGAAGGCGAAAGAGAAGTAAATAGAGACTTGAAGAAATCGAGGGAGTAGGGAAAGATGGACGGTGAGAGATGGACGGTGAGAGATGGGCGGGGGAGAGATGAAAGAAGAAAGAGATGATATAAGAGAGGTGGAAGGAGCAAGAGAGGGAGAGGAAGATGGACAGAGGGAGAAGAGTGAATGTGAAGGAGGATGAAGAAGAAGAAGGAAAAAGGGTAAACAGAGGGAAGTGGAAGAAGAGGGAGGACTCACCTGAGCGAGCTCGGCATTTTTCGCCCTCACGTACTGGATGAGCGCCATAAGAGACACGCAAACCCTAAGCCCCCCAATAAAGAGGAAAGCACCCAGCTCTATCAGCGAGAGATACAGGAAGGTAATCAACATGACGATTCAAGAAATAAACAGACGGACAGGAAACTGAAAAATAGATAGGACAATGGAGAACGGAGGGAAATGAGTCGAAGCGATTCGGAAGAAGCGAGAGGAGGGAAAGACTACGGTTGCTAAGATGAAGGAAGGCACACGATGCAACTGCGATTGGTAGTGAATGGCCAGGCCCTTACTATATACGGCTGCCCTGGAATCCTTGGTTGGTCCAGAAAACAGACCACAGAAACAAAGTCTATGTACAGAAAGATATGCCTTGCTCAACTTGGTAGTGGGATCGTTTCCCATCCTTTCTGGCCTTCTTCGCGATCCTCGACAATGACCTGAAGCCCTGGTCGTTCACAGTAGCTGCCCCGGTCGACGATCTGCTCGACCATCCGAAAAGACCCGCCATCTTCCTCGTTGTCATCGGGCACCCAGATGGTCCGCTCGACCCGTTGGCCTGGGATTTCCGTCCGGCGAGGGTTGACCCAGGGGAGGCCGACGAGGTGGTTACCAATATTGTGGATGAAACTGTAGAGTTTCTCAAACCGACGGGTTGTTCCTAGCCAGGAAAGCGTGCGAGAGTCGTAAGCTACACGCACAAATGGGTTCAAGTAAATCCCCGAGTCAGTGATCTCATCCACATTCAGGTGAGGTTGTTGGATATCAGCGTGGACGAGGCAGCACTCCGAGGCTTCCCAAAACGCATCCTGCGAAGCACGGAATCGGACCGGAAGGTCTTCAGGGCTAGACGACTGTTCCGTGGCCAAGGCCCTCGTTCCCGTCGTAGGCTTCGTCGCATGCTGGAAATATCGTGCATCAAATGCCACCGCGCCTCCCCAGCAGCTTCGGACCCGGACAGCATCTTTCCCTGCGAGCACATCCTGACGACTTAGTCCTTCCCCGGAAGTGGTAAACCAAGGGAAGAATGGCAGGCCCATGCTGTAACCCTGGAGGTCCCGCGTGGCGTAGGTGTCATAGAATTTGAACGGGTTGTCGAAATCGGTAGCGCAAGCGGCCCGGTAACGGGCAATGCCATCATCTCCCACGTTCGTTGAGAACAGAAGCTGAACTATATCAATAGGGTCAAAGATGATGTCATTCAAAACAAGAAGCTTGTCATAGCGGATTTCGGGGTTATCGTCCAACGGTCGTAGGGCTCGGTTCCGGACCTCAGCCAAGTATTCGACCCTGACTACACGCTTCGATCCCCCTGGAACCGATACACGCGGCAGCCTTTCCAGATCCAGATGTTCTTCGAACACAATTGACTTGTTACAGGGCACTTGCCCCTCCAGCTCCTGCAGCGCGTTCTTTCCCTCCGGTCCGCTGTCGTTTTCATAGATACTCAAAAAGACATGATCCTTTCCAAGAATATCGATCAACTCAAGTACCCTGGAGCCCCATGGTCCTCGCGCGAGTTCCCCGTCCCGATCATACAAGCTAGCCGCAATAAAAACTCGCTCGTTCCGAAGGTTTCCTCGACCCGAGATCTTGGACTGCGATATGCCATCTTGAAGTGTTGAATAATGGGAAGGTGGGCGAGTGTAGGACGGCCGGAAAATCGATGTCAGGACGACAAGGGCAAGAATGATCCCTGCGACGGTATGGAGGTAGAAGCAAGAACGACGGAGCAGGAGGCGGCGATAACACCCGGGTCGGGAGGAGGTCAAGAACAACGGCCGGGAAGGTTTTAGACGACGATATCCTGAGTATGTGGAAGCAAAAAGCCTCGAAAGTAAGGGTACTCTGCGCAAGAGTCGTCGAGGTCTCGGCGGTACCTGCGACTCAAAGTCCGCTTCGTCGAGATTGAAGGTCCCCTGAGAGTCGATTGACGATCGAACTTCGAGCTCATACTCATCCGGATGAAGGAGGCGGGCGGACATAACGAACGTTCATCACCATTGAGATATAATTAGACGCCCATACCATCCCAGAAAGATAGGTTACCGACCAGGGGAGTGGGATGGAGGGCACAATCGCGATGTCGGCGATCGAACACAAGCTTCGAAGCTCGAGACCGAACGGGGCTTATGTCAGCGGAGAGCGCCAAGACTGAGCATAACTACTACTACTACAACTACTTAGTAGTTCTCCAGTACTAACTACTACTCCGTACTATGCATGGAGTCAAGCCGACAGCCTGTCTAGCTGCAGTGATAAGACGGGCCATTCTCGTCGAGAATTCCAGACCATGGCGCCATCACCCTAGTACTTATCGTCCTCCGAGAATGACTCCGGAAGACCCCGCCGAGTCAAGGTTGTCATCGCCAAACCGGTGGACGGTGGACCTTCCCCCTCCTCCCCCCAGAAGTGACGTAGCTTAAACTCCCCCCAAACCCGACTTGACCTTTCCGTCCGCAACCTTTCCCTTCCTCTAACTCTGTCCTGCTCTCTTACACTGTATACTCGTCTTGTTGTTCTCTCCCTAAACGAATTGTCCTTCGCTCCCACGGCTTCTCATCATATTCGGTGCTCAATCCCGCAGAGCCTGTAAAAACTCTCCCATCGTACATATATATAAGTTCTTCGAACAACGTGCTACACATTCCCATCATGGCGAAATTCGTCTTTGCCAATTCGTCACAAAAGGTCCCCGGAGACGGCATTCTCCCCGCCCAGTTCACCATCAAAGCAGGCCCGGAGACCGACGCCTGGGCTAAGCCTCCGTCCACGGAGTCGTTCAATGCGCCTATCCTATACCGAAGTATTCCCTTGGCCTCCTTCAAGCGGGTCCGAGTCGCTTTCAACGCCCTGTGGCAGCATAAATACGACCAGGGTGGTCTCATCCTCGTCCTGAACGGTGCCGACGGGTCTCGCAAATGGGTCAAGACCGGTATCGAGTTCACACACGGTCGGCCCCATCTCAGTACCGTCTCCAAGGACCGCTGGGCGGACTGGAGTCTGCAGGCCGTTCCGTCGGGTGGAGGTGCGGCGACACTGGAGCTGGTCAGAGAATCGGACAACAGCTTGTGGATCTACCTGGTCGAGGGCATTCAGAAGGCTCCCCTCCGCGAAGTGACCTGGGTCTTTCAGGAGCAGAACGTGAAGGATCTCTGGGTTGGACTTTATGCAGCAAGACCGGGCAAAGAGGGAGGCGAACTAGATGTGAACTTTGGCCATCTGATTGTGGACACGGCCGAATAAATAGACGAGATGGCGACGCCGACATGAACAATCAGTTATGACCATCCTGTATTGCTGAATTTCTTTTTATTTTTTCCGGGGGCATGTGTTCATTTGAACAAAGCTACGAGCCTACGTTAGACCGGCTGCTTGGGACGGTGCATGTTAGCAGCGAGAAAATAGGAACAGAATGAAGATGCCGAACCTAGACATTGCAGACTTCAAATCAGAGCCTTCAATGAGTGCATGAGTACACATACTCCGATGTAGTTCAAGTATCTCAAACCCCCCTTCAGCTGACTGGGTATAGACCGTAGAGCCCCTCAGTCTTTCCCCGCACCGGACAAATTGGGATGCCTCAGGTTGCACCCGCCCGCTTTGGCCTCCCGCGTTCGCATGGAGATGTTTTTTGCATTGCATTGCATTGCAGATGCTGGATGCTGAATGCTAACTCCTCGGTTCACGTACTGGATATGGATATCTGTCCAAGGGAGCTATCATGTTGATTGTATGGGCCAATTTGGCCATACCGGGAGCCATCGGTGGATATGGCAGTAGACACTTCGAGTTCGACATGTTTGCAGGGGTTTAACTACCACTAGTCATGCTCGGGTTGCATCAAATGATCAAGTTAGTTGATCCTGTATGCGAGTTAATATACTGGGCTAGCTATCTCCCCACTGCTGAATGGGTCACAGGCCTTATCAATCGATGCATTTCGTTCTTGGTAACAACAATGGCTTGCGTGGGCATGGCTTACCTCTCGTACTGTTGCTACGAGATTATTAGGACTCAAAGAAAGTGAACCATCATGTTATTCTACTCAAGCTAGTTCACTTGGTCACGGAGGACTGATATACTGTACACACAATGATAATGCATGGCTGGGCTTTTCGTGAACTCTCTATGTATAACCAACAACACGAGGAGCTTTCCACAGCAGCCGAAGACCAGAAGATTACAATGCAATACTATTTTTTTCAGTCCACAGCCCCTTTATTCTTATCTTCTTCATTACTCTGTCCTAAGGGCATAGGTGGAGGGGCATAAAACGCTTTTGTTTCACCTGTTTGTCTCCGGAGCTGCCTTATCTCCACTTTGCTCCATAATCACGGCATATCCGTCATGACACCGACGATTATTTACCAGAACGGTGAGTTGAGGTCGCTTCCCGGTCCACCCGGAGAGAATTTCATTGAAATTTGATGTTTGATACTCTGTGTCATCCACAGGTTCTTAGTTTGCTTAGAGGGGCAGCAAGAACAGCCCCGGGAACGTTTGCTATTGGCAATAATACTATGAGAACAGCAAGCCAATGCGCTTCTCACCAGGTTGGTGAAACACACGGAATATAAATCCAGTCAAGGAGGTTGATTCAGATGGTCCTTCGGTTTTTCCAGGATAAAAAGCCCCGCCGTACGCGCTCAGGTCCGACCAGCGAGATCATTCGGAAGATTGTTGTCCATGCTCCACACACCGGGAATTACCCGATCGATGAGACGATCGATATTCGATACATGGATTATGATGAGGTTATTCTTTGTCAAGGATCTAGGAAAATCGTGGAAGACAGACAGACAGCAAAAGGATTGGGAGATGAAACCCCTTAGCGAGTGAAGGATGAAGAAGTAAGGGGCACGCCAAAAGCCGGCGATACGTTCGTCGCGTCCATCTATTCCCGAAAGGGAATGTTTTATATCCTCCGGAATTCTGGTGTCACCTATGAGAAGACGAGTTGTTGGTCAGGCTCCTATGAAAGCGCCGTCTCGAGCTACTACGGAGTACGCCGTGCTTGGCCAGCAAACCTGGCAAAACCCACCTGCCCACGCGGACTTCTAGTGCGACTTTGAGATTTGAAAGCCCAACGCGTGATGAACTAAAAAGGGCCGAGTGGAGTGGACTCAGTCGGGGAAATGGAAGTGACCAAACAGGGAGCTACTACTCCGTAGTTACTCCATACTAAAATTCTCGATTTCTCACCAGGCGGCAGTCGCGGTTTTGTCCCTCAGTGGACGAAGATATCTTTAATGGACACCCGGGGAGTCATAGACAGCGCCATTAATATTACTCAGACTGACTCATACCGGTCGTCGAATTATCCTGACGGAGGGGCGATAAATTAGGAACACGAACATCTGCCTGAGTTAAGTGGATGTGGATGGAGCGGTACAACCCGAAGACAACAAGGCCGGCCAGGGTGTCTTCCCCAATCATGCGACGATGGGACTGCGGGCTTTTTCTTGAGTAGGGGTGGTGCGCTGAGCCGACAAGGCCGTGGAATCAACGGTGTTTAAGACGAGCATTCCTGGGAATCGACCCGCGGTGAAAGTCTATACTTCTGGAATGTAAGGGGAAGGCATGAGGCGAACCTGCATTCTTTGACCAAACAGGTTCATCAGATTGGCCAACAGCGCGTAGAATGAACCCATATAAACGTGTATACGGAGTATATATAGCCAGAGGAGTAGACTTCAAGCCACCAGGTGAAGAACAATGGCGAGGATACAAGAATAAAGAGCGTGGAAGGTCATCCGTAGTTGCCGACCCGATCCGACCGCCCAGGTGATCTTATCATATCTGATGCTCTTCCGGCCTGAACAACCCTTGTCTTTGCCACTTCCCTCCCCACCATCTCGTCTCGCTCTGTACCTCCCCTGGTCATTGCTCCATCTTTGCCAACCTGAACTAAGCCACGCGCGACTTTCTTACTTGCTGGCCTACCTACCTTTATTTCCATGGTCGATCAGGGGACAATTCGCCTGCCTTTCGCTCCCGACCTCTTCCATCTTCCCTTCCCCGCGTGCTGAAAAGAGAGAGAGAAAAAAAAGAGGCGTCCATGCGCCCACGCTTGAATGATAAGCTTCGCACCGGTCCAAACCTGCTTGACGCGAGGCGTTCACGATAGAAAGACGGAGTCAATCGACAGCAGAATAGTTCCTCACGTGTCTACAAGAACAAGCGCTTTCCTACCCATTTTTCGGTGCGCAGGGCACCACACTGCCTGTTTGGGCCTCGGGCGTCAGCCCATAGGCTAAACCGGTGGCCCCTCCCACGTCGCCGTGCATAAGTGCAGCCTGACGATCGTATCCATTGGTTTGCATCACGCCGGGGTTCGAGTCCTTGGACTCGAATCTCTGCCTCCTTTGTACGACAGATCTAACGATCCGCGTCCGCATGTTGCCTTCTGGGATTCGGTTACCTAAACCTTGACTACCAACAGCCGACGCCTGACGTCTCACATAGGCGTCCTTCAGCTTCGATTGATTTTTTCTCCTTTTCTTTTTCTCGTTCTTTATTTGCTTTTTCTTCTCTTCTTACCTTTCTAAGATACCCCTTTCTCATCTGGTGGATCTGGCTGGCTCAGATCATTCTTCCCCGTCCACGTCCGCCTACACCACCTGTCGTACACCTTTCCATCCTCGAACCTACATCGGTTGTCATACTTTCGAACTGCTCACGGCTTCAGCATACCATAACCTACCTACCGTTACGATATATTTCGATAAATGGACATTGCTCTAAATCGAGCCTTCCAGCGCGGTATATCATCGATTATCCCGGCACAGCCGCAATGCCCTTGCTTGATACCAATTCAGGACCTTCATATGGCACCATCGATCGAATGAATAATCACGGCGAGGAAGAAGGAGAACGTCTCCTTCAGGCGGGTTACGAAAGCGAAGGAAATGGCAGCACGATAACTTCGTCGGAGGATTCGGTTCAGGAAGGCGTTCGAAAAATCGAGGCGATCAACCTCACATGGACTACAAAGTCGCTGGTCGTTGCTTATATCAGGTTCGTTGGTGCGACGAAGATATGTCTTTGCTATCACGAAGCATGCTAACTAGCCTTCAGCATTTTCCTCATGGCGTTTTGCACGTCTCTGGAGGGCCAGACCACCATGTCGCTCTCGGCCTATGCGACTAGCGCATTTAGTAAACACTCGTTGATTTCAACCGTCCTTGTTGTTCAGAACGTGGTCAATGGTGGGTTTCATCCTTATGCGCGGCGCGGACCCTCGGTATCATGAAGACTAACATTATCTAGCCGTTATCAAACCCCCGATGGCTAAAGTAGCCGATGTCTTCGGTCGCTTTGAGGCGTTCTGCGTCTGCATCTTGATCTACATTCTAGGATATATTCAAATGGCCGCTTCGAACAACGTGCAGGCATATGCGTCGGCTCAGATCTTCTACGCGGCCGGGTCGACGGGCTTGCAAATACTTCAACAGGTCTTCATTGCAGATAGCAGTAGCCTGCTGAACAGAGCATTCTTGGCCCTTCTCCCCGAGTTTCCTTTTCTGGTCACCGTATGGATAGGTCCAATGATCGCCGATGCGGTTCTCCAAAACCTGTCATGGCGCTGGGGTTACGGGATGTGGTCGATCATCTTGCCAGCGTCATTCCTTCCCTTGGCGCTCTCGTTGCTGTTAAACCAACGCAAGGCCAGGAGACTCAATCTCATCAAACCCAGAAAGATCCGTCGCCTTGGCTTTTTCGCTGCCGCTCGACGTACCTGGTACGATCTCGATATGTTTGGCTTGATGCTTTTGTCGGCGGCAGTGACGCTCATTCTGGTGCCGCTGACGCTGGCTGCCAATGCCAAAAATGGCTGGAAGAACAACAGTATCATGGCAATGATTGGGGTCGGCGTAGTCTGTCTTCTGGCGTTGCCGGTGTGGGAAACGTCCAAGAGACTTGCTCCCAAGCCTCTCTTGTCGCTGCATCTCCTGAAGCAACGTACCGCTCTTGCCGGCTGTGCTCTCGCCTTCTGGTACTTTAGTAAGCTGATTCTCTGACGATCATTCGGCGAAATTCGTGTTACTGACTGCCTCCAGTGGCTTTCTATTTCTCGGTTCAACCGTACCTTTACTCCTACCTTCAAGTTGTCCAGGGATACGAGGTCTCCACGGCCGGCCGCGTTACCCAGACATTTGCATTCACCTCAACCATCGCGGCCTTCGGCGTGTCGATGCTGATTAAATTCACGCGGCGCTATCGCGTTTATGTGGTCATCGGATGTGTGATATACATTTCTGGTATTGTGCTGATGATGCTGTACCGCAAGGAAGGCAGTTCGCTCACTCAGATACTGGGGACGCAAATCGTGATCGGCATAGGAGGCGGACTGCTCAATGTCCCCGTTCAGTTGGGTGTTCAGGCATCGGCGAGCCATCAAGAAGTTGCCGCTGCCACAGCCATGTTCCTGACGTGTATGGAACTCGGCGGAGCGGTTGGTGCGGCCATTTCTGGGGCCGTTTGGACACATAACCTGCCTCGGAAGCTGCAGCTGTATCTGCCAGACGAGAACAAGGGAGACGCCAAAGCGATTTTTGGGAAGTTGACCAAGGCGCTAGAATATCCGATGGGATCGCCTGCCCGAGTTGGCATCAATCGGGCCTACCAGGAGACCATGAACAAATTGTTGGTGCTGGCTTTTGTGGTGACCATCCCGCTGATCCCGTTGAGTCTGATGATGGAGAATTACAATCTCGATAAGGTGAATTCCCTCTCTCCTTCGCACCCGTGATCTGCCGCGACGGGCGGCTAATTCAAGCAGATGAGCTCGTCCGACCATGAACCGGTCCCTGTGGACGACGACGCCGAACCCGAGCCTGAAGGGCACGGGAAACGAACGTGAGCGTGTTGCGAGATTTGTCCGACGATGTTTCATATGGAGCCGGTCTCCTTGCCCAGCCGACGTTTCGAATTGAAATGGCCATTGATTGATTTCGCCGGTTTTCTTTCAGGACGGAATGACTCCTTACCATTGACTCCGTCCCTGCAGGCCTGCTTGCCAGGACCTATATACCATGTACTCTTTGCAAATTCTCCGATGCCTGATATGATATCTTGTTGGTTGAGGCAGGGTGTGTACAGCGGCACATGTTCAAAACTATACCTTCGGGGGGCTTATATAGACCTCTGGATTACGACTAGACATAGACGAAATGAATGAACGGGGCGTTATTTATTGTTATGACTGTTCGTATTGCACCTGGATCCCTGCCGAGTGTCATTAAACGTTGACAGTCTCGGGGATCGCGGCTTCTGGCGCTGGTGAAACTTTAGCGGCGACTTCAATAGTTAGTATAGCTGAGTCAGCCGAGAATGACGATATCCTAGAGTTCTTTCCCTGCAGTCCGAGCAAACATTTAAAATTAGAATTGAAATTAAAATTAAACAGACAATCAATTCAAATAAAAAAAAAAGATGACCGTAATGCGCGAGACAACAAAGCACCGTTGGCCAGCGACGGCGGCAAAGCAGGCCTCGACATCGACCGCCCCGACTCGAGGGGGGTTGATTGGGTCCATTCTTGCGATTTCTACCTGAGTCGAGCTCCCTCTTCTGTCTTTCTTTTCCCCCCAGAACTGGTTTCCTTCTCGTCCGTGACTTTCTCACCCGTCATCTCTGAAAGAAGAGCCGGTCGGAACTTGTTTGCCGTGTCCCCCCAAATTCTTTCTTAAGAGCATCATTGTTAGTACGTCTCAACTCCTCGAGTCTCCAACCGACCCCTTTCCTCAAGGTGACCGTCGGATCGACAGATCCTAATATTTAAATCAGAAAGATCATCATATATTTCATCACATTTATTTATTGAGTTCTGAGTCTTCAGAAAGAACGACACGAGGGTGGATCATCTAGGTAGATCGATCGAGTGATTGATTGACGATACGATTACTACAATACTACTGTGAGATTATCACAGTAGCCATCTTCAGAATAAGAAAAAAGATCCAAAGGTTCGTCCTTGCTCTGCTGTTTCTTTCATTTCAAACGACACTGGGGAGAAAAAAGGACTCCAGTAAAAGCGAACGTGCTAGTCGCAAAAGCGTCTAGACAATCAAGACCGACATGGGCTAACGGTGCGGGTTGCCCCATCCATTGCAGCTTTCTTTCTTCTCTTGCTGGCCTAGTCCAGTCCCCTGTGCTCCTATCGTCCTCCACCTCTGCCTCCCACATTGGCTGGCCCTTTCACCGTCGACGCTTTCACCGCACACCAACCACTGCGACCTCTGGCGACCGCTCCCATCCAAACGCCTCTCCTCCATCCCTCTCTGTTTCTTTCTCCTTCCTCAACTCTTCTCCTCTCTCGGGATCCGATCATCCCCCTCCCCTCCTCTGAACCCCCCTCCCTCCCTATCACAATCTCCCCCCTTCTCTTTGTTCACCGCATCTTTCCTCCTTTCCCTCTCGTTGCTTTGGGTGGTCTAGACGGACAACCTTGAACCTTCGATAATCTGCACTGTATCCTCTGCAGAGCCTCCAGGTAACTCCGGATCTCCATCATGGTCGTCGCCACTATTAAGTATGCTTTTCCTCTCTTTCTCGGTCGAATTGCCTCCATTATCCTTCCCCCCCCCCCCATTTCCCCGCGGTCGAATAACAACCCCCCTCCCTCTCCTTTCTCTGGTCGGGTGACCGGTCTTATCTATCGGCGGATTGCTAATCATTCATTCTCTTCCTTCCAGATGCGTTGTCGTCGGTGATGGTGCTGTGGGAAAGACATGTCTTCTGATATCCTACACGACAAACAAATTCCCCTCCGAATATGTTCCCACCGTTTTTGATAATTATGCCGTCACTGTTATGTAAGTTGAGGCCCGTCTTCGAACATCGTCGGACACGCACTGCAAAACTTCCTCCCTTGCGAATTCCTCTGCCCTGCAGCTGGCTCCCGATATATCCTCCCACCCGCATCGCTGGATTCATCAACTTGATCCGACCGTACATCTGTCACCGTTCGATCCTTTGACTGACTCGAGCTTACCCCCTCAGGATCGGCGATGAACCGTATACGCTGGGACTTTTCGATACTGCTGGACAGGAGGATTATGACCGTCTCCGCCCTCTTTCATACCCCCAGACCGATGTCTTTTTGGTCTGCTTCTCCGTGACTTCCCCCGCCTCCTTTGAGAACGTTCGCGAAAAATGGTTCCCCGAGGTTCACCACCACTGCCCCGGTGTCCCTTGCCTCATCGTCGGTACGCAGACCGATCTTCGCGACGACGCCGCCGTTCGCGAAAAGCTTGCCCGTCAAAAGATGCAGCCCATTCGCAAGGAAGATGGAGATCGCATGGCCAAGGAGCTGGGAGCGGTTAAATATGTCGAGTGTTCTGCCTTGACTCAGTACAAGCTCAAGGATGTTTTCGACGAGGTGAGTTCCCCCTTCCGTTGGCTTTGCCGCCGCCTCGGAATGGCCGTGCTGATGGAATTTCGCAGGCCATTGTTGCCGCTCTTGAGCCCGCCCCCAAGAAGAAGTCGAAGTGCGTCTTGCTGTAAACGGATACGTATAAAGCATCCCGTTGCAGAGAAGGTCAGCACTGCTCCTTTTTTGAAATCTTGTTCGTGTCGTTGACGCGTTGTAGAAGTGTTCATGACTTATGGAGGAAGAGATGGAAGGTGTTCGAAGCGCATTACGTTGAATATTTTGAACTGCTTATGGAAACTGTGCGCGCAGACTTACTGCCCACAGCTCGTGGGCAGATACTCGCATCTCGATGATTGCCATCTTCGTCACCCTCAACGCTCTTTCCCTACAACCATGGCATTCATTGACTGATACCCTAAACGTTCCAAAAACCCGTGTCGCACAGACATTTTATATTGATGAATCACCTTTACCTTGATCTTCCAGCCGGTTTTATCTTATTTTATCTTCTTTCAACTTCCTCTTCCATCTCTCTATTACTCCTTTAGCTGCTCTACGATTCTCGTTCTCGCACCGTTCCTTTCCTGTGTCCATTTTCCCGATTCTTTCTTCCCTCTCATCGTCTCTACCGGCGTTGGAAGTCGAGGCGTCTTTGTTTTGGCTGGCTGATGGTATTGATCTGTTTCTTCATATTCTTTCCGCTTTTGTTGTCACGCCTGCATCTGCCACACTTAATCGTGCCGTTTCGTTATTACCTCCCTTCGATCTGGAAACTAGATAGCTCAGATACAACCAGTGATGACCATTTACTACTTTGTATTCTTGTCTTTTCCCCCGCAATCTTGGTAGGGTTCTGGAATTGGGATTCATCTGATCATGGCATACTTTCGTAGAACACATACATAGCTAGCTTATGGGGCGTAGGTAGACGTGACAAGTTTCACATTAATCAATACATTCGTTCATCTTCGTGACACACCTCTAGTTGAAGTCTTAGTTACATAAAGTCATATTCTGTTTACAATTCATCCTTCTTGGGAGCCGTCTCCTGGGCTTTCTCGTCCGTCACGACCTCCTTGCGTCCGTACCACCCGCCCAGCTCCGCACCGGCGCCGGCCTTCACCAGACTGGTGATAATCTCAAAGGCGACCTGGGCGGCGGCCAAAGCGGTGGTCTCGCCCTTGTTGTCGTAGCTGGGTGACACCTCGACGATGTCCGCACCCACCACGTTCAGCTTCTCGAGGCCGCGCATGATGCGGATGAACTCGCGCGTCGTCCAGCCGCCGGGCTCGGGCGTGCCCGTGCCAGGAGCCGTCGCGGGGTCGAGCACGTCGATGTCCACCGATAGGTAGACGGGCTGCTCCGGGTCCAGGCCGATGCGCTCGACGATGCGGTCCACCACTCCCATGGGGCCCAGATCGTCGATGTCGTCGGCGTGAATGCGCATGAACCCCTGCTCCGGGCCAGGGTTGGTGTAGTCGCTGTCCGTAGTCCCCGTCAGCCGCGTGCGCAGACCGGCGTGCGCCGAGGTCGAGTTGCAGATCAGGCCCTCGCGGCTGGCCTTATGGAAGAAGCTGCCGTGGTTGAAGGCCGCCTGCTCCGAGGTCCAGTAGGCCGAGTATCGCACGGGGTTCCAGGTGTCCAGGTGCGCGTCGAAATGCAGCACCGTGATGGGCTTTCCGTAGATCTGGTACAAGGCTCGCAGCGCCGGCAACGCCACGCTGTGATCGCCACCCAGCGTCACCAGCTTGGGCTTGCCCGCCGAGATGCCCTTGGTGCCGTATTGGGAGTCGGCGGCGGTCAGGGCGCGCCGCGAGCCCAGCTCCAGGAAGGCCTCGTACATCTGACGCTCGGCCAGACCGTTGTCGAACGGGGTAATGGGGATGTCGCCGCAGTCCTTGACCGTGGCCCAGGAGCTGTAGGGGTTGATCCCAGCGCGAGTGTTGTAGCTGGTGCCGGCCATCTGGCGGGCACTGGCGGCGCGAATGGCTCTAGGACCGAACCGGGCACCTGAAGGGAGAGTCAGCGATTATAGATCTTGGTTTTGATTGCATTTTATTGGTGATGAGAGATCTTTCAAGAAGGGAAACGTACCCGGTCTGTAGCTTACAGCGGTATCAAAGGGAGCTCCGATGACGGCGATATCGTATCGCTCGTCGGGCTCGACCAGACATTTGACCGGCTTCAAGTGCGCGAAGCTGGCGATACCGGAGAATGACCACTAGAATATTGACTTTAGTTGATAATTGGGGGTAAAAAGAAGATAGCAGAGGAAAGTGACACTCACCTCCTGGTCCCATTTCTTCAGCAATTCCTCGCGTACATGGTCAGGAATAGCTTCGTCGTGGTCATGATGAGCATGAGCATACGCCGTCACGGCCAAGGCGAGCAACCCTAAGTTGAATTTCATGGCAGGTCGGCTCCGCAGAACAAGGACTAGGGGGAGGATGGGGCGGGGAAAAGTCGAGGGGTGAAAGCCAAAGCGCAAGGGAGGGATGAAGTATAAGTAGGACTCCGATGTATGGAAATCGAATCGGGGCGAAGTGGGCCTTGCAGCCTCAGGCCGTGACGTCGTGCGGACCTTCCCTTCTCGGCCTTTTTCTCTCTCCACTTCGTCTCTTCGCTTTCTTTTTTCATACTTTGCAATCTTCCTCTCCTTATCTTCTTCTCTCCACCTCGACCATTTGCTTTTTAATCCCCACCCAACCCGATTTCACAGCATGCCATGCGTCGTGTGGTCGTGACAGGTCTCGGCGCGGTCACACCCCTCGGAGTAGGTATGTTTATCCCACTCTCCCAGTTATCAACCATCAACCGTCCGTCCTCAATCACGAATACCATTCGCTGCGTCGCTTCGTCTGTTTTCATGCCGGCGCAATTCCTCTGGCGGCTTCCAATCATCGAGCTCCACTGCTCCCCACTTCCGTCCCGAAAGGGAAGGTCTTGGGAGAAACGCGCCTTGTTAGAAGTTTAGAACATTACCCCGGAAAGGCAGTTCTACACGATCAGCTCCCGTCGTTGCATAACGCATCCGGACCCCTGCTGCTTATGCTGCTCGGTTCGCTAAATGACGCCCGTTGTCTATAGGAATCCGTCGCACGTGGAAACGCCTGTTGGATGGTCACTGCGGCATTGTCAATGTTCGCCAGCGCGATTCCAGGTTTGCCGACTTGCCTTGCCAGGTTGCGGCGGTCGTGCCCTCGGGGACAAAGCAGGATGGAGGCTGGACGGCCTCGGAGTGGTTAAGTAGAGATGTAGGTTCCCGAGTTTGCATAGCATTGATGGGCCGAGTTTGATGACCGGTATAGGAGGAGCGCAAGATGGCTCGTTTCGCGCAGTATGCGTTGGTGGCCTCGCAAGAAGCTTTGGCGGATGCCGGCTGGATGCCTACAACATTTGAACAAAAAGAGACGACAGTATGTGCTACGTGCGTCAACCTTTGATCACGCATCGTCATCTAACGAGTGCCCAGGGGATTTGTCTCGGGTCAGGCATTGGGAACTTTGACGAGATATACGACACTGTCACGGCGTATGAAAAAGGGGTCAGTCTGCTGAAATATATTCTGTCGGAGCTATCATCACTGATTCTTTATAGGGCTATAAAAAAGTGTCGCCTCTATTCGTACCCAAGCTCCTGATCAATCTCGGTGCTGGTCATATCTCCATGAAATATGGTTTCATGGTAAGTGATAATACCCTCACCTGCCTCACCGATTCGGAATAGAAAGAATAACCTTATAGGGCCCTAACCATGCGGCAACGACCGCCTGTACCACCGGCGCACATTCCATCGGCGACGCAGCTCGCTTTATCGCATGCGGGGATGCGGACGTGATGGTTGCCGGAGGTGCCGAGTCATGTATTCACCCCTTGGCCATCGGTGGCTTTGCGCGGGCGCGAAGCCTTGCCACCAGCTACAACGATGACCCCGAAAAGGCGTCAAGACCGTTCGATGCCGATCGCGAAGGGTTCGTGGTCGGAGAGGGTGCAGCCATGGTCATCTTAGAGGTATGTTTTCGCTGGAAAAGAGAGTGTTTTGCTTGTCTTCCGCCGTATCTAACCGTCTTTCTTCAGGAATTGGAGCACGCCAAAGCGCGAGGGGCCCAGATCTACGCGGAACTGAAAGGATATGGCTGTTCTGGGGATGCCCACCACATGACGGCACCGAAGGAGAACGGGGAGGGTGCCTTTTTGGCCATGAGAAAGGCCTTGCGAAACGCGAAGATTCAACCGTCTACGGTTGACTACGTCAATGCACACGCTACGTCGACCGTGGTCGGTGACGCGGCAGAGAACGCTGCGATCAAAACTCTCCTTCTCGGGCCCGAAGGAAAGAAGCACGCGGCGGAGGTCAATGTTAGCAGCACCAAGGGGGCCGTAGGCCACTTGTTAGGCGGTGCTGGTGCTATAGAGGCACTGTTTTCCATTTTGGCTATTCACGAGGTATGTGCCGACAGCCCGTTCACCGAAGACAGAGAGAGCCATACTAACTCGTGGGTTTAGAATACGATGCCCCCAACCATTAATCTGGAGCGAGCTGACAATGGATTCGACTGCAATTATGCCCCAAACAAGGCGCAAGAGCGCCGGATTGACGTGGCTTTGACCAACAGTTTTGGCTTTGGGGGGACGAACAGCAGCTTGTGTTTCTCTCGTGTAGGATGAATGGACGGAGAATGGGTTTAATTCAGTCTACTGTACAGCATGCATGGCATATCTCATTCCAACGATTGTACAATAAATAGTTATTAATGGACCTTGCATGGGACCAATCCACCGCACATAATACTAGCGGTGTCCTCGATCGGGCGCTGTGACACAACTCGGATGGAGAGTGGAGCATTCATTGCAATTGTCTGGACTGCTGCAGCAACTCAATCAACAATGACAGCACCAGGAAATGGCCAATAGAGGACCGGGGGTGACGCCATCCTTCCGCTGCCCTACAACACTCATTGACCCGTCCCATCCTTTGTGTTGGCGTTCATTGTGTGGGATTGAACGACTTCGACGGAGACTCGACTTCGCCCTTTGTATGTCGGCACGTGACGCCCCAATGCGGAGCGCCCCGGACTCCCTGCTATCGGGACATCAGGCAGATCGATCTCGCTGCCCTCCCCCATCGCGACGCAACAGTCGAATCAAACCTTTATTATCTCCGCCGATTTACTTTCCTTTCATTCTGGCCTCCCTGATTCCAAGCGTGGCGACTGAAACCCCCCTTCCGGGTCGGTTGTGGTAATCATGGCTACGAACGGTGACGCCAAAGGTCTGTTGTTCCAGCGCCAACTTGGGCCTATTTCCAGGCATGCTGCGGCAGCGAAATCTTACTGACTGATTTGAATCGATAGCGTCATCGGGAGGCACCCTGGTTGATGCGTCGGGATACAAGTTTTCGGAGAAAGATGCGAAACCGACAAAGATCAAAGTGAAGAAGTCGGCGAAGTTGGGGAAAAAGAAGGCCGATGGTGAGTGTCTAGTGCCCTGTCGTCCATATATCTGAACATTGGCATTTGCATGGATCTCTGTTCTATTTCCTCGGTCCTTGGAAAGAGAGAGGGGAAGGGAGGGACGGAGAGGTCAGATTGCGAGACCGAGGTGTACGCGGCATTAGGCTATACAATGATCTGGAAAGACCTGGGAAAGTGGTCGGAACAAAGGCTAACTGCTTGCTGTTTCTCGGCATCAATAGACCCTCCAGCCTCTCCAGGCTCCTCACCAATATTACCGGAAATCGACGAGAAAACCATGGCCGCCTTCCCAACTGGCAAACCGCGCGAGGAGGATCACCTGGAGACGGTCATCTGCAAGACCTGTAAGAGGCCGGTCCTCAAGCAGGGTGCCGCTGAGCACATCCGCGGCTGCATCAAGGCGAAGCAGGAGAAGGCACGACGCAAGAAGGAGGCGCGCGACGCCGCCAACCGGGCCAAGGAGAAGGGCGACAAGGACGGCGACGAGGAGGCCGCGGGCGGCGAGGGCGACGACTCCATGAAGGGTCAGAAGAGCGCCAAGAAGAGCGCTGTCAAGGGCATGGCGGAGGACGGCACCAAGAAGGGCAAGAAGCGCAAGACCGAGGCCGAAGATGAGAAAGACAAAGAACCCAAGAAGAAGAAAAAGAAGGAGGAGCCCAAGCCCAAGGCGGCCAAACCCAAGGGTCCGGTCGACGTTGAGAAGCAGTGCGGTGTTACATTGCCAAATGGCGCCCAGTGCGCTCGTTCTCTGACTTGTAAGAGTCACTCGATGGGTGCGAAGCGTGGCGTGCCCGGTCGTTCGCTACCGTACGATATGTTGCTTCAGGCCTACCAGAAGAAGAACCAGGCTCGTCAGCAGAGTAAGTCTTGTCTCGAGATCGTCTTGGGATGTTGCATTTGTTCAGAGCTAACACATGATTTTACTACAGAGGCTGCCATCGATGCCAATGCGCCTCTACAGGATGATCTGGATAACAACGGCCCCGTGGATTCGGACGAAGAGAAGGACGCCGTGATGGCAGGCATTACTCGCTCGACCCCCATACCCCTCGCCACCCATACTTTGATGTCGACCAAACAGAAATACAAATACGTGCGGATAAAAGAGATGCTCTCGCATGCCCTGGGCGGCTCCCGGGGCGGAGGTCTTTTTTCAAACGGCGACAGTAACGGTGTGGCGGACGGCAATCCGTTCCAACCCGTGGATGATATACTACCCTCGACAACGTCTCCAGTATCCGCCAGTGCACCAGACAACGCTACCGACGCAGGCGGGAAGACTCCCGCAACCGCTGCAAAGAAGTTGCCGATAACGGCCAGCTCGTAAACCTTACATATTCCTTACGGTGGTCTCTGTCTCGGTCGAATTGTCAGGCAGAGAACGAAGTGACGACGGCGCTTTGCATTTTATTTCGAAATTGGTTTCTGTTGTGGCGTTATTCTGGGGACTTGTGCGATAGGAGTCTGGGCCTGGTTTACTTCTGTTGAAATGATGATACCCTCTGAGTCTTGGGATGTGGATGTCTGTAAATTAGTGGCTGTCGATTTCTTTGACTGTCTGGTTTTGTTTAATCGTATGTCTTACCGGGGAGTGTTTTGCTCCTGAGTGAAGCATGTCACCAGATATTGTACATGAGAGCATATCCTTGTATTTGAAATAAACTGTGAGTTTGGTGTGTCTGTACATCTACAGTGAAGTCTATGTATATTCCATAGTCTACAGTATTAGTTAGAGTCTACAGAGTCCGTTGTATACTGACCTAATCGGATGAAAGGCTGCCTCATACCGATGGTGCCTTACCGCCTTGTTGCCTTGTTGCCTTGTTGCCTTGTTGCCTTGACATCATGTGCGGAATCGCGTCCAAATCGAGACTTTCTCGACGTTCCGCTTCGAACAAAGAATCCCACTTGTCCCTGGAATTCCTTTCGCACCCTCGCTCGCTTCTACTGGACCTCGTCTACCCCGGCAGAAGTCCATCGCTTCTGCGCCTGCGGGCGAGAGAGCTCCTGAATCTGGAATATCTCCGCTAGATCCTGTCTCGCCATCACCATCTTCCCCTTGAGAGTCTAGCTTACTCTCGCAAATCGAACGAATCTACCTACGACATCCGCCCACCCTCCTTACCGATATTAAACTTGTCCCGCCCCCGCGTTCGCAATGAGTAATTCCGTCCCGGATCTCGATGCTGTCGGCATCAAAGCCGAGCCCGATTTGGCCGATCAATTCCGTCGTGAGGTCGCTCAGCTCCTCGGCCGCAACAACCTCAACTTCCCCGGCGCACAACCTGTCAGTTTCTCCAGTCGTCACCTCACCGAGCTCCAGCGTCAGGACTACTATGTCTGCGAAAAGACGGACGGCATCCGCTGTCTGATGTACTTTGCGCGCGGGGACCCCGAATCTGGGAACGCGGAAATCCACTACCTGATCGACCGCAAGAACGAATACCGTTACGTGCCGGGCCTGCATTTCCCGCTTCCTGACGACGACTCCTTCCAATCATTCCATGTCGACACCCTGGTGGATGGAGAATTGGTGAACGATACCTACGACGATGGGACGCAACAGCTGAAGTACCTCGTCTTTGACTGCCTGGTGTTGGATGGACAATCCCTGATGCACCGCACGCTGGACAAGCGCTTAGCGTACTTCAAGGAGAAGGTGCTCAAGCCATACAACGCGCTGTTTGAGCGCTTCCCCGAGGAGAAGGCGCACCGTATTTTCGCCGTGGAGGACAAATCCACCCAGTTCAGCTACGGCATCGAGATGATGTTCCGCGAGATCATCCCCAAGGTCAAAAAAATCCACGGCAACGACGGCCTCATCTTCACGTGTCGCAGCACCCCTTACCGCATCGGCACTGACGAGCACATCCTCAAGTGGAAGCCCCCGGCCGAGAACACCATCGATTTCCGTCTGCGGCTCGAGTTCCCCATCCTGGAGCCTGACTCGGAGGACGAGGCCGACGGCATCACCGAGCCATACCCGGACTACGACGCCCTGCCCATCTTCCACCTGTTCGTCGGCCTCAACTCCAACGAGTACCGCTTCTTCGGGGAGATGTTCGTCACCCCGGAGCAGTGGGAGGAGATGAAGGCGCTCGGACAGCCCCTCGACGACTCCATCGTGGAGTGCTCCAAGGACGAGCAAGGCCGGTGGCGCTTCCACCGCATCCGCGACGACAAGGCCGACGCGAACCACATCTCCACCGTCGAGAAAGTCCTCGAAAGTATCCAGGACCGCGTCACGGAGGAGGATCTCATCCGCTGCGCGCCGGCCATCAAGACCGCCTGGAAACGACGCCAGGCGCAAATGATGGAAGACGAGCAGCGGAAACGGAGCGCCGCTCGACAAGCGCCACCTCATGCCAACGGGAACGGGGTGAAGAGGAAATTCGAAGACTCATAAAATCGTTCATCTCCTTTTTCTTTCCCTTTCCGGGTCTTTCTCTTTTTGTTTAGCCTTCTCTTCACTCATCTTCACTACTCCCTCGCCTTTTCGCTTTTTTCCGGAGGAAGTTTTTGTTTTTAAAGATCGCCCAAGACTCAAGATATCATTAACATCATTTCTTCTATTCTTCATAGGTTGGGATTTTGCGAGGTGTCCGGCGTTTATTCATTGATTGATTGATCTTGTCCCCTGGGCTAGAGGGGTTCAAAGAACACAGCAGGATAAACTCAAATGAAAAAAAGGGTGGGAGGCTGGAATGGTCCCAGGGGATATGTACAATGTGTAATTTATGATGCGATGGCTGTCTTTTCTTTTTGACGTTTTGATCCATTCCCTCTTCATATTCTCTCATGACTTCAGACTTCAGTATAGAAGCCGAGATGCTTGCTTTCATCAATCATTCTTGGGTAGGTAGGATTCAATTCAATGCATGACAGCAGAAACAAATACGATATATCAGAGAATTCTATTCTTAATCTGTAGGACAGATTCCAATGCAATTGCTTAAAATTGTCCAGGTATAAAACAGGAAGAAAATTGAAGGAATTTCAAATACATAGAAAGAGCAATTGATTGATTGATACATCGTCATCACACGCACACAGAGAGATAAAGAGAACAGATCTACCGTTTCTTGATGCTCACGTCGATGTTGCCGATGAACCAGGCGGCCACGAAAACGGTCAAGAGACCGGCGGTGATGGTCACCGGCTTGCGTAGTCCATCCCAGGTGGAGTAGTCGTAGGTCACCTAGAAGGGGGTGTTTATGTTAGTCGTTGGTCGGGGATACTTAGAGGTGAGATGGAAGCCGGGAGAAAATTTAAACACTACTTACCACCAGTTGAGAGCCGCGCGCCTCGTCGGACAGGTTCTCCACCGTCAGGGTCAAGGCGGTGCGACCCAGCGTGTCCATAAAGGTCTTGTGGCTGGAGATGTGCGATTCGATCTGGTCAGTGCCGGGGAGGCCGTTGCTGGAATCGCCATCGACCAGTTCGTACTGCACGTTGCGGGCGCCTTCGGGCAGGATCACCCGCACGACGGCCTTCTCGTACTGCACGCCCTCCAGGGCCTTGGGTCCCTCGATGAAGGGAACCTTGAGCACGTACGAATCAGCGCCGGCGACGGCCTGGCGGAGGAAGGACGACAGCTCGTTGTTCCAGCCAATGCGGAAGCTGTAGTTCCAGCCGCCAAAGACCGGGTAGCGGGGGCGCAACTCCAGGAAGCCGTCACGGTTGGGGGCCTTGCCGGGGCGGTAGCGACTCGTGGAGACGTTGCCGATGTCATCGATGAAGTAGGGGTCCACGGAGCCGGGCTTCAGCGGGTACTTTAGCTCGCGGATGGCGGACGACGGCAGCTGCTGGTAGTTGCTGATAGTCCATTCGACCCGCGAGAACTGGTTCTCGAGCTTGGAGCCGTTGTTGCGCAGCCAGTAGCGTTCCTCCGTCGCCAGGTTGCCGCCCCAGTGGGATACTTCCAGATCCCGCTCCAGCAACGACGCAGTGATGATGGGCTTGGTGAATTCGTAGCGGATGGTGATGGGGTAGACGGTGCCGGGCGCGACGTCCGAGGTCTCGTAGGGCCCGTACGTGTAGGTTGTGCCCTGACGCTCGGGGTCCGCACCGGACTTCAGACCCTTAGTCGAGGTGTAGCCGGGAACATTGGTGCTGGGGAGCTTCAGCTTCGTCTTCTGGGTAACCGTCTGATAGACCGAAGGGAAGTAGGCGGAGAAGGTATGTGTCAGGTATTGTTTATCGGATTGGCCGATGGTGGCCGGGCGTGGGCTCAGCGTCGATAGCAGGTAGTAGGAGATCCCGAGGGTGATCTGGGATTTGGGAGCGATGGGTTCGGGGAACTGGACCAAGTAGTACTGAAAGTCGCCGCTGTAAACAATGCAGTCAGCGTCTGTCGGTCTGTCGGAGTGACAAGCCTCAATGGGCGCGCAATCGTAGCCACGAGGACGAGCCACGCTGGCTCATACTCACTTGGACGAGCTCGACTCAACTGCCTCCACGTCGAGGCGGCCTTTCTCGGGGGCCTTCTTGTCTCGGACTTCCAAGCCACCAATCTTATCAACGATATCCGTTGCGAAAGGGATATAGTACTGGGATTGAGGCTTCTTGTCGACGTTCTCAACGACCACGTTGACCGTCTCGCGGACGTAGCCTTTCTCCAGGTTGGTGTTGCGGACCAGATTCACATTCTTGAAGACCTGGGCGAAGGATTCGGCCCAAGCCAGGCAGGGAAGCCCGCAGAACAGCAGGGCGGCGAAGAGGGCGAGCATTGTGACGGAATGCTGCTGCAGATGGAAGAAGGGCGAGGGGGCTGCGACTTGAAGCATCTCGAGATGTGGACACCGTGGCGATGACTAAGCGCCCTGGCAGCTCTCCGCCGAGCTTCGTGGGCCTGCGCTGCTCCCTTTCGTCATGACGGAGGGATTCTTGAATGTCTGGATCTTCAATTCTCATGATCCTGATCCAGAACAGCTCTAGACTTGTTCAATTGAGCATTGTAGCCAGAACTGGTCCTAAATATGGCCGCCTGGAAGACCGCCGTCACTGGCCGTGTCAATATAGCCAATTCGCATTGCAGTCGCGATAGAAAATAGATGGGCGGGGTCTTCGCCTCAACTACTTGATAATAGCAATGACCAATCTTGCCTGGTCTATCTCATATCGACGCCCACAATCCAGATGGCATCTATGAGGTCCTAATCGTGCCATGTACCGCCGAGGTACCGCTGCCATACAAACAGTATGGGGCGGGGACCCACCGGATACAACCCGCGAGATAAGCCGGACTAAGCCGGACTGAGTAGTTATATCCATCCATTCCTTCTCCGCGCCGCTTCTTCTCCTCTTCATCTCTCCCTGTCTCCTCACTCAACATGCTCCCTTCACGAGCTGCGGCGCGTCTTTGCTGCCGGTCGGCTTATTCCCGGCTGCTCCCTCAGCGGCGCTTCAACCATAGCCTCCTGTCGAGCAAGTTCCTGAATGTCTCTGAGGAAGTTCGTGATGCTGTAGCAACGGGGAAGCCCGTCGTGGCGCTGGAAACGACTATCTACACCCACGGTGCGCTTGCGCTGGCAAACGCCATTCTGCATGAGGATTTTAATTGACTCCTTGTTAGGATTTCCCTTCCCGGAGAGTGTCGCCCTAGCCGAGCTTCTCGAGTCCGTCGTCAGAGTCAATGGCGGTGTCCCCGCAACCATTGGTATCCTCAATGGTGTAGCCCGGGTTGGTCTGTCGCCGGACGAGCTAATTGAACTGGCTTCGACTGCCGAGAGTAAAGACGCTCTGAAGGTCTCACGAAGAGATCTGGGCTACATCTGTGGTCTGGTATGTTGACCGATCTCCCCGTCTATCTAGCTAAACTTGGGTTTTGACCGTTACATAGGGCTTAGCTGGTAAGCGGCTTCACGGCGGCACGACGGTCTCAGGCACTATGATCCTTGCCCATCTTGCAGGTATTCGAGTTTTCGGTACCGGCGGTCTCGGTATGTTGCAGCTGTATCCTTTCAAGTTTGCGGTGGAAGCTAATCGTCTGTAGGCGGTGTTCATCGCGGCGGAGAAAACTCCATGGATATATCTGGTACGGTCACTCGACGACATCTAACACTTTTGTTCTAACGCTTTTCACAGCCGACCTCACGGAGCTGGGGCGAACCCCGGTGGCTGTCGTTAGCTCCGGATGTAAAAGCTTCTTGGACATCCCCCGGACTCTTGAGTACCTTGAGACGGAGGGTGTCTGCGTTGGAACTTTTGCCGATGGCCGTCAGGGATCTGTGGATTTCCCGGCGTTCTTCACCCGAGACAGTGGCATCAAGAGCCCCAAGGTCATCCAAAACGAGGCCGAGGCTGCGGCCATAATCTGTAAGCTCAAATGGCCCGCGCAGAATTCTCTATTGGTGCTCTCTTTGATTTGAGCCTTTCCACTAATCGATCCAAATCCAATTAGACGCGCAAACTAAGCTTCCATTGTCATCTGGAATGCATTTCGCTAATCCCGTGCCGGTAGAACAGTCCATTGCTAAGAATGAAATGGATGCTATCATCGAAGAGGCCCTCCGACTGGCTGATGAGGAAGGTTACCACGGAAGCGACAACACGCCGTTCGTGTTGTCTAAGATCAAGCAACTCAGTGGTGGAAAGAGTGTCACGGCCAATCGAGCCCTGATCGAGGCGAACGTCCAGCGAGCGACCAAGGTAGCCGTGGAGCTTGCCAAGTTGGAGCAGTCCCACGGATCGCTTAACGAACGGTAAGTGGGCTTGCCTCTCAACAAGATCTCCGTTGGTCTGTTATATACAAAAAGCAAATATCCCTAATTGCGAGACGGTCTCCCGCACAGACATATGCCAGCAATTTCCCGCACTGTGAAGGCTGACCAAGCAACTTCAGAGCCAGAGCTGGCGCAGCTCCACTCGACCAGTGAGAATCCCGCCGAGAAGCTAGACAAGGCCGATGTTCTCGTTGCTGGCTCCCTTGCTATTGACCTGTCCTGTGACTATGCCCCCTTTGCGGGAGAATCCAGCAAGACCCCCGTCCCACACACGTCCAACCCCGCCGTCATCTCCCAGAGCCTTGGAGGAGTGGGCCACAACGTGGCCATCGCTTCCAGCTACCTCGGAAGCTCCGTTCTCTTCTGCAGCGTTGTCGGAGAAGACCTCAGCGGCCGCGCTGCACTCTCAACCCTTCGTGCGGAGGGACTTACCACCCAAGGCATCCAGATCCTCCCCGCCTCGGACGGCGCCCGGACGGCCCAGTACATCGCCGTCAACGATGCCACCAAGGACCTGGTTCTCGCCATGGCCGACATGGGCATCATGGAGCTGCGCGAGCACGTCCTCGACTTCGACGGGTTCTGGGAGCCCATGATCGCGCGCACCAAGCCCCAATGGGTCGTCGTCGACGCCAACTGGAACCCCGACGTGTTAGCCAAATGGGTCACCGTAGCCAAGAAACACGGCGCCCGGGTGGCCTTCGAGCCCGTGTCCACGGCGAAAAGCCGCCGACTCTTCGGCAGCGCCAACGCCGTTATCACACCCTCCGCGTCGGTCCCCAACCACGGTATCAGCCTCGCCGCGCCCAACCAGTACGAGCTGGCAGCCATGTACATGGCCGCACGGGAGAACGGGCTCCTCGAATCCGACGGCTGGTGGCGCATCATCGACGCCATGGGCATGTCGGCGTCCGGGTCCCGGGACCGCCTCGTGGCCATGACCTCCGCCACCCTGGTGGACCAGGGCATCCCGCAGCAAAGCATCCAGCTCCTACCCTACGTTCCCTGCCTCGTCACGAAGCTGGGCTCGCAGGGCGTGCTGGTCACCCAGCTGCTCCGCCCGGGTGACCCGCGTCTGACGGCCCCCGAATCCGCGCCGTATATTCTCTCGCGTGCCCCGCCAACCGACGAGGTGATCGGCGGCGTGTATCTGAGGTTGTTCCCCCCGGCTGCGGTGCTGAAGGACGAGGATATTGTCAGCGTCAACGGCGCGGGCGACACGCTCCTCGGGGCGGTCATCACGGGGCTGGCTAAGAGTGGAGATGTAGGCACGGTGGAAGATGTGATTCCGCTTGCACAGGAGGCTAGTCTTCGGACATTGAAGAGCGCAGGAGGAGTCAGTAGCGATATCATCAACTTGCGACAGCATTAATTAGATCGGTTTACTCTTTTTCCCGGAATTTTGGGCATGTGAAGGTACACGGAAAGATTGGAAGCATTGAACAAATAAAAAGAACTAGCGAGCATCCATTGAGAGCGTCTTATTTGAAATCATCCTTAAACTTTTATTGGTATATCACATAGGGTGAATGGTTTGACCTGCATAGTCCGTAGTATCAATTTAAGCAAACCAATCAGAGCCGTGCGATCTGCCAGCTCCACAGTCAGCCCTAACAGGCTCGAATAACGTTGATCTATATACAACTGCAGGGTATCACGATGATCCTAAACCCGGACAAGACAACCCGAAAGTAAATGAACATCCTGTAGGAGAAAAGAAGGAAAGATCAACCCAGCGCCCTCTCGACCCCTTCGCTCCCTACCACCGGGATTCGCTCTACCGTTTCCTTGCCTGCGCGATTCGGTCCGGTGGCCTGAAACCCGGCCGGAACGAGCGCCGGATTCAGCAGGCCGATCTGCACCAGCACGCTCGCCTGGTCCCAGTAGATGTTGTGGCGGGCGATCTTCCCGGCGACAAACAGGGCCGTCATGACGAGAAGGATGCGTACGGGGCGGTCTGTAGGCGGGACACCAGGCAAGAGCCAGGGGATTTCTTCAGTGTGGGTGAAGGTGAGGAGTAGCTCGTCGACGATGCGGTTGGGGCCTATAGTGCGAGACAGCAGGCGGATGGTTTGTGAGGAAGGCCCGGAAGGGAAGAATTGGGTGGTGTAGAAGGCGACGATAGAAGCCGGCGTGGTTCCTTCGACTAAGTCAGTGGATCACCCTCTTTTTTCCGGTTTTGGTGGAAAGAAAAGAAACGAAGGAAACAAAATACCAAGGGGACCTCACCGCCGATCATGGTAGGAACACAATTGACCGTTGCGATTTCCTGCTGTTCGGCCGTCGGGTCTGAACGATAGCCTTCGTTCTCGGCGAGCGATGGCCCTGCACTACCTGTCATTAGGTTCAAGGCTTGCGTAGCGTGCGTATCGGTCTCCTCGGCATTCCGATTGTTGTAGAACAGATTACGCCAGTATTCCTCCCACACGGTCTCAACCTCCGGCACATTCCAGTGGCCGCCAGGCCATCCAAATCCACGCTTTAGGCAGTCCAGGGCGCGGCTCCAGGCGAGGCGCGAGCTGATGCCGTCGTACGTCTTAGAGGTAGACTCGGCAAATCCAGGATCGGATTCGGGGTAAAAGAAGAGATGGCAACGATGACGCTTCCTACTTGGATGGCTGTGGTAGTCATCGTGGAGGGAAGCAGGCTGCGGACCTGCAAGATGGATCTGAATGGGGAGCAATGAGAGCGAAGAGTAACAGGAGTTGGTGGTTGAAGAGGTGGTAGATTGCGGGATTATGTCGCAGGGCTCCTGCGGCGGCGGCTGCTGCTGCTCTCCATTGAGAAGGGAACTGGGAGGCTCGGGATAGTAGGTCACCAAGGCACAGAGTCGAGGGAAAGGATTGGTGGCCGAGGTCGACTGATGGTGAGATGACAGTAGTAGGTAGGCAGGTCGGTGATATGCTGAGAACGGTGTTTAGTCAAGGCACGCCGTCTGTTAGAAGAACGGAGGGAAACACATACCGACCACCGCATAGCGTTCGCCCGGCTCGAGGTCATCCTCACGTTCGTGCAGAAGTTTCTCGAGTTCCTTGCGTTCACGTTCCGGCTCGTCCGTCACCGATGCGACGAAAGGCAGGTATTCGACGTCGAACCCTTCGTCCTGGAAGCGGCGGATAATGTTGACATCGAAGTCGGGCGTGTTGGAGGTGATGTAGAGCCGTCGGGGCTCGCTAATCGACTTATTTTTCTGCTTGTCATGGCTCAGTGTCGGGGAGAGTGGAGGCTGAAAGGTCGAGCTGCTGGCGCTGCTGCGACGGCGGCGAATGTGTTGACGGATGCGGTCCATTCTCCGGGGGCAGGCGACAATGGGAAGTCAGACAACTGAGCCGACTTCAGGAGACGCAATCCAGGGCAAAGAAAAGGGTTTAAATCCAGTCGCGGAGCGCTTGGCGAGGACAACAATGACGTCGACGAGTATTGGCATTCCGCAAGGGTCTCCGCCGCCAAGAGCCAAGATAGGGCTGATGCAGGCCATAGGCAGACAGATAGGAATTTGTGGTCTCGTTTATGCATGGTTTCTGGACTAATGCTGCTGTTGCTGCTGTACAGTCTATGCAGGAGGAGTCGCAATAGGGTCTCCCCTCCTTCTTCAAACTTTTTTTTTTCAAGTACGCCTTAGAACCCCGTCAACCACCGGCGCTGTTCCGTCACAGTCTCCGATCCACCCCCCTCCCCGGTTAAGTAACAGGCATACGTCGGTCGCTGCAGACTCTCTCGTGCGACCTCGCAGTCCAGCCGGATATCCTCCACCAAGGCCTCCAACGACACATAGTCGTACTCGGGACGAATGTATCCTAGGATCAGCAGGTTCAAGTTGGTACCGTAAAAATCCGGTAACTTATGGAATTTCACGTGGCCGGACTCCCCGGTGGCCGTGGGCGAGGGCGACGATAGTGGTGGCATGATATGAATTTCCTGTCAGCGAGCGTGAGTTTCCTGGGCCTCCCCTCGATTTAGTTCTACTTCGTTTGGTCGCAACATACCACTGATCGCGTGGTATTCTTGTAGAACGGATTATATCCGATGCTCAGCACGGCAGGAAGTATGCTCGTCGACGTCGACGGGTCGGCCGCGAGGGTAAACTTGGACGGGTCCAAGGCGACAACGCCATAGTACACCCCGACTTGGAGATCCGGGTAGTCCGATAGCCCGTCGGCTGGAATGTTGGCCGTGGGGATACCCAACTGTAATTGGCAAGTCCACCATTAGCCGGCCTCGATAGCATAAACTACCAGGGGCATAGATCAATGGCCCATTCAACGGGCTCTCACCTCTTTACTCCCTCGTCCGAATCCTTTGATTACGGGTCCTGACAAGCGCACGGGAAAGGGGGCTTCGGGGCCGCTGTCCGGCCCGGTAACGGGATCGCGAGGACCGTCAGGTCGCATGGTATAAGAGTTCGACCGGCGGGGGGAAGATCAGGCTCGACCGGAATGATGTGAAGTAGTGGGAGCAAGAACAATGAGGGGGGCAGGGAGAGAGAAAGCGATGGAAGGGAAGAAAAGCGGCGGTGGGATCCTGCCGAAACGGGACTGCTTATCGATAAAGCGGCCATGCGGGGTTCGCGCCTTCCTAATTGGTCCGGAGTTCATCCCTGCCTCAGGTGTCGATTCTACTAGGTATACTTCTCGACCTCTCTACTTTGGATACTTCAATGTTTCCAACCTTGGATACTTGGTACATGCGAAGTCCTCGCGTCAAGCACCGCCATGTGCCATTTCCGGTATTCGTCCCGTAATCAAATATCACGCAAGGCAGATCCGGTCCCGTATGTAAAGGTACATATGTACAAAAGTGCTACCCTCACGGATCGATCAATCCGCAACGATCAAGGCAAGAACAAGACAAACAAAAACCGACAAGAAAAGAGAAAACGAAGAAGCTACGTTGATAGCTTCCGAGGGAATCATCCGAAAGATATGTACCAATGCAAAAGATACGGACACTCGGGGTGTCCCATCTCACATAAAAGAGAACGAGAAGGAATAAAATGAAACGAGATGAAACGAAACCCACAAATAACAATCACAGACAGCCGACATTTTTATGATCCCTCCTGAGTATGAGCCGTATGAACTGATTAAAGCGTAAGAGACGTATATCCCTGCGTGATCCATAAATAAAACAAATCAAATACATGGTAGAAACTAGAGCGGTCAGCGTCATTCATGGACACATTTTGCTTTCTCTCTCGCAGCGCAGCAGCAGCAGCAGCACTTACATTCATCACAATAAGCATGGGAATGTCAAACACGTCACGCTTGACTGTCCAGCAGTATGCGCATTCGACTTTGCCGTCTTTGAACCCCAGCTGGTTCATTCCCGCTTCGCTGGCAATGCCGCCCTTGCGCAGGTGATTGTTCCATCGCTGGTGGTCATCCGACTGCGCCAGTTCCATGTCTTCCTTCGTCTTGTATTTCAACAGCTTACACGTGGTCATCACGCTACCGCGCGAGTCTCCAAAGGCAAGCCGCGCGAAATCTTCGTAGAACTCGACCACGCTATCGTCGTCCAGCAACTCCGCCAAAAACACCGGATGGGGCCGACCCGGGGCCGTGGCCTCGCCGGCGGAGCTGCGCGGCGTATAGCTGCGGGAGGACGCCCCCGATCCCGGGACGGTGCCGCCGGTGTTGACGTTCAGGTTCGGCTCCTTGCCCAGCAGCACATCCTTCTTCCATCCCGTCAAGATGCTGAATTCCTTACCGACCGCCGCAATCTCCCCAGTCCGACGGCAAACGATCGTCGGGGTCCCACATGCATTGATGAAATCCTCGTACTCAAAGAGCGTGCGCTGAAAGCACTTCTCCATGAAGATCAGATCGTCGCGGTTCAAGGTTTTCGTCGTAGCAATAAAGGAGGGTCGGATCGAAGCTAGCGCTTTGGCGATCTGCAAGGTTTTCTGTGGGGAGAAGCGCCGTTGGATGAAGGCAGTCAGGTTGTGGAAGCGATTCGTGTAGGCGTACGGCTCCTTGACGTTCTCGTAGATGGACGACGGGTTGCGCTGACGTCGTTTGGTGCCCACCTGGAGGCTCTGGTGCTTCAGACTCGGCGTCGTGATCGTCGGACGCTGGCCGTTCGGAACAAGACCGTTGGAATTGTTCGCAACGGCGGCGTTAAACGTCGCCTCGTCGAAGCCGCCCGCCATATGCGGACTGCTCGTCGCGCCAGGGCTGGCGAAACTCGCTGGGGGACCGCTTTCGATGGCGAACGCATGGGGCGCGTCGGCCTTGGATAGATGCCCCGGGATCACGCTTCCCTGGGCGGAATGCGGGTAAACGCCGCCGCCCACATTCATGTGCGGCTGGCCTGAGGACTGGCCATTGGACCACTCGTTGAGCAGGGGATCGCCAAACATGAACGGCTGCTGGCCCCCGGGGCTGTCTCCGAAAGCGGCCGTACCGGTGATTGGCGTATTCGAGAATTGGGCCGATCCGCTGCGTCCCATTGACCCTCGCTGCGTGGCGGAGTCGCTGGGCGAGTCCCCGGCACCCGTCGCCATATGTCCCAGCATCCCAAATTCCAGCGCACCGTACCGATTTTCGAAATTCATGCTTGACAGGTCAAAGTTGAACAGAGCCGGGTCGCTGGGATCGAAGAACGGGCCTCCAAGCGGATTCTGGTTCTGGGTGGCCGCCCCCGAAACGGTTGCGCTGGGCGGATGCTGACCCCCGGAAGACGACAAACTATTGTTTCGGGCAGTCGGCGTAGTCTTCAGATTGAAAGTCGGAGACATGGGAGATTGCGAGGTGAAGGAGTTTTGATTAAGGGTGTTCTCTTGGTAGACGTTATATGAACTGGATTGGGGCGTGGGATAGAAGCTTGGGGCCGAATTCTGCGGCGTGTTCGCACTGACGGCATTGGCGCCGTTTCTCGACAAGGGAAGGCTGTTGCGCATCGTATTACCGTAAAAGTTACCGCTGATTCCAGGCATCAAGGCTCCGTCGGGCGCGTCGTGCAAATACTTGGCCTTCTTGCGAACGCCGTCATGGCAGGCGTCCTGAAGGCCTCGTTTGATACATCGCTGACATGGTCTCTCATCGCCTAATCGCAAAACTTTGAATCAGTCTCCGGTCTTCACCGCTTCACCAGGCGGTCCAAAAACGCAGGCAAGAGAACGCCTTCTGATGCCCAACGCAGCTAGATGACGCGAAACGACAGGTACAGAAAAGACAGTACAACAAGGGAATTGAAAACAGGGTCAGACATAGCGTACCGCAAGTCAGATGCGCCCGCTGGCAAGCAAAGCAAGCCCGTCGGGCCTTCTTCCGTCGCGGACGCGACGGGTCTTTCGCGTTGGTGGACTTCTGGCCATTCTCCGCGGGCGTATTATCGCCACCATTAGTCGTGCTCTTGGAGTGCTCCGGGGGCTCTCCAAGATCCTCGACACCCTGCACAGGCCCGCCGGGATCGGCAGAAGCCGAGGAGCTATTGTCCTGGTGTTCGGCCTTCATCTCGACATGAAAGTTCGCAGGCGACAGACGCAACCGGCCCGAGTGAAAGCGTTGTGCCGTATGAGTGAGCGATGACGGAGCGGGCGGAAGGAGGGGGGTTGATCGGGAACGGAGCCGGCTCTTTTGTGGTTGAAAGGGAGTCGCAGCGACGGGACCACCTTGCCACCTATTCTTCTCGCGCTGTACAAGACCACCTCGGCGCGGCGCGTGCGAGAACACAGATTGCAGTCCAGATTGACAAGTCAAATCGTCACGCGTCTAGTCGGGCAGTAACAGCAAATTGGCCGTCCTTTCGCGGGCCGAGGGCATAGAAACCACGATCGAGGCGGGTCGGAAAACAGGTCGAAGGAAATGGAGCGAACGGCGGAACCGATCGCAAAAAGTGGAGGGTGGAGGAGGAGGGACCTTGCGTGCTTGACTGCTTGGTCTGACAGTCTCAGCTCTGCTCCAGCGAAGATGACAGTTGGAGATGGAATGGTGACCGAAATTCCATGCAGGAAGCCGCGCGATTTTTTTTTTTCTTTTCCTTTTTGTCTTCCTTTTCCCCTGTCGATGATTTCAAATTAAGAAAGGGGAAACAGAGAAGGAAAGAAAAAAAAAAGTTTCAAAATTCACTATTCAAAGTTCAAGACAAGAAAACACGGTATTAGTCACACGGCATGTAGGAAAATTCCCTCGGCGTCCCTTTCGTCCCTTTATTTTATTTTGACACTGTCATGAGTCAAATCAATTGTCGCAGTGCAAGACAAGGTAAGTGGAGCGAGCAAAAAAGAAACAGCTGGGACTGGGACTGCGGGGAAAAGCAAGCAGGAGAGATCGATCGAGAGGGGAAGAGAGAAGGAAGATGAGAGATTTTCTCGAAAGAACCGACGTAGGGGGAGGGGAGATTGGTCTGGATGGAGAGAGGAGAGCGCGAACGCGGGGGAGACAGAAAGGCAGGTAGACTAATGAGGGATCAATGAATAATATTAAGACTAAGAAAAACGAGGTGAACTGGAATTGCAATGAGAGAAAAAGAAAAAGGTGCGAGACCAACACGAGTCAAGAGTCGCGTGTCCAACAACCGCAAGCAGGGAACACAGTCAAGTCACCGCGAAAGGGTTGGCATTATCAACATGTGTCTTGAGGGCTTTTTCCCCCTCTTTTTCTTTTCTATTGTTTCTATTAATTTTGACTTTCGATTGTGAAAGAGGGGGGCAGAGCCACGCGAGAAACGGCAGCCTTACGGGAGTTGGCACATAGGGTATTCTAAGTCTCTATACGGACTATGGAGTTATATCTATAAGACATGGGCTGATTCACATGCCGATGCCTGTGATAATCCCAGAATCGAGACAAGCCCTCTCCGCCCATACATTCTCCAAATTGTAATCAATTTGATATACCTTGAGGGATAAAAATAAAAGAAAGGAAAAGAAAAGAATGAGCCATTTTTGTCCCTCGCGATCGGGTCTCCCCGGGATGCTGACTCATGCTTTCCTCCCGGAGTCACCCGAGGGTCTTGTGCCAGACTGCCTACTGCCTACTGCCTCGGCCCATCCCTGCTCAGGCATCATCTCTGTTCATCTCGACGCCATCCTAGCTTCATCCCGAGGCTGTCTTCCTAATTCGTGTTTCAGGACTTCCGTAATTGGCTTCTACATCTGGCCGTCAGCTGTGCACGCGGCAATTGCGGTCTGATGAGTCGGCCGCTGCCGAACGCTGTCATGCATGAGAGACCCCTTCAACTCTGTATTGGGTGCTATTTTCGTCTGGCTTGACTGCCTCGTAGCGTGTACTTTACACTATGTGCATACATATATCAACGTATATACACTGTATATCCCTGTTTATGTGGTTTCCGGTAACCGTTCTTCTTTGGTATTGCGCCGAAAGCTGCAGAAACATAAGCGAGTACCATCATTAGGCCTCATGGAAGATCAAGACGCGCAACTCCTGCTCGCAAACCATGTCGAGACATCAACATGGTTCAAGGCGGAGAAAAAAAAAAATCAAATCTACCGCGTCGCAAATCGACTCTTCTTGCGAATTCGACTGCCGTACTGGAAAAAGATATACCTATTTCCCAAGGAACGCGGTTAGCTAACTCGTGCAAAGCATGCCACGCATCTTCCACGGGCCGTTCCCCAATTCCAGCGCAACAGGTGGGTGCAACCGAGCTCGATAGAAGTCAAAGTCTCCCTCCCCTCCATCAGGGCCGCAGGATTTCCATGCAGGAGACCGCTTGTCCTCCCTCGCGCCCAACTGCTCAAAGAAAAGAGGGTCGGATCCCTACACGCGCAATGAAACCAAAGGAGACTTACGGAAAGGGTGTCATAGCCAGGGTCAGAAAGGCCAATAATGAAGTTGCCCAGTGGTATCCCAATCGGTTATACACTGCATACGGTGGTTAGCAATTGGCGGTCAAGGTCTCGTGTGTTAAATCATATCGACACGTCAAGTTTGAATTCACCCGGACTTCCAAGTGAAAATTAAACAGAAAGAATTGTCAATCGAAGGGACAAAAGCAACCCCTCCAGCAACCATGAACTCGACAGATCAGAGTACACTTATCGACTTTCCATGCCATGCAAGCAATGTAAACTGGAAAAAGAAGAGGTGGTAGGTTGCTCTCTTACTTTGGATTCCGAACAAGGGAAATATCCCACCAAACAGCGAACGGGCAAAACTGTTTGCTGCCAGAGCGCTTGCAGCAAATGTCGGGTATGCGTCAACCAGAAAGGTGAAAATGCCCGAGTATACAAGGATCGTGCTAGATTTTGTCGAGGGATAGAGTCAGTACCAATCAATCCCAATCAATTCCTACCAGCACACGCAAGCTCATGCGCGCTGAAAAGCAATAGCCAAACGAACACCGGCCTTGTTGGAAACTTACCCGGCTCCAAAAAATGCACTCCCGATGATAGGTACAATCCAATGCACGTGAGGATAAATGCTCCAAGCAAAAATGAACAGTCCTATAGTCACAAGGGGTCCGCCAAGGATTGCTTTCATCACGGGTTAGCATCGCCATCATCATTCTCTAGGCGCCAATGCCAGTGACAGATCAACAAACGCACCTGGGGGAAGCCGCCACTCCGGCTGAAAGTCATCGGCCTTTCCAACTGCCCTCTCATGCTTCTTCTCCAGGCGCTGATAGATGCGCCGCCAAAACGGGTCGGATAAGATAGCAAAAAGCATACCCACAAATAGACCAAGAAAACAGAGGCCACGCTGCCATAATACAAATCCGTACACGTTTCCAAATACCAATTGAAAGGCGCCGAAAAAGAGATACAGTATGCCCAAGAGGATCGCGGAAAATATACAAAGATTCAAGCACATGGGCTCTAGTGTAAGAAGCAGCATGGGTCGATAGGTAGACCGCAGAACAGTCTGGGCTACTGAGCGATTCAGCCTTTCGATTGGAGCCTTCCAGCGGTCGTCCCCTGTTTCCTTGCGTATCTGTCGCGCCTTGCGTCTCAAGAGTCTGCCCCACCTCTGTCAGTAGCTACCCAAAGCATATAGGGTCCTATGGACTGCTGCCGACGGCATTCACTTACACAGGATGGTAGGTTTCAGGAACAAGAACGATGATTGAGATAAGTAATATTCCTGTCCAGATGAGAAGCACGTAGAATGTCCAACGCCTAAGAACAGGAAACAGCAATGTAAGTCTTCTGTGTCCTAAGAAAGGGGTCTACTGAATTGACGTACCACGTGGTATATTGATTTATAAATCCACCCACTCTGAGATAATTGATCGTCAGCTACCTTAATCCGCACCGCAAAACGGCTCATCGGCAGCAACTCGGGGGAAAACCTACAATGGTCCAACCTCGGGGCCAACGAAAGGCGAGGCCGTATATAGCATCATCGGTGCACTAAGCTCGTGACGGGCAAAGAGATCACCCACTGTACCACCGGCGACACTAAGAAATGCGCTTCCTGCAATGCCGTTGAAAAATCGACACACAATCATTGTCTCGATGTTTTGAGCAACGGCACATGGAATCAGCCAAATCAAGAAGAAAGTGAATGATATGATGTAGATATATCTTCTTCCGTAGAACTGCCTTGTGTTAACAACAACAATCTATTTCATTTCGGGACACACCCACCTCTGACAAGGGCCCAAGGAACAAAGGGCCAACCGCTTCATCGGAGTTATGTTAGTGAGGTTGCGGCCACAGAACGGTGAACGTCTAAAGCTTACCCAGGCCAAATATGAAGAATGACAACCCTAACGTTGCGACCAACCGAGAGCAATTGAATTCCTGCGTGATCTGGTCATAGGTGACGGTATACATCGAGGAAGTGCAGGTTCTTCCCAGACAGAAGATCAGCGGGGAGACTGGCGGCCAAGCTAGCTGATTTGAACTCACACGCATAAAGAACCCAGCGAACAAATGATGACGATTATCCACCGCCGAAAGGTGTTGAAATTGCGAGGGTTCATGGAATCGTTCTCGTCCCATCCAACAACAAAAGCCGAGGACTCATCGGCATTTTCACCCTGCGCTTCGTCCGGAACCTTCTCCCCTGCCTCTTCATCGGCAGTATGACAGCTATAACCGTCATTGAGAGACCAGCTGCGCTCAACAGGCCGGGATGAAGTTGAGTGAAGTCTCTGCATTCGCGCGTCACTTGCAGAGGGCACAGCATTGATTGGCGCATAGGTACTGACATCATCCGATTTCTCTTGTTCGGAATCGCCTACATCGCTCCGTTCGTCGTCGGTTGATCGCCCGGGCGGATCGATCTCGGCGCTGGCAGCTTGTCGGGGGGTCATGTTCTCCGGCTGCGCTGCAGACATGATTGATTCGATTGTACTAAAAGTCCGGTTCCCCAGGAAAAGGAAAGAGGATAGGGGATCAAAGTACGTTTGGGAGAGGCCGAGTTTAATAGCCAAAGAGAAAATGTAACTCGCTCGTGAAGGTACCAAACCCCACCGGATGACACAATGTCGGGGAAAATTGCTGGCTGTGTCCTCTGGGGGATGGAAAAATTGCCTGCAAAGCAAGCCATTTTTTCGAATCACAGCGACGGCGTTAGGACTCGGAAGGAGTCTGAAGCTAACTGGTTAGATTAGTTGACCCATCTCGCTGATCATTGTACTTGCGCGTTAGTATCCATGAATATGATCCTTAGCCTCGGGGTTATCGGCGTGGGGGTCTAGAGCTGGGCCCATGACTAAGTGATGTCCATGCTTTTTATGTGGGCCATTGTTGGCTATTTAATTGATAGTTCACATTCACAATCATCGGTACTCAGGGCATTGAAAGCGACGTGGTTAGACCAATTTCGCGACAGGAATGAAGAAGAAGAGGAGAAAAGGACGGGAATCGGAGAATTAAGCCGGGCCACGTGCATGGCCCACGACTACGGAGGTCAAGGGTAGAGTTAAGAGAGCAGAGCTGTCATTGGAATCAGTGACTCGCTTCTATAATACTACTAACATGAAGCTACCTAAACATCCAGGACCATTTCGCTCCGGAAATTCAATAATTCCGGACATCGCAAGAATCAAATCCAGAACCACCTTTTCTCAAAACCCTTGAAACTGACTCCCAAACTCCACCAATTCATTAAGCAAACAGGGCCTGCATCCAAATACAAAGGGGGTTCTTCACAGAGTAGAACTAAGCCAGTCACAGGTAAAAGAGAAATCAAAAAGAGAAAAGGAAAAAAGAAAGGCCGAAGGTGTCTGCGAAAGGTCAAACAGCCAAAGAGAAAAAAAAAAAAAAAACAAGAAAAGTGCGACCGACTGTACAGAACGAAAGACATCATCTATGCGGTTGCTGGAGCAGGCTGGCTAGTGGACTCGCCGCCGGCAGTCTCCTCGGCCCACGAGCCCCAGAGAGCACGCTTTCCGCGGATTTTGAGAGGTCCTCCAACGGCATCAGAGCGTTGTTCGACCTGAACGGCATCCTTGGTAGCCAGTACCAGGACTTCGAAAAACATCTTGGTGGCATCGGCCTTGGAAGCCTTCTTCTCGGGCAGAAGCTCTTGGAATTTCACGCTCTTCTTCTGTTCTGCGGCAGATTCTCCCAAGCGGTCGCGCAGGATATGAACAGCATGCTTGGTGCCGATTGAGACCGGTCCGCTGTCCGCCGGTTCGATCGTCTCGTCAAAGTCGTCCAATGGCTGATTCATGCCCTCATCATCGCTCATACGCAGACCCTGTTCCTCTTCGTCACCGGGAAATTCGATCTCGGACCGCTGGTTCAGCGTCGAGTCGAGACCGAGTCCCTCGTCTACCGGCACAATTGCCTCCTCTTCACCCAGCTCCAACGCAGGGGCAGTGGCCGCTTCGATATCCATGTCCGAGATGCCGCTGTCGCGTTTCCTCTTAAGCTCGCCAGCTTTTTTCACGGCGTCAAATGACAACAAGTCGCGGAGTTCGGGGGCCCAGCCACGTCCACGACCTCCGCCCATCACGTTCGACACAAAATCTCCGTTTCTTTGCATGTTCATAAGGGTGAGAAGAACCGGGTCCCGGGGCAAAGACGATGCTGGTTTAATGATTTCGGCGTGCATTTCACGCAGTGCCTTGATCTCTGGACCGCTGTAGTGGGTGTTCTCATCAGCCTCCATCGGAGGTAGTTCGACCTTGCGCCGCTTGGAGCGCTGGCCATGTTGAACTTGTTCGACCTGAAGTTCCTCCGATTCTCTTTCTTCGCCTTCTTCGGCTCCCAGCTGAGAAATACCATGATAAGCTTGTGCGAGTTCCTCCATGCCAGCTTCATCAATGTCGCTGAGTTCATCATCACGGTCGGAATCGTCGGCTTTGTTGTCATCAATGACCGGGCCTTCCTCAACACCGAGATCGAGAGTGTCATCCGCCTGCAGGAGTGTGTCTTGAGGACCATCGTCGCCGAGGTCCATCTTATCCAAGGGAGCATCATCTTCACCGAGGTCCAGAGGTAGATCAACGTCGTTAAATTTGCCAGCATCACTGAAAAGATCCTCCTCGACAGGACGTGGGGCCGGAGCATCTCGACCAACTTCCATACTGAAATCATGGCCCAACGGCGTCTCGTCCTCTCCCAAGTCAAGATCGACTAAAGTATGATCTTCAAGGCGTGGTGGTTCCTGGGAAACAGAGCGGCGGAAACTGCTATCGGGGAGAAGTTGGCTACCAAAATCCATAGATGATCCGGGCTGCTTTCCTTCCGGCTCCAAATTGAGGGACTGGGGTAGGAGCAAGGAGGAATCGAGGTTCATGAACAGGTCGGATTCTGTAAGGACATCAGGCAAAGTAATCCCGCCGGGTGCGACGACGGTGGTAGTGAGATCATTGTTGTTGGTCAACCGGAAGGCCTAAAGTTGATAAACATCAGCACAGTTCGAGCTTCTACAGCATCATGGTTCCAGGTAACATACCATTTTAATTTTCATCAGCGCTTCGTTGCAGTCATCCAAGAGGTAGCGCGCCTTTCTACTGTAGATCCGGACTACACCCAGCAGCAGCTGGCCACTCAATCGCAAAGCCATAGGTGCTTGACCTTGGTCAACGATGGCACTGACACTGCTCTCAATATCCGACTGCAAAATGTGTGATTTTGACAGTTTGCGCTCCAGATTGGCCGACAGCCAAACGCGGGCCAGCGGCCCGGTTTTCGACAGAAGAGTCTCCGAATAGAACATGGCGGCAGATGTGAAAGGCGGAAAGAGAATACACAAAAAAAAAGACAATGCACTATCCCAAAGGAGGTTACAAACAAAATAAGCCTATCAAGAAGCCCGCGCAATGCGGGGTGGTGGTGGGAGTCCCTGGCAACCCGGGGGTTAATGACGCGCGCTGTATCCAGAAAACAACAGGATCAGGTGTTTCGCCCCTACAGCCCGCTTCTCAAAAGGGGTGTCGCAAACGAAATGGCAACACGTAGCGAGAGATCCGAAAGGAAGCGAGTCAAGGCGATCGCGTAGAGACCAATGCAAGAGTATCCACCGCGTCCGTGATTCGGAAGGGGGGGTGGTTGGGTTAGGATCAACCGACTCGATTGTGGATGATTTGGGAGGCGGAGGTGGGAAAAAGAGGGAAAGAGAAGCGTTGGAGCGCGTCCGGCGGGCGGAAGTCCAGGTATTATCAGGGAGAACCTAAGGCATTAATGGTTGCCCAGCCGCAACGAGGCCGCCGCGCCCTGCTGATTGGTTCGTTAAGGCCGTGGCTGGGGTCACGTGAAGGGCCGCTGCTGACTCAAGTTCGCGTCACGGGAGAGGCTAGTCCCCTTCTGGAGTCGGCCGGATTAACTGCGGGTGCCGAGTCTAGGCCGCAAAGGGCAAAGCATCATCAGCGTTAAGGTCAGCCTGTCCAGAAGCCAAGGGCAATTGCATGCAGCAGAAAGGATCCCCTCCTGGTGCCCATATGCTTCTCATAGCCCACGGAGTATTGGCCGGTGCTTCTCTACTCGTTTCCAAGGAGCCTACTTTGGATCATCGATCGCCCGTGGTGTCCCTCTTCCAGACCCCGTGTGGCCCTTACTCTTAGCCTTGTTTCCACTTGCCTTAGTGCCCATTCAGTTATTATTTATTATTACCCATGCAGCCTCGCGTCTGAGAACGTGGCTTTTCGCAGATTGGCTCTTGTGTTAATCTCTTTCTTTCTTTCTTTTTTGGCCTCGCCTCCCTCATTGGCATTCCGCTCAACAGCATTGACAACCCGTTTTGCGCTATTCCTCCAACGGGATGATAACAACTATAAGACGGTTTTAAACACGACATTCTTTCGACAAAGCATGAGAGATGTCAAGATCAGCGACGCCTGCGCTACCTTTGCATAATGCCCAGGTCTCTAATTTGAGACCTCCGTCGCCCAGTCCCCCGGGTGTGCGCTCCAGTGCCTCTCCCCAGGTAAGTCAAGTCGCATCCAATATCGGAAACTTCAGCATTTCCCATTGTCCTGGTTCAAGAAGTTGTGCGCTGACGTGGGACATTCTGACCAGACCTCAACCTCGACCTACTCCCTATTAGACCCTCAGGAGACCGCGGAGCGCCTGCAAACCTCTCTTACCCATGGACTCACCCCGGCAGAGGCCGAGGTACGCTTAATACGGGATGGACCAAACGAATTGCCTCACGAGGAGCCCGAGCCTCTGTGGTTGCGATTTCTCAAGCAGTTCCGGGAAACATTGATATTACTTCTTCTAGGATCGGCAGCGATTTCGTTTTTCATGGGCAATTACGATGACGCCGTCAGCATCACTCTCGCCGTAACGATCGTCGTTACCGTAGGGTTCGTCCAGGAGTATCGGTCGGAGAAATCCTTGGAGGCACTGAGCCGCCTGGTACCGCATCATGCACACCTTATCCGCGACGTTCCCCATTGGAACACACCTCCCATGGACAGCTCCATACCCGCAGCTCCCGCAGGGCCCGATGAAGACATGGAATTGCAGGAACTTCGAAGCAAGAGTCCAGGTTCGGCTTCGGCCGCGGTCAAAGCGTCCACCACGGTTCCTGCCGCCGAATTGGTGCCGGGTGACATGGTTCTCTTTACTGTTGGGGACCGCATTCCGGCTGATATCAGAATCACCGCTGCAACGGATCTATCCATCGATGAATCTAATCTCACCGGGGAGAACGAGCCGGTTACAAAGTTCGCCGAGGCCATTCGTAATTCGAAGAACGTTTCAACCCATTCGCCGAAAATCGTCAGCCCCCCGCGGTCTCCGTTTTACGATGCCCCAGCCAGTGGGGCTGTAGGAGCGGATATCCGTTTGAACGAACAACACAATATCGCTTTTATGGGGACCTTGGTTAGATCGGGATACGGACAAGGGATTGTCATCGGCACTGGTGCAAGAACGGAGTTCGGCAGCATTTCCGCCTCATTGCAGGAGATTGAGAGCCCAAGAACGCCACTACAACTCTCAATGGATCGCCTGGGTCAAGAATTGAGCTATGTCTCTTTCGGTGTCATCGCGTTGATTGTTGTGATAGGATTGGTTCAGGGTCGCAAGCTTCTCGAAATGTTTACCATTGGTGTCTCTCTGGCTGTCGCGGCGATTCCTGAAGGACTCCCCATTATTGTGACGGTAACTCTTGCTTTAGGCGTGCTGCGCATGGCAAAGAGGGGGGCAATCATGCGAAGGCTTCCAAGTGTTGAGACGCTGGGGTCAGTAAACGTTGTCTGCAGCGATAAGACAGGAACTCTCACCCTCAATCATATGACTGTCACGAAAATGTGGCATTTTGACTGTCCTGAGCCGTTCGAGGTGCACAACGACATCACATCTTTAACTCCAGGGCCTGCAGCTCGAACCGTTCTTCGAATTGGAAATATTGCCAACAACGCCAGACTGTCACGTGTAAACGCAAATTCGCCCGCGAGCGCATCATCGGCTGCGGTGCTGTCCTCGACTGACGATAGAGCCTCTGGATCCGTCAAGAGCAGGTGGGTGGGTCAACCCACCGACGTCGCCATATTGGATCTATTAGACACCTTCGGGGAGGATGATGTACGCGATCGAATCAGTGCTCGCGTCGCCGAAACTCCCTTTAGCTCTGAACGCAAGTGGATGGGCGTGATTATTGGGAGCGGCACTTCCAGCGAGACAAACGTTGCTTATATCAAGGGTGCGCTGGAGCAGGTTCTAACTAGATGTGATACCTATCTAACCAAGGACGGCCGCGAGGTCATCTTGGATGAGCGACGGCGCCAGACTATCCGGCAGGCAGCCGAACAGATGGCTTCGGAAGGACTAAGAGTGCTGGCTTTCGCCAGTGGAGCTGTAAGAGATTTGTCTAGGGGAAGGCCTTTTGGGAGCAGGACCGGCACCCCTACGTCTAAAAGCAGCCAGGGCGATGATGACGATCGGTATACCGGATTGGTCTTCTCTGGGCTGGTGGGAATGAACGATCCACCCCGGAAGAATGTGCACAAGGCGATCAGGCGCCTAATGGCTGGAGGGGTACGAATTATCATGATAACCGGTGATGCGGAAACCACCGCTGTGGCCATCGCAAAGAAACTTGGAATGCCAATCAGTGACGCTCCGGGTTCGCGCCCTGTGCTCAGTGGGGAAAGCATCGATCGAATGAGCACGGAGGAGCTTGCGCAAGCGATAGCTTCCATTTCAATTTTTGCCCGCACCAGTCCGGATCATAAAATGAAGATCGTCCGTGCACTTCAATCCCGAGGCGATGTGGTCGCCATGACCGGAGATGGCGTGAATGATGCTCCGGCGCTGAAGAAGGCCGACATTGGCATTTCGATGGGAAAGCTGGGTACTGACGTTGCGAAGGAAGCCGCGGATATGATCTTGACGGACGACGATTTCTCGACCATCCTGCGAGCCATTGAGCAGGGTAAGGGAATCTTCTACAACATCCAGAATTTCATTACATTCCAGCTCAGTACCAGCGTTGCCGCATTGAGTCTCGTGCTATTGAGTACGACCCTGGGCTTCAAGAACCCCCTCAATGCCATGCAAATTCTCTGGATCAGTAAGTGCCGCGCGCGCTTTTGCCTCCTACCTTGCTACTGTCAGTTGGCTAACCTATTTGCTCGTAGATATCCTCATGGATGGCCCTCCAGCGCAGTCATTGGGTGTAGAGCCGGTCGATCCGTCCATCATGAGCCGTCCACCACGACCCAGAACAGCCCGAGTTCTCACAAAGCCGCTCATCCAACGGGTGGTCACCGCAGCTCTGACGATCATGATGGGCACCCTGGCGATTTACGTGTATGAGATGGGTGATGCGGACGACGGCATGACCCCGGGCAAGCGATCTCGAGTGGTTACGGCACACGACACGACGATGACATTTACCTGCTTCGTGCTCTTCGACATGTTCAACGCTCTTGCTTGCCGCAGCGAGGGCAAGTCCGTGCTTCGCGGCGAAATCTCACTCTTCGGGAACAAGATGTTCAATTACGCCGTGTTCGGATCCCTGGCCGGTCAAGCTTGCGTGATTTACCTGCCCTTCCTGCAAAGGATCTTCCAGACGGAACCGCTCAACTTCGCCCATTTGTTCAAGTTGTTGTGTATCTCGAGCTCGGTCTTTTGGGTCGACGAGGCTCGAAAATTCTACCAGACTCTGAAACGGCGCCGGGCCGTTGGGGTAGGGTACAGTGTGAATGTTTGATATGTATTCATGTCGGTAGAGATGTTTGATAAACCCTGATTTCATATAATTTTTGGGGAAATGATGGGGTTGTATAATTGTATAGAACACTGGAGGCGTTTCTTACATATCATTGTTGTGTATATCGACCAATAAATCTATTCCTTCATTGGAGTACCTATTTCATCGTTGCATTGTTGTAGCTCTGTGATTAGTCTTGGTAGAACAGCTAATTAGTGGTGCCTTGACGATGCCGAGACAAACTGAAAAGAGGAAAGTCTGGCTGCCTGAGGCTCAACCCGCTAGGCATCTTGTGCGTGTGCTATGCCTGGAAAGACCTCTTCTTCCTTTCAGGCTACCGGCATGATACGTTTTGATAATTATTTCATCACTATGTTCCTCCCTACTCAGTACGTACAGCAATTTGCCCACAATTCTAGCCTCCCGGTGCTGTCTAGTCGTCTCCGGATATATTTACGCTCCGCTCCTGGTTGGACCGACAGTAGTCACTACTACACAGACACTAGAACACAATCGAAGTTGCTACAAATGATTCATCCGCCACGGAAGAGGTCACAGATAGCTACCTTAATCGGTTGATCAATTTCCATGCACCTGATGTATCCTGGGATACGGCACAACCACCGGCGAAGAACCAGCGCCGGTGAACCATCAGTCAGGAGCAGATTCCCAACCCAAGCAATTCCACCATAAGCGATCGTCCACGTGGGGCCGCTGCCTTGCAGCCTTTTTTGCTCGAGATAAGTCTAACTGACCTCTCTAGGGGCCTGCCGTGTCACAATCGGCTGCGGGTTATGCATATCCCTCATTTCAAGCTGCGGGATAAGGGGATGGGAAGATCACGATGAAGGGAGGTAGGCGGTCGAAGTAAGGTGGGGGCTAGTCAGTGCTGATGCTGGTTTTACGTACAGTAGTAGCAAGGATAGTCTGTATTCCATGCTCCGTACCCCGTACAGTATACAGTGGGACGGCATATATAGAGCAATAAAGACACTACACCGTAGATAGGACATAGCCCAGGCACCTAAAGTGTGGCTCGACCCACCTATAGAGACGAATCAAGGGCCTTTCAGGTAGTAAAATGGACAGAAGCTGCACAAATGCCGACCTCCGGTGATGCAGATATGATCCGACGGCGGACGGTGGACACTTGGTCTTGGGTAGAGCAAGATCTAGGTACCCCGGAGTCGATATCCCAGTACTAACTAGTACTGTAGGTAATACTACCTAGTAGGAGGGGATCCGATCTACTCCGGTGTCGACACTCCACAGAAGATCTAGACGGATCGATAAGGTGACAAGGGTATGATCACATGGTGATAGAACACATGGAAGATGTTTCTTTAAAAAAAAATACTGACTGGGCAAACTGCTCATTCTTCCAACTGGAGATACTATCGGACAACTGCCAAGGCCCGCCGTATGCCGATTGTCGCAGTCCGCCCGAGCAGAGCGCATGCCGAGTCCGATGCAGCAACTCCTCCATCGGAGAGGGAGATCCCTGCAATTCCCGAGAGCAATCGGAAGAAGCAGGGAGGAGCGCAGGGATCCGGGTGGGCGGTCATTGGCTCATCTGGACGTTATCAGCGTCGTGGAGATCGCGGCGACGAAGCTAAGCCGCTTCCGGTGGCCCCAGCGCCCCACTTGGCGGCAGGTGGCGTTCAGGCCTTATCGGGACCTCACAGCCAATCGTTTCGACGATATCAATGAGCTCAGAGAAACGCAGCATGATAAGGGCTGCATTCTCCTTCCGGAGACGACGGGGGAAAGGGATTCTTGGCGGATGATAAGCAGATAAGTGTCAGTTGTGATCCCTGACGCGCAGTGACTGGTCTGGGGAAGCATGTGGTTGTCCTGTTGTATACGGAGTAGGTAGCCGTTATCATTGGGGCTACAGATAGCTCTCGTCGCTGTCGAACGCCTGGAGATTGAGGAGGAAGCTTTAAATACAAGGTCCACAGCCTGCCTTTTTCCCTTGACCCTTCCTTCCCTCGAGAGGAAGAAGCGGGTTCAAGGAACTCTGCTTCCGGTGTGGTGAGCTACCAGCGGTCCAATGCCAACCCGACCAAGCTTTCATGGAGGGCTACCCTTCCATAGTTTGCAAGGCCCATCATGGATGCTAAGGCTGGGCAAGAGAAAAAGCCCCTAACCCAGATGGATGATCGAGATCATTCCATCTTATTATGGCTGATTATCTATGATGACGAGGCAGAAGGCCAACCACCCGCCGTGGGTGAGTGTGGTAGAGGCTAACTGCCAAATGCTAATGCGATTATGTATTCGCCACATGTGGTTCGGTTCTGCAGTATCGCGGACGGTCTTGGCCCGGATGGGGCTCTCTTTTTTTTTTTGGGTCTTCTGGAACCTGAACTACGACCGGGGCAAGACGCTAAGTCAGTCCCAGTTTCCTTCCGACTTTGCCACAGTCTTTCAGGATGGATCTGGAATCATAGAAGATGGCGAACATAATGATGACGCTGCAGAGGTGATTCTTCCCCTTGCGAGGTGCGACAGAATGATGACGGAGGGATTTTCCTCTGTGGTTTCCGACAAAAAGAAAAGAAAAGAAAATAAAAGACTAAATAAGACAGGCGGTGACTAGGACGTTCTCGTCGAAGATCTGCCAGCCGAGTTTATTTTATTCTATTCCATTTTTCATTTTTCCGTTATCTCTGACTGAACGCTGACCACTATCTTTGCCTTTTTCTTTTATTTTTATTGCATTTTTTATTTTTCTTTGGGCGACCTCCCTTTACCCGCGCCTCCCTCGGAATGAAGCTCCCTCCTCCCTCCCTCTTGTCCCTTTCTTCCTTTTGATCTATCCATCTCGCTTGACAAAGAAGGCTTTCCTTGTCCTCGTGTCTATACGGAGTGCAGCCCGATCTTCGTTGCCCCCCCCCACGGCCAATCCTGAATCAATTATTACTTTTTCCTATTCGAATTATCGTCGCTATTATTAACCACTTCGCTGCCAATTGCTGTTCCGGTGGACTTTTCTTGGGTGCTCCACCACGCTTCTGTCTACCCTCTTTGGGCGGTCCCGATCGATTATCGCGCCCTGCCAATGATTTGTTACTAAGGCTCTTACTTAGTGACTTCTCAATCCTTTAGCTCTTATCTTTGGCTAGTTTGAGACCCGCGAAGTCGTCCCGTCCAATTCCAGGCCCACCGGAGACGCCTTTCCAGAACTGCCTTTCTTTTATATACCTCTTCCTCCTCCGCCCCCCGTGGCGGTCTTTTTCTCCACACAGAGCGGAGTTCCTCATCCTACCCTTGTCTTCTTTCCTTTTCCTCTCCTCTCCTCAATATCCGCTGCAATTTTCCTGGCGTGAGAGAAAGTGAGCCCTTTTGACGGGTTCGACGAGCAGCTCCTTTCCATCTCCCTCTCTCGCTAGGTCCCTTCAATTCCCTGTCGACATACCACGCTCCTGCTCTCAACCCTTTTTCTTCCTCTCTCTTCCCCCCTGCTCCGGGCTCCGAGCCCTTTCAGCGCATCTTTATTCCGTCTACCACCTCTCCTCGATCCATCTTCTCACCGTCTCAACCTTCGCCATGGCATCGACTACCAACGTGCCGTTCGCCCCGGATTATGCATCTTACAACTGGACGGGCGCTCCCTCGAACTACGAGCAGCTCGCAACCAATCAATTGGGTGGCAATTCGCGTATGTCAAATTTGAATCTAGGATGCTAATGCTTGGGACCCCTCGGAACTGACCCTTGATCTTTGTAGGGGAGGAAAACGTGAACAAATGGTTTCAATCGGGTGATCAAGCCTACATTATCGTGGCGTCCGCCATGGTCATGGTCATGATTCCCGGTCTCGGCTTCCTCTACTCCGGCCTTGCTCGTCGAAAATCGGCATTGAGTATGATCTGGGCCTGTATGGCGTCTTTGTCCGTCGTTACGTTTCAATGGTACTTCTGGGGCTACTCGCTTGCTTTCTCGCCAACCGCCACCAACGGATTCATCGGTAACCTTCGCAACTTCGGCTTGATGAAGACTATGGCCGACCCAAGTCCCGGCTCCCCTCTGGTTCCAAACCTTCTTTACGCGTTCTATCAAGTATGTACATCGGAAAGACATGAACCCCTTCCGAGATCCGTAGCTAACAAAGCAACCTTGATAGATGCAATTCTGCGGAGTCACGGCTGCTATCATCATGGGAGCGGTTGCAGAACGTGGTCGCCTGCTCCCCGCGATGGTGTTTGTTTTCATCTGGGCGACAATCGTCTACTGTCCTCTCGCCTGCTGGACATGGAATGTGAACGGATGGGCGGCCAAGTACGGGGTGTTGGATTATGCCGGCGGTGGGCCCGTCGAAATCGGTTCCGGTATGTCTGCCCTCGCCTATTCAATGGTGCTGGGCCGTCGCCAGGAACGCATGATGTTGAACTTCCGTCCTCATAACGTCTCCTTGATTCTCCTGGGAACCGTTTTCCTCTGGTTTGGCTGGCTTGGATTTAACGGCGGTTCGGCCTTTGGTGCCAACCTCCGTGCCGCTATGGCTTGCTGGAACACCAATTTGACTGCAGCTTTCGCGGCCATCAGCTGGGTGGTCCTTGATTGGCGTCTGGCGAGAAAATGGTCTATGGTCGGCTGGTGTTCCGGTACCATTTCCGGTCTGGTCGCTGCCACTCCGGCTTCTGGTTTCATCACCCCTTGGGCTAGTGTGATCCTAGGTATCGTGACTGGAATTGTGTGCAATTATGCTACCAAGGGTAAGTTTGTGACAAGCCGATGGTTTGTGGCCGAACGAGGTGACTAACATAGTTCTACAGTGAAATACTGGATCCGGATCGATGATTCTATGGATGTTTTCGCTGAGCACGGTGTCGCCGGTATCGTCGGTCTCATTTTCAACGCCCTCTTCGCGGACGATGCTATCGTTGGACTGGATGGAGTGAACACCGGCAGCGGAATGGGTGGATGGTTAATCCACAACTACAAGCAACTCTACATCCAAATCGCCTTCATCGTCGCCGCCTGCGCTTACACCTTCGTCGTCTCTGCTATCATCGCGTATGCCATCAACGCCATCCCCGGTCTACAACTCCGTGCATCCGAAGAGGCCGAGCTGCTGGGTATGGATGACGACCAACTCGGTGAATTCGCCTACGACTACGTCGAGGTCCGCCGTGATTACCTGGCCTGGACCCCCCAGAAACACGACCAACTCGAAGACGGACACCAAATCCCTGCCGCTGCGCGGTACGGAATTGGCGAGCACAGCGAAATGATGTTGGACGGCCACCCGCCCATCGGAATCGACAGCCGCGGCTGCAGCGAGGGCGATTCCGGCATCCAGGAAATCAAGATCGCCCCGGCTCCACGACAGGTAGCTGAGCACCACCCAGCCGACGAAGGGGCTGAACTGCCCAGGTCGGATGAGAAAGCTCAGTGATCTAATCTCAGCTGTCCTGCTTTTCTGATTCTGTTCTTCTTTACTTGTTACGATATCCAGCGTTTCTGTCTCATTTGGCTGGGCCATTTTATGTGATGTATTACCTTATACCTGTCTGGGATTTGCTTGGAGCAGGAGTTTTGCTTTTTTTTTCTTTCTTTTCTTCTCGGTTTAATCTGACGGGTTTGACTGTATATACTCGGGTTTTGGCGGGGGATGGTTTGTTTTTGTTTGTATGGGTTTTACCAGATACCACTGCATAGATTGATTGCTTTAAGAATATTAACCATGTCACTTATAAGTTATTATCCCCTTCCTGTTCTCGTAGAAGCCAAGAAGACTAGGGCAAGTCGATCTGATGCACATTAGATCGGGTACCTTGCAGCCTTAGGCCGGAGACCAGACCGAGAAGGAATTCAGTCATGTGAAGGGCGGAGGCATGGTTGCAGACCAGATATCTTCATCCCTCTTACAACTACTTCACCTTTTTCAAGAACGCGAACAATCAACTCCCAATACACAGAATCCATGCGGGAAAAGAAAAGTATACATATATGTACTTGGGTTTGAAAATGTGTACAACTCAATAGAATAAAACAGGAACCCTCTATTTTTACCGACGACATTATCTCCTCACCATGCCTCGGATGCGCGTACGCTCCTCCCGATTCAGCTTGTCTACCACCTCGGCAGTTTCACCCCCTCGCAAGACATCTTCCCACTCGTCCTCGTCCATTCCCATCACCAGCACCATTTGCATGCACCGTGCAAAGGCCTCGCGGTGTCGGTATCGGCCCGGTGCGCCGTACGTGCCGCCAATGTCCACCGCGGCGCTGACCACCCCCGAGACGTCCCGCTCGAGCCGCGTGGCTCCGAGTGCATTGACCCGGCCATGGTAGGACCACAGGCGTTTTTCCAACAGTCGCGCGAGGTAGGCCACCGTGACGGTCATGAGTCGGTCGAAGGCTGACGTGGTGAGGATGCGCGACAGCGGGAGAAGAAGCTCGGTCCAGCTGGCTGCGAAGCGGGGACGGACGAGCTCCGCTCGAGTCGTCGAGTCGTCGTCTGCTTCGTCGTGATGGTCGTACTCGCCGTATGCAGCGCTGGTAGGGTCGTCGTCTTCCCCGGGTTGGTATTCGATGTCTCGGAAGGCGTCGGAAAGGATTGGCCGTAGACGGTGTTTGACAACATTGTTGAATACGACCTGGATTCCGTCCGACAGGAGATCATTGACCTTGGATTCAAATGAGGACGAGAGGGTTTGCAGGGTCTGCGTTGCAAGAGTCGCTTCCGCGGGGACAGTGAACAAGGAGCGAATTTGATCGGTTTCTTCAACTTGGCCGTCGGGACCTGTTATCTTCTTGGTCTCGGTATTGTTCTGGACAACCCGTTGGACGTAGTCCACTGCCACATCCAGATTATTGATCAACACCAAGAAGGCAATGACCTTATGTTCTGGCGGCTGACCCCCTTGGACGGCAGCTCTTGGGTAACATTCATCGCGCATTTTCCTCTGCGTCATGCCGATAAAGTCCGAGCCAAGGACTCGGGATAGCGTGGGGACTACATTAGTCACCACGCCGATTTGCGACGTAGCCAAGGATTGCTGCAAGACTTTGTTCACGATCCACATGATATCACCCACGGCCGAAGTGATATGAGGCGGGTCGGCTTTCAGCGGCTTTTGGGGGTTCAAGGTCAGGCCAGAAGGCTGCTCATCCAGCTGGAAGGCCTTTTCGACTGACCGCCGGAAGAAGAAAGTTGTCATGGCATTGAAGGGAGCCACGAGTCGATCATTGACCTTCTTCATCAGAGTAGAATCTTGTAAAAATGGAGGTCGTGTGAATTGACTTTCGTTTTCAGGGCCCTGGAACTCGTCAGCGGCACATTAATCGAATAATAGGGGCCTTTGACTTACATTACACGTCTCAGCTAAGAATCGGCAGTAGAGAGACCACCGGCCTAGCATGACGGCCATTTCATTCAGAAGCCCATCGATTTCTTTCATATCCACGCCTTCATCCTCGGCAGCCCCGAGAGCTCCATCACGGGTTGCAGGGGAGTTAGACCGCGGGGTCGTGCTCCGCTGGGGCGGCAGGAAGCTTTGTACCAGGAAGGTAAATGCATACGATTTGATATCCGTGAGCTTACGATCGACATGTCTTTCATCGCTCCAGGTGTCAAGGATGATTCCACCTTGAACATCGGCCTCGAGCTGCAACCGCTCAATGACCCGATTCATCTTCCGAGGGCCATAGTGACGTTCCACCAATCCTCCATGACCATCAATGATCTGAGCGATGTGTTCGAACAGTTTGGTAAGCGCGTTCGCGTAGAAGAAACCGTCCTTGCTCTGAGCGCCAGTTCCCGCGTTGAGGTTGGTTCGCGCGCGCGATGCCACCCCCTGGCAGACGTAGCGTCCATACACGTCGAGACCAACTTCCGAGCGACCAATTAGGGGAAACAGCTTGAAGAATCGAGTAATCTTGGCACCGTTGGTCTCCTTGACGGCTTTCTCGAACTCGCGTAAGAACAGGCCACAGAGGGATTCGGCCGCATTGTCCAGCGTGACATTGGGTGGATCCGGCACCTCGGCCGTAGGCACCATCTCAGCTGCGAAAGACCCATGGACTACGTCGGGCGGGATTTTGGAGGCCCGGCTCAGGTAGCTCGCGGCCGTTTCCCAGTCCTGGGGAGCTCCCATGGAGCCGGCGACACCGAGCACGCAGGCCTTCAGTTCGGATACCTGCTCCACAACCTCCAAAGTTGCCTTCACCCGAGATTGTTCCAGATCGAGATGGCGGACGGCGCTCGAGATGCGATCTGCGGTGGCCGCGGCGTTGGAGAGCATGCCATGGCTGATGGAGCGGGTGGTGCTGGTCTGCGAGCCCAGGTTGGCTCGCAACAGATCCAATCGGCCTAGTTCTCGCGAGAAATCCTTTTGCGAGGCGACGAGGGCGTCTAGACGGGCCGTGACCGACGCCTCCTGATCATGCAGGTGCGACAAAGTGGCCTTGATCTCGGCGACGGAGCTGGCATTGAAGATGTCCGGGGCGGGATTCGATGAGGACGGAGTCTCCGCGTGCCCATTGGCCGGGCCGGGAGTTGATTTGGACATTGTCCACGAGAGGAAGACTGGATCAAGCGACGACCGAGAGGAACGACGAGCGGCCAAATTGGACAATGGGCGATCTGGCGACTTGGGAGGGCCGCCGCAGCCCGCCGTGGAAGGCGGTGAAGGGGCCGTCAACTTGTCAACAAAGGCCTGGAAGAACTAACAACTAGAGTAAATACTTAGGAGTCCCGAGGTCAAGGCTGGTCGGTGTATTAAGAGGAATTGAAAATTTGATATTACAACATCTCAACAGACCAGATTCAAGACTGCTTCCGCCGACGACGTGCACGTGCATCCCGATTTCCCCGACTGACACCTCAGGCAGCGACTTCCCTATTCGGCAAACCGATTCGACGTCATCCGCAAAGAAGAATAGATTTTCTTCTTCAACCCCCGCAGCTCTAGAGAACTCTCGATTCCAATTGCCTTCGTTATCCATAACCGGAATAGATTGTATTTTTTTCCTATTCTTAGACGCATTCGTTATTCTTCATAAACCCGTTCCTATCTAGAACCGTCGCCATCGGTCGCCGTCGCCATCGGTCGCCGTCGCCGTCCCCGACATCAACACCGCTTGCCTCGCAGAATGGGGAACGAATCTTCAACCTTGATAGACGACACGACGCCTCCGTCCGTGCTCGAGGCTCGCACGGTTGAGGCACTGGCCAAATACATCAAAGAAAAGGATGTCCGACGCATTGTGGTGATGGTGCGTCTTTCTTCTCCCCCGCACCGCGTTCTAGGCTGACCGGAGGGCGATATAGGTCGGCGCGGGCATCAGCACGTCGGCCGGTATCCCCGACTTCCGTTCGCCTGATACTGGTATCTACGCCAATCTGGCCCATCTCGACTTGCCCGATCCTGAAGCGGTGTTTGACATTTCGTTTTTCAGAGAGAACCCGCGGCCGTTCTACGCCTTGGCGCGGGAGCTGGCCCCCGGCCGGTATCGACCAACTATTGCGCATTCGCTGATCAAGCTGCTGTACGACAAAGGCATGTTGCTGAAGCACTTCACGCAGAACATCGATTGTCTCGAGCGTCTGGCGGGCGTGCCGGGCGAGATGATCGTCGAGGCCCATGGCAGTTTCGCCAATCAGCATTGCATCGACTGTAGCGCGGAATATCCCGAGGCCCTGATGAAGGATGCCATCGTCAAAGGCGAGGTACCATACTGTTCCCAGTGCAACGGACTCGTGAAGCCCGACATCGTCTTCTTTGGAGAAGCTCTGCCCGGGGACTTCTTTGACAACCGAACGCTTCCCGAGGAGGCCGACCTCTGTATCGTCATGGGCACGAGCCTTTCCGTGCAACCGTTTGCAAGTCTACCGGCGTTTTGTCGGGATGGGATCCCGCGCGTCTTGATTAACATGGAACGGGTCGGGGGGATGGGCTCCCGTGCCGACGATGTCCTGATCCTGGGCGATTGCGATGCGGGGGTGCGGAAGTTTGCTCGCGCTCTCGGCTGGGAGCAAGACCTGGAGCTTCTCTGGCAGGCGACGAATCCCAACAAGGAATCCCGCGAAGCCGAGATGGCCTCGCTAAAGACTAAGGATGAACGGCTGCGGGATGAAGTGGAGCGACTGACCGAGGAGGTGGACCGGACTCTGGGGATCTCGAACGCCTACGAGCAGCGAGTGCGACAACATCTGAACGGGTCGGGGGAGTCGGAGAAGATCGGGGGACTAGCGCATGTGTTTCCTCACCTAGCGCGGTAGACGAGGATATTGGGGTGTGAAGGGGAGGGGGCACTACGACGCAGTCATTACATACCCGCAGGCGTCGCCGAGTTCATGCATCAAACAGGCTTCATCAGGTTATTAGAAGATTGATTGATTGATTGAAGGGAGGGGGAAACGGCGTTTGGTGGGCTGTCCTATGTTTACTCCTACTACTACATTAGTTACGAAGATGATGACAGAAGAACCGTTTAAGATTGTTCTCATTTGAAAGGGAAAAAAATATATATATATTATCTTTTGGCACAGACCTCGTATGATAGCCCTAAAGACCGACGTGGACGCCAAGCTTGAGCGGTGATGCCTTTAAAGCCAGGGGTCTATACCAGTCGAGGTGAAAGGTGATGAGATGCAAATTACAATCGTAATTATGATGCGGATTCCTCAGGCCAAATCAATTAATCAAGCTACCTAAACAAGGACCGGTGAGGCGATCCTTGAGTCCACAGCGGAGTCATCGTGAGCGCCGTGAATGGTGGAAGGCCAGAGACTTAAGGCTCCCGCGCTGCCCCACGCCTGATATCATCCAGTCGTCTCGTTGCCCCTCCGCCCACTTCTCTACTTCTTCTTTTTCCATTCCTCCATTCCAGTCCCCTCCTTTCCCTCTCTCCATTTTCTCTCCCCCTCTGCTTATCTCGCCAATTGCTTTTCCACCGTCTTCTTTCTATCCTTCTATCTCCTTACTAGCTCGCAATCATGGTCGGAATCGGTCCCAAGCGCCCCCCATCCCGCAAGGGTAAGCTGATATCATCACCCGTCTCTTCCGTCATTCCCGCTCCGACCCTCTCGTACTCATGTCTTCCGACCAGGTTCGAGGCACGAACTGCCTCAGAATCTCCTGCAGCAGATCAAGGAGCTCGAGGATGTCTTTACCGTTGATACGGCCCGGTTGAAGCAAGTGGTGGACCATTTCGTCAAGGAACTGGAGAAGGGTGGGTTGATTAGCTCTCCAAGCTCTTTACTATCTGGTGGGAGGCCGGCCACTAACTGCGGAGGGTTGGTGTAGGTCTCAGCGTCGAGGGTGGAAACATTGTAAGCCTTTTGACATCCCATTGCCCGGGCGCCTTGTCGCGCGCATCGACATCACTCCATGGATGTGTTGGCTAATGCAGATTTCTCCAGCCCATGAACGTGACCTGGGTGATGGGTTTCCCCGACGGCCATGAGCAAGGAACTTTCTTGGCCCTGGACATGGGCGGCACCAACTTGCGTGTCTGTGAGATCACCTTGACGAAGGAGAAGGGTGCTTTCGACATCACCCAGTCCAAGTACCGCATGCCCGAGGAATTGAAGACCGGCACCGCCGAGGAGCTGTGGGAGTACGTTGCCGACTGTCTCCAGCAATTCATCGAATACCACCACGAGAACGAGGACCTGGCTAAGCTGCCCCTGGGCTTCACATTCTCCTACCCCGCTACTCAGGACTACATTGATCACGGTGTCCTGCAGCGGTGGACCAAGGGTTTCGACATCGACGGTGTTGAAGGTCAGGATGTTGTTCCTCCGCTCGAGGAGATTCTCAAGAAGCGGGTACGCGAAACCCGGCCAATATATACTTTCCTTTCTGACGTTACGGGTTACTAACGATAAAACTTGGAGTGCTACAGGGTCTTCCGATCAAGGTTGCTGCCTTGATCAACGACACCACCGGAACTCTGATCGCCTCTTCCTACACGGATTCCGCCATGAAGATCGGTTGTATCTTCGGAACCGGTGTCAACGCCGCCTACATGGAGAACGTGGGCTCCGTGCCCAAGCTGGCCCACCTGAACCTCCCCGGGGACCTGCCCGTGGCCATCAACTGCGAGTACGGTGCTTTCGACAACGAGCACATTGTTCTGCCATTGACGAAATACGACCACATCATCGACCGCGACTCGCCCCGTCCAGGCCAGCAAGCGTTCGAGAAGATGACCGCAGGTCTCTACCTGGGTGAAATCTTCCGTCTGGCCTTGCTGGATCTCCTGGAGAGCCGGCCCGGTCTGGTCTTCCGCGACCAGGACACCTCACAGCTGCGCAAGCCCTACCTGCTGGACTCGTCTTTCCTGGCGGCCATTGAGGAGGACCCCTATGAGAACCTGCAGGAGACCGAGGAGCTGATGGAGCGCAAGCTGAACATCAAGGCCACGCAGGCGGAGCTGGAGCTGATTCGTCGCCTGGCCGAGCTGATCGGAACGCGCGCGGCTCGTCTGTCGGCATGCGGAGTGGCCGCTATCTGCAAGAAGAAGAACATGGAGTCGTGCCACGTGGGAGCGGACGGTTCCGTCTTCACCAAATACCCCCATTTCAAGGCCCGTGGAGCGCAGGCGCTGCGCGAAATCCTCGACTGGAAGCCTAGCGAGCAGGACAAGGTGACCATCATGGCGGCCGAGGATGGATCCGGTGTGGGCGCCGCCCTTATCGCTGCGTTGACTCTGAAGCGCGTCAAGGCGGGTAACCTGGCTGGTATCCGTAACATGGATGAGATGAAGACGTTGCTGTAAATGTTGGAGTTTTATTGGGATGATTTATATATCTCTTTTTGTTTCCCTTTGCTCTCTTTACTGGAGACAATGTGCGTGTTTCGATTTGGGTCGGCAATGGGTTGGAGAAACCCGAATAAAAACAAATTACGATAGGGATGCATATATGATAGCATGAAGATGGGGATATACGCCTAGATGTCGGAATAGGACTAAATGACAGATAACCCCAGAGTCTGACAGTTGCCACTACTGTTTTTCTGTCCCTTTTTTCCCCGGGCCCGTCGACTGATCTGCAAGCAGAACCCCAGCAATGTGGCTGGAATGGATCAACCGGGATAAATCCTCGATGCGGAGATGCTCAACAATGTAGAATCTCCTTTTGTCAGTTGTGCAGTCTTCATTGCGCTGGACAGCCCATGGGGGAAGGTTGTGTTTTCGGAAATAACTGCATATATAAGCCTGCAGAAGTGACAACGGTCTCATCCCTTGTCTCACATTATCCTCTATACTTCGAGCGGTTGATATCCCTTGATCCAAATAAACACACTATAATTCTATCCTTCTGTTCCCACTCGTCCCTCCTCCCCAGGCAAACACACCTACCTATCCTTTCTCCCTCTTCCCTCCCTCAATGAAGCTCTCTATACTCCTCCTCGGCACGGCCCTCGGTGCCATGGCCGTTCCCCACGGGGGCCGCATCGCCCGCGACACTCCTTCCATCTCCGACAGCGTCAGCGCCAGTCCCACGTCTACACCGGTTGCTGCTAGCAGCAGTGCAACTCCCAGCAGCGCCTCCCCAAGCAGCGCCTCCCCAAGCAGCGCCTCTCCAAGTAGTGTGGCCCCCAGCAGTGCCAGCGCTTCGCCGAGCAGCAGCAGCGTAACGCCTTCCAGCACCCCCGTGTCCTCCGCAGCACCGACGGCGTCGCCGGTAAGTTGGGAAGCCCACGACCGACGATGATGTGTATTTTCTACCAGACTAACCGACTCACAGAAGAATCCCTTTCTGTCGAAAGTAAGTAATTGATAAAAGCGCAGTTCCTGGTGCGAGATTAGAGTGTTCCTCTTTCTCTATCGATTGCCATGGAAACGTGAGCGTGGATCGAATGTCGCTAATGGAATGTCAATCGTAACTAGGTGACGGGGTTGTTGGATGTGGTAGGCTTCTCTCTCTCTCTCTCTCTCTCTCTTTTCCCTTTCCAACTTTTCTCTACTATCCCTTCATTTGTCACATTCCAGAAGAGATGAAGAGGAGCCATGATTGACAGTTCATACACTAATACAAACCGAATCAAACAGCTCGGATCGATAGTCGGCGCCTGAGATGGATATAGGGCTGGCTGCTTAGTGTGAGCTGCCCTTATATTTTGGTTAGTGGCAGACGCTGGCAGCAACTGGCCCGGTTGGCACAATTGGTAAGCGCGTTCGGCTTTTAACCGAAAGGCTGTGGGTTCGAGCCCCACATCGGGCGAGCTTTCTTTTTTGTCTTCCCTCTTCTTTCTCTCTTCTATATTTACTCTTTCTTTCTATTCTCTCTATTTTTTATATTCTTGGAGGGAAGTCATGTTTGGGGTATGCTATTGTTTTTTTCAGTTGTGGTTGTAAAATCTGAATGTTTTACCTATTATTTGCTATCATATCACAAAATGAAAAGATCTTACTTAATATGCGTATTGTGTACATTGTCTATAGATATCCAGTTACGTACTCCGTCCGGCCCAGAAGTAGCAATGTCACTTTTTTTATATGCCTCTCGTCATGTCAGGATCCCTGTTCGTCTCCTTTATCCTCTATTCCTCTGCCTATCTACCCCCGGATCTCCCATAGTCTGATCCGGCCCTGTTCGTTGGCCACGGCCAGTTGCTCGGAATTAGGCGAGATGGCTACCGACGAGATTCGGCCCAGAGGCGTGTTGGACGTGGGCCAGTTGCGATACACGGTACACGAAGGGAGGTGAACTGGATCATGTTAGCGAATTGTCTCTTATAGAGGAAGTCGAGAGAAAACTTACCGATTCTCAGGGCATCCCTCTTCCATCGACTGGCCATGACGAAGAACTGTCCGTCCGGCGCGAATTCCAAGTGACTGATCGGCGTCGTGAGCTGGTCTAGCGCACGCACGGGCTTGGGGTTGCGTGGGATGGCCGACGAGGGCTGCGTGGCGTACGCCGCGGCCCAGGGCCGTCGGTCGTAGACGTTGACGATACCGCTGGAGCTGCCGATGGCCACCCAGCGGTCGCCTCCCAGCTGCGTGCGTCCGGATCGTCCTCCCAGGCTGAGCACCGTCGTGCCCACCGCACCCGCATCCACCCACCGGGCCACGACCCGCTGGGATTTCCTGTCCCACTCGGACACTTCGCCGTTCTTGCTGACAACCGTCATGCCCTCGCCGTCACACCACCAGGCGAAGTCCGCCACGCCGCCGCGGCCGTCCACCCGGACCTGCGCGATCCACTGCGCCGTTCCAGAGTCGAGGACGTTGATGAGACCGCCGCCCTTGCGCGACGAGCCAACAAGTCCGACGTACCGGCCACAGGGCGAGAGTTTGAATCGCTCCATGGACTTCTGTTCCTCCCGCCGATCCGCCGTGCCATTTACCTTGTCCACCTTGCCGGTGTTCAGGTCCCAGATGTGGAAGTAGCGCCGGCGACCCGATGCAAAGATCTTATTGCCAGCGGGCGGGGCAAACGCCGAGGTGTGGATGGGCGTACGGCGAATATGAAACGAGGTTAGGAGAGGATTCGGGGCTGCAGAAGATGGCGAGATGTGGTGAAGGAAGAGCGTCGCCGCCGGCCCCGAGGACAGGAGCAAAGGGTAATGAGGATGGAAGGAAAGCGAATCGATTGAAGACTGGCAGATTTGTTCAATTAGCACGTTGGCCAGCTATCGCCAAAGTCTGATCAGGGCCACACTTACCGGCTGGTCTTTCCCAACGTCCTTTAACCTCTGAATATCCAGCATTTCCTGGCGCAGCTTTCTCTTTCCGCCCGCGTGCGTGTTATCTTCCAGCTTCGTGAGGTCAGTAACGCCTTGAAGGAGCTTCGCGAGAGGCTGCGCGGAACTCGGGCCCTCGTCATCCGTGTCCATGTCGTCCGAGTCGGATTCGTTTCGGGCCACGCTCAGCTCGGGGTTCGCCCATTCAGGCGTCGGATGCAATTGCTGGTACTGTCTGCGAAGGCGTCGGATGTACTCCTTGCCACTGATCACATCCTCGGACTCGGCCACACGCAGCTTCCTCAGTCTCTGGTGGCTCGCAAGCGAGATCGTGAGACGCTCATCGTCGCTGTCGTGCCACACCGCCGGCAATTCATCCGTCTCCTCGTCATCTTCGGCCTCAGCATCGGACATCAATTCGGCAGGTGCGGCGACGTCGGTGGAAACGGCATCCGCGCCGGAATCGAGGAAGAAAAGCTGTTGAAAACAAGCGTTAGCTTAATCAGACCGAAGCAAAACGGAAGGCCACAAACATCGGCATCCGCCATCTCGTCTAGCGCTTTTTCCTCGCCCTCCTCGCCCTCTTCCTCTTCACTGGCCGCCTCCTCGTCACTCATAGTCGATAGCGCTGCCAAACTGCGATCTTGATGGCTCTTCAATGCGCCGTGGAACCCCTCGTCGTCGCCGAAGAGCATTCTCTCCAGTTTCCTCTCCGCCTCGTCCTTCTCGGGCACATTGTCGTCGCTGTCGCTAGCCCCGCTGTGCATGTCCACATCGCTATCGTCATGAGCAGGTCGTGCCTGCTCAAAAGGCGACCGTGAAGTCGGTTTGGCCTTTTGGCGGATTCTTTCTTTGACCGCGGTTTTCGGCATTGTCGATGCGGCCTCAGTATCGGTTGTATTCAAAGTAACCTTAGACAAGATATTGAATAGGGATTAAATTTTGGGACAAAGACCGGAAACAAACGCCGGGGCAGGAAAACGAGGGCTGTCGCAGATCGGAAAAGGATTCGAAGAGGCCGCCGACAAATAATTTTCTGCGCTCGTCCGGCAGATACGGGCGGTGGGCTCTGCGGTGGACGCTGCTGCCTTAGGGTACGCCCATCATTTCAGGCAGCCACCCTGGTATCTACATACAACCTTCGTCTCTTTCTTTATAATTATCTTTCCCTGTTTTTCTCCCCTCTGCTAAATGCATGTTATTGATAACCAACTAGTCAAAGAGAATGAATTGCAAAAGAGAGAGGAGAAAGCGGCAATGAATTCTGTACAGACTCCTACAGACTCCAATATAGTGCGTGTATTCTGCTTGAACGGAAGTGACCAAAACCAAAACGAACATATGTATAGCAAGATCCGGATAGAAGACTCAAGAAACAAAAAACAAAACAATAGCTCCATAGAAAGATGAAAACCGTTGCCGGTAACCCAACTCCGTCATGTAACACCGCGAACCATAACCATCAATCCTTCCGTTGTCATGGAGTCTTTTGTTGTACCGTGAGTTTCGTAGATGATGACATCAAATCATATTCGCCATGGCTGCTGCTGCTGGAACCGGTTGAGGCGGACGAAGCAGAGCTGTTCTCACCTCGGGATGCAGGGGGATAGTCGGCTGCGTCGAATTTCGACAGAGCTTCTTTCGTTCGCGTCGGGCTATCCAGACCTTTGGCAAGTCTTCGCTCCGCAGCGTCGTCCTCGGACACCAACGTTCCGTCATCCTCCAAACCTGCCAACAGGGCGTGGCGGTGGTCGTGGTCATCGTCTAAATCTTCCTCACGGTCGTCCTCTTCCTCCAGCAACTCATCCGATGGTTTCTTGATGAATGTGTCGATGATATAATACTGAATCGCGTTCATACAAACGGGAAATAGAAGCATGACGAAGAAAATTTGCACGGCGGCATTTCCTTCCGTCCATCGCAAAGCCCAATCACCGACTTTGACAATGAACGGCACAAGCTGGATGAGGAAGAAGACACAGATTTTCATCCCCAGCAACCCAATGAAATATATGATGGACTGCTTGAACCACCAAACTGCACGAGGCGGACGGCCATAGTTGCCCGAGATGATCGATTCCGGGGGGTTGGCGAGCGGAGTATAAGAGGCCAAGCGATTTAGTACATGGAGAATGAAGATCAAAATCGGGATACCAAGGGTGGTCTAATGATCAAGTCCACATTAGTTTAGCAGTCCTTGGGTAGCCCATCAAGGCAAGGAATCGCGACACTCACGTCTATGCCCAGGTTCAACAAGTAGAACGAACAGGGGTTGGGTTTATAGTCGCTGGTGATCTCCAGCTGGCCGGCAGAAAACATAGACATGAGTAGGTTTGCGAGATGGAGCATTGCCGACCCGAAGACCTGTTTTGAGACGTCGAAGGCCCATACTTTCAGGGGCCGCTGCGGCCTTTCCCTCCATCGTTTGTAGACCAGAGACAACAGGGCCAACGCCCCGAGCGCGGCTTGAACGAGGAGCGAGAAAGGGCCCAGAAGCCTACATTCTCCGTTGTCATCCGCGTCCCCAGAAGAATCTGGACCCGCCAGCGGATAGGGGATGGACTGTGCCGATGGCGAAGGCGAAGGTGACGGTGTCGCGATGGTGCTGGAGGTCGAACCGAGGTCGCTGGCGGAAGCGCAGCCGACGAGCACTGCGACGATGGCGGTCGCCGTGACCGCAAGGCGCGACACGGTCATGGTAGCCCCGTGATAGAAAGAATCACAGGAGGGTGAAGGAAGTGAGTCCCAAATAGGCGGCTGGTGTCATCAACAGAGGGGGGTAGCTTCTGGGTAGTGGCGACGACACGAGAAGTAAGCAGTGACGGAGAAAGGGCGCTTGTGTTAGGAACTAGCACAGGTAACGGTGACAAGGTAAAAGAAGAGGAAGAGGGATAAACAGGACCCCCGTGGGAATAGAATCAGACAAGAATAGGTTTGGCGTGCATGAGAACCCCCGTGTGATTACTCCTTTACCAGCAAGGAGCCTGAACCAGCCAGGAGCGGTGGATTAAGATTCATTTATTGGAATTTGAAGGGAGGAACAAACTCCGTAGGTTCCAACCGGCGGTGCCAGGACGAGACAAGACGAGACACGGCCCCCGCAGTGTGGGCGGAGTTAGTCACTAGTTCGTCTTAGTCACGCCTCGTCGCCGCCGCTCCTGCATGTTGCAACTTGCAACCCTGACGAGATTACTAGGATTACAGTTGGAATCCGTATATCGATGGACGTAAGATGATCATGATCATAGATTCTCATCTGGTGGGTATGGTAAGGATACCTGGCCACTGCGGTGTCCTTCCATGCTGCGCGCTACAAACTTGCTACCCAGTTGCTACAAAACCCCACAAACCATACAGATCATCGGGTTGATAATAAGATATTCCAGAGAATTGATTTGATTGCTGACCAATCCGGAGATAGTTCAAGCCCATAGGTTCTATCCTCGCCCCCAAATTCCAAAGCCCTTCCTGAGACTATGAGAGGTCACCGGACAACCCCCCCCCCGGCCTGTGTATTCATTCCGGTCCATCTTAGATCATAAGTCTCTCAACCTTGTCCTTGATGGATCTGATCTGTGGCATAAGATCACTAGCCTCGTTGGTGGTGATGCTGGCAGCGATCACGGGGCGAGAGACACCGGTGGCGCGACCCAGAGCAAGCTTGCTGGGGACGAAGACGTAGGGGGTGTTCTTGTCCTCGGCGAGCAGGGGCAGGTGAAGAAGGATGGCCAAGGGGTTGCAGTCGGCGGCGAGAATCACAATTTCGGCAGTACCGCGGTTAAGCGTCTTTGTGGCTATGTGAGGGTCAACATATGAACTGATCGATCGAGGGCATGGACTCTACTGACCTTCGTTGGCTCCCTTCTTTATTTGTTTGAAATGATTGGCTTGCTGCACGAGGTCCAGGATGTTCTGGGTGAGGCTCTCATCAGCCAGAGGCCAAGCTGCAAGAGGAAAATGAGGCATCAGTATAACGTCGCATGCGGTTCGGGTGGGCAAGCTGTCTACTTACCAGCGTTGGGTTCTCCAGACATAATTCCGGTGGGTGGTTTGAGAAGGCGAGATCAAAAAATAAATAATCTGGCTCACGCAAAGGATCACTGCCGTGGTGCAGATCAGAATTGGATGCTTGAAGGTTGAAAGAAGGAAGGAAAGACGAAAAGAAAAAAGCCGTCCATCTTTCTTTCGTCGGCAGAAAATCTCGACGGCGACTGGTCGGTGGGGCGTGATCGAGCTAACCACTTTGGGAATGGCGCAGTCATAGTGTATGCCTGAGAACCCAGGCAAATACAACGGGCATCTCATTAAGTATTCACACTCGGGCTGCATCAATGGATGTATTCAGGACGGCATCGATCTACCGATAAGAAATAACAAAATTACTATAGTATACATGCCGCATCCACTTACTATGGGCACTACCTTATACTATGTATTCTACTACTTTCCCCTACGGTGTATGCTCGTAATACCCAGAGAGCAAGTTACCAACGAGAATAGCAAAGATCCCTGACTACGCCGTCACGATCGGTACCTAATTGGCTTTTGGCCCTCGCGACTAGCGACCAGGGGTGGGTACTATGGAAGTTGCTTTCCAAGCCATCCTCGCCAGCCAGCGAACTGACCTACGGACAACGAACAAGCTTAGAACAAGCTTATGCGGGTCCGGGAGAGAAGCCTGTTGCTACTATAAGTATGCACAGAAGTCCAAATCTCGCCTCATAGGCACCGCTGCATGATCTCCATAGATCGGGCCCTTCTTGCAGTCCACAGGCCGCCGAGCGATCATCAACAGCCTATGCCGACTACCGCACGCTAGCACATAAGCGTCTTTCAGCAATATGTTTTCCCGTAATCCGTAGACTAGGCTAAGCGCGAAGTGCATACTGTACATACTTCGTACATGTGAACTACCCACCCGGGGTGCACAAGGATCGGAAAACAGAAAGACTTCTCACGAGTCTATCGCAGCAGCCGACGGTGGCCCGCGATGGAGATGATTACATTGATCGTAGCGACTAACTGGTATAACGGCACTGAGGCCAGTATGAAAGAACCCATTCTGTATCGCTTCCCTAGGCAATCGCCAGAAGATCACATTCTACCCTCCGGCCACCCTCACACCCATGAAGAAGAGTCACGAAATCCATCAGAGTAAAACGCCAGAAACCCCACAACCAACCCATAATAAAACGCGGCCAGATGCCGGAAAAGGGGACGCAGAGAAAGCGACAAAAAGAATCATAACGTCATTCTATACCGTGCTGCTGTTTAAGACGTTCCAAATTCTCTTGCCTTTCCGCCATATCCTCTTTCGACCTAAGCATTTTTTCCGGCTGGTGATATAGGACTGCAACGAAACGAGAGAATGTCAGCCACGGCCTCGAGCTCTCATCCCCCGGGGCGTCACGTACCGACGAGATATCTGTTCTGGAAATTGAATCCATTGAGCTTATCGCATGCCTGTTTGGCGTCGTGAACGTCTTCGTATACAACAAATGCGGTGCCTTTCGAGTTGTTGGCGATTCCCTGACGTATTTGCCTGCAGCCCAGAAGGGTTAGTCCTTGCGCGACTCGATATATCCAGATATTCTCGAGCAATGTCTTACCGAATGGGCCCAAACTTGCCGAAAAGGTCGAACAGTTGCTCAGCAGTTACGTTGTAGCTGGATCGACATATACTGATTAGTCTATAGCTTCCAGGCGATCGAGGTCTGTATCGTTGGATCCCACGAGTCTGGGAGTTGTGCGACGGCCTACGAGTGGCAAAAAAAGAAAAACGTAGGGGACATACTTGAGGTTCTTGACAAAGAGAATCCTGATTAAAATTTAGTACACGGCACTAAGCGATCGCGGATGATTCCAACTGGCCAACGCGTTGACCCTGGGGCGCAGATATCGGGGTCGATCAAGGAGGGGCAGAATTATTTCGACGAGACAAGGGCAAGAACTTACCGATTGGCTTCGGGGGCGAGCTTTCGGCTCATTCTCAGGTGGGACGGTTATGGTCCAGAAAAAGGATTCGGGGATAGAGGAAGGATGTCGAGCCGATAACCCAACGGGGTTTGGGACAGTTCAGGAACGAAGGGAGAGGAGGAGCCAGAAGGAAGGGGAGGAAAGAGAGATGTAATTATCGGCGATGAGCACGAGGTCGGAACGGGGCCTGCCTTGTCCCGTTTGGGTTTAGTCGTCCGCCGGGAGCCTCACTTGATCGTTGGTCGTTTGTCCTTGAGCCTTGGAGGGAGAACTGGTGAACGGGTCTTCGAGATGTTCGTGTCGGCCTTTGGATCTGGGAAACAGGGAAGGATCGGAGTGTCGCTGGGAAGAGGGATCTGGGATCCCGGAGATTAACTCTGGCATCCTGTTCAGCAGCGGACAGACCGAGCGGCCGCAAACGACCGACCGGACGAGATGGCAGCCTGAGGCACCAAGGCCATCCCGCCCTTTCGCTCTCTCTTCCTCTCTCGCTCGCCCTCCTCCCTCTTCCTCTCCCTCTCTTTCCCACCCCTCCTCCTCTCGCTCCGCTTCACATCCCCATCCGGTCCTGATGGCGCCTTAGTCCTCAATCGTTGGAGTTTCCCCGATCTTGTCGCTCGTCCCGGTCAATCTCCTCCCTGTCGCGCTTGACCTCTCGCCCGCACCCGCGCTGCCTTCCTCGGTGCTGTGCCACTAGCCCAGCCCGGCCGGCAGACTCAACCCCCTCAAACCTCCTAACGTTCCGCCGTGCGACTTTCCTCCGTCAACCTCTTCGCTTCACCTCACCCTCCGCCCATCCCGATTCACCATCCCCAGTCTCCTTTGTTCATCGTGCGCCGTGCATTCTGCCAGGAATGACTTTCCTTTTGCTTGCGGTGGCCTCTCTCTAGCCCGCGTGGTCGAATAACCCCCTCCCCGCTTTGCATCCTTTTGCCGCACGCCTTGTCTGCTCCTTCGGTCCCATTCTTTCCTCTCCTCCTCTCCTTCATCCACCGGTCCCCGTACTTCCGGGAGGCTCTTCGCATCCTTACAATGATCAGCGCTACCTCCTTCTTGAATCACTCGGCCGCCCGACCGCCGCGGTATCGCACTCCTTCACCTCCGCGACGCGCCGTCGAACCAATATCACCATGCACCACCTCCGACGCCCGTGTCTCGTGGGTTGACCGCGCCGTGCCTAAAGCTGCGAGCTCTGATGGCAATCGGTACCCTACAAACAATGGTGGATATGCCCCGACTACCGACGCCGCACATCATCGGTCGAGCCATGGTCGATCCAGCTCGACCATCGACACCCTTGCGACGATTGCTCTCGCGACGAGCCCACCTTTCGCGCCCGTCTCCTATCGACCTCCCTCCCAAAATTCCGCCCCCTCCATGCCTTTGTTCCCCCCTGAGCCCGCCGAAGCTGAAGAACGCCCGGCTAAGCGGCCACGGTCGGAGAAAGATCCTTCGCCGTTCTATCCACCCCGAAATAATTCGATCCCCGATCCCAATGCTCCCTCGACATTCGACAGCATGAAAACCGATGCGGAGCTTCTACTGAATTTTGCGCGGCCTTCGAATTTTTATCTCCCCTCGTCGAAGCGAGTCAGCATTGACGAATCATATCACCCCCAAGGAAATGATGCAGATCCCCAGCCCGCCATCGGGTTTGGCGCTGCGGGCTTGGACTTGAGGGATGAGAATTCTATATACAACGTCTCTGCCTCAAACAATATACCGCCGTCACGTATGAGGTCAAGGTCCGATGGCTCGGCCGTCGCCTCTCGGCCAGTCCACCATGGCGTGCGACCGAGCACCAGTTCTTCTACGCTTCCGCCATTCATGCCGGAAGGAGATGGCGGGGGAACACACTGGGCCTCTGTTACGAAAGAAACCCTGAACGACGCACAACTGGGCCCCGGGAGTACTGGTGCGATAGGAGCCCGCATTGATCAATTACCAATCGGCCTATCTTCCAAGGTGGAGGACGACCCAGAATCTGAGGTTACCACTAGCCAGGCTACCTGCGCTGCTTGCAATCTAGTTCGGATTCCCGTCGATACGGGTGAATACGGCGATGTCACCTGGATCAGCTGCGATGGTTGCAAGCGATGGTTTCACATTGTCTGTGCGGGATTCAAAAATGACCGCGAGATTCGGACCGTCGACAAATTCATCTGCCGTGGGTGTCGACCAGTCCATGGACAGACGACCTTTGTCCGCAAGTCATCTCGCGCGCGTACTGCCATCGATTATGCGGGACTCAACCAAGGACTGGTTAAGACTGCCACGGACTCGGTAGAACATCACTATCTGGAGCCTATACGGCAGGGCAAAATTCAATTCCTTGATGAAAGTTTCCCGCGGATGCGCCCAGAGCTCGTCACGGCCGAATATTTTGAACGTGGCAGTGGCATGACGGAGCCAATCGTTATCCCCGCCCATATGAACTCCCGAGCGCCGATCTCTGCTGCCGGCCCGGAATTTGATCTTCTAGTCCAGGAAGCTCCTACCCAGGAAATGTTCGACGAGCTGCTGGACCATGTCCCCGACGAAGACCAGGACTTTGAACAGGTGCTGGATTGTGGCCAAGACCAGTTGGACATGGTGATCCCTCAGGGCCTCACGACCAGGGCCGTGGCCGAACTCTATGGCCCCGAGGAACGAGTGGAGGTCATCGATGTCAAGTCCCAACAAGGGGAAGATAAGAGGTGGACCATGCAAAAATGGGCTGACTACTACGAAAGCTCTGGATCGAAGGTTGTTCGGAATGTCATTAGCTTGGAGGTGTCGCAAAGCAAACTGGGTAGGCTGATTCGCCGGCCAAAGATCGTTCGCGATCTGGACCTGCAGGATTCAGTCTGGCCAGATGAACTCAAGGCTGTTGGCGATTTCCCTAAAGTGCAATTTTATTGTCTGATGTCTGTCGCTAACTGCTACACCGACTTCCATGTTGATTTCGGTGGTTCCTCGGTTTACTACCACATTCTGAAGGGCAAGAAGACCTTTTTCTTCATCCCTCCCAAAGACAAACACCTCAAGAAGTACGAAGAGTGGTGCAATTCTCCTGCCCAGGACTCTACTTTCCTTGGGGATCAAACCAAGGAGTGCTACCGCGTTGATCTTTCCGAGGGCGACACCATGTTGATACCGTCCGGATGGATTCACGCCGTGTGGACCCCCGAGGACAGCCTAGTCATCGGCGGCAACTTCTTGACGAGGTTGAATTTCGGGATGCAGATAAAGATCGCCAAAATCGAGAAAGATACCAAGGTCCCGAGGAAGTTTAGGTATCCGTTCTTTCAGAAGATCCAGTGGTACACCGCGTTGAAGTATCTGGAGGAAGATCCAATCCCTCAGAGCGTGCTAGATGCTTTCGCACAGGACGAAAACTACCGCTTCCATAGAGATTATCCCATCTACTACGAATTCGGCGAACGGAAGAACACGGCACCCTCCGGGTCTCCCTATCATAACTCACGCTTCTACTCCCAAGCGGAACTGGAAGGCCTATTGGACCTGGCCAAGTATCTGCTCCGGACCGCTCTGATTGCAGGCTCGTATATTGTCGAAGGCGTGACGATGGACGCAAGAAATGCCATCAAACGGTCCATACCCAAGGGTGCAGGGGACCCCGTCGAAACGGTCAGGAAATTCGGAATCTGGGTTGCGTGGAAGCGCGGGAACGAAAAGGCGGCGCAATGGACACGCCCCGGTATCGTCGAAAGCAACGCTAAACTCAGCCTGACGGACAAGAAGCCTGCCGGGCGCCCCAGCCGTCGTTCCGAGCGAAATGTTGACAGCCAGCGTATGTATACCGAAAGACAGGCGGTACAGCGGTTTCCGGAGCAATCGCGCGAGCTCGAGAATGGATTCGTTAGCACTGGTGACTCCGTCTCCTCCAATAGCGGCGTTTCCGTTTCAGCCCACTTGCCTGCGAGCAGCGTTGCAAGAGAGGACACTGCCCCCAAGCCCCGAACTGTGCCTCGCGGGTCTGGGTTAGGTCCGAAGCGAGTGGCTTGTGATGCTTGCCGCAAACGACGCATCCGGTGCCACCATAAGGATGACCACAGTGATATGATTTCCACAAAACAAATAATGGTTGGGGCTTTCGGTCCGTCAAGTCAATCCTCTTTGGCTCATGACGCTGCATCTGCATTGAATTCCCTCGCGGCCATCGCTTCTGAGGCCGGCTTCCAAGACAACCATGGCAGGAATCATGAAGGATTCGAAACCGCCGGAAAGTACAGCTCGGGGACATTAGGAACACCCCATTCAGTTGCACATAGGCTTAATGATATGAGTCCTGATGGATTAGGTCACGGCAAAAAGGGACGCAGCAAAGCCTGTGATGATTGTCGAAAAAGCAAGGTTTGGATCCCCGTTAAATGTCTCATATATGCGATCTAGTTGTTGATGTTCTTGCAGCGCCGGTGCATCCACGATGAGTATGGAAGAATCGACCCCGTCAAGGCGCAGGAGCGGTCGAAGCCACGAGCTGCAGCCTCCGCCAAACGACCACGGCCTCACGATGAAGGACCTGTGTCCACGGCAAATAAAAGACCCAAGCAAGAAAGTAGTACATCTCCTGTGACGAGGCCGGTGCACCTTAACCGAGAGGATGAAGCTGCCGGCAATCAAGTTTTCCAGCCACCGGTCCATATTCAGAGGCATACTACCACCGACCATGCTCAACTGACAGAATTTCAGCATGCGAGCAAGGCGCCCTTGCATCAGCCGAGAATGATGTCGGCAGAAAAGGAGACACGAGTAGACCAGTCCTCGTACGCCTCGCCACCGGCTTTCCAGACGGATCCAGTTATTGCTAGAGAAATAAACGCAGATTCCATGTCGTCTAAACCCGCCGCTTCGCTCGTGTCCCCACCGACTTCCCTGGCCGACGAAACCGACGTCCCCCACGAGCATGCCGACGGGGATGGCGAACACACCGCAGTCCTACACACTCCTACGTCTAGTTCCCGCCATTCCTCCCGCCAGCCTCGCCACGTTGACCGATATGTGCCCGAAGTCCATATCATCAACAAAAACACGAAGTCGTCATCAACCCACACCCCAGCCGCGCGACGCTCGTCTTTCGGTGCATTGAGCTCCGCTACGCGCAAAACCACGCCGGGTCCGTCCTCAGGTTCAAAGAAATCCTCGTCCCGTCCCTCGTCATCACACACAAAAAAGGCATTTTCTCCCACGGCAGAAAAGAGGCTTGACCGTCCTGTCCCTTCTCCTGACGGCGTCAAAAATCCCAAACGTGAGCGAGGAACCGTTGGTGACGAGGAACCGGATGCCGAGAGCCTACGTCTCATTCGTGAACTACAAGAGCAGGAATTCGGTCTGCGGAAACGAGCAACTCGTGTGTGAGGTAAACGAGTCGATTTGTGTGAAGTCGCGTACTTTTATGGGTTACGATAATGCTCTTCTTTCTTTGTCGTTCTTTCCTGCTCCTTTAGACTGCGTCAACCGGGCAACCCAAAATCACTTGCTGCGGTACGACTCTGACGGAGCTCTAGTGAATCTTTTCCCCCCTTCTCTTCTTTTCTTCCATCTTATACTTTGCCTTTTTCTTTCCCTTTATCTTTGATCCTTTCCTGTCCTTTCTTTTCTTTTCTTGTTAAATGCGGAGTTTGAGATGAGAGGGGAGTTAGTGCGGAAACCTGGGATTTGAACTCTTTTTGGTCTTTGACGCCTTTTTTTTTGTCTATTATTTACACGGTTTATTGGGCGTTTGATGAACAGGCCGGGCTTTTATCTGCCTGGGGCCGTTCCTTTGCATCGATTTTTCTTATTGCTTTTTTTTTTTTCATTCAATTATCGAAGCATGCTTTTTTCGAGCTTTGCGAGCCGAATTTGTTTGGCGTTCCAGAGTTGTACGTTGGGGAATTTCCTGGTCAGACCGTTGATCTTCAGAGACATCATTTACTTCTGCTCATCGGTTCTTTATTTCACCTTTTCTTCCTTTTCCCCCCATCTCGCCCCCTTATTATCCTTGTGCTCTGTACTCGTTCTCTCTTCCATTCTTCTTGTTCAGTACGTACGGAATCACCTGCTATGTTCTTGTAATGGGCTTGAGTTGAATGGACGGCATTCCCCTTTGGCTTCTGTTTGCTTTGTTAGGGCTCTCTCTGCTGGCGTTTTGTTGATTTTAAAGCCTCCCTCTATCCCTGACCTAGGGAAGAGGGGTGAGCCGTCATGTTCTCTTCGAATTAATAATACCCCGGATTTCTTTTTATATTAATGGTGATGCCATTGACCCTATTTGAGCTGGTAGTTTGTATTTTCGTCGTGTATGTCTTTCGAGTTTCGTCTCTATAGTCATTTACTTTTATTGCTTCTTGATCACTGATGGGTCGTTGAGGTTCAGGTAGGTGAAGTCTCGAAGTCACGAATAGATGTAGTGGTCTTTAGGTATGTAGAGGTTATGGGGATTTGAAACACAGGCATCTGTACTTCCGGTTAACATGAAAAAGAGAACAAATAGTAAAATATATCTTCCCTCGTACGTAAGTCATGGATCTCGTCAACCGACATATATAGCACCAATTGCATCCTCGGAGTACCTGCCGGGAATTCAAGGAAGACATGGATCAACACGTAACTCATGGGGTATATATATCCTATACGGTGTATCATAATAACAGCCGAAACTCTCTAGGACAAGAAACCGCGTCATCACAGAGAAAGAAGCACAAGAATAGAAATATCAATAATCATAACAATAACAGCCCCAAAGCGCCAAACCCCTGGTGTATGTATATCATCACGGCAGACGCTCGTCACTCAAACCAGGCTTTCCGTCCCGGACACGAAGCTGCCCCAGCGCTTGGCCCGTTTCGTTTCCCCTATATAGTTCTTGATCACACACGTATCCCCATCGGGGCCCTGACAGACCTTGCGGCGATTAAGGTGCTTGAATCGAGGACCCAACGGCCCATTCACGTAATGATATTGGCCTGCAAAGCGGTACTGCCGACGATCTCCCAAGGGATAGAACTTGTCGCCCCAATGGCCGTTGAAATAGAACCATTCCGTGGGCGCGTCAGGGCTGGTGGTGGACGCACGTAGTGTATCATTGTCGTAGTCATATGTATAGGCATGGGAATTCAACAGGGGATCCCAGAGCGGACCACGATCCGTCCGGTCGTGGAGGAGACCCCAAGGAAGAATGTATGAGTGAACTCCCGGGGTCGCATACATGGCATGGGTGCCTGCTGCCGAATAGATAACCGGCTATTGGTCAAAGGGTTAGCATCATAAATGCGCGCGTGTGTGTTGTCTATGCAGCACTTACCCGATCCCCAATCTTCTCGACGGCCTCATAGCTATACGCCTCTCCAGCAGAGTGAGCACTGAAGAACAGCGCCTTGGGTTTCCCATGGTGAAATCGTACAAGACAGTGCTCCCAATCACCGACGTGGTTGCCAAATCGCACGTTGAGAACCACATTTCCCAAATTGAAGCTATAGAAATAGAACCAGAAGGCGTCGACAATACCGTTCCCTTTGTCCATAACGAGCAGAACAGCCGGCGCCTCGCTACGGCCTCCAGTCACCTGCATGCGAACCGGTTCCCCGCCGTAGCGCTTTCGCAGATCATTCCGGACTCCCTCATCGGCCAGAGGATCCTCAGCAGACAAGTAGCCCATGTCTTCCGGGGCGATGTCTTCTTCGCTCGTCGGAAGCGTGTTCGTGTCGTACCATTTGGCTCGTTCCGCCGGCGAGTCGCCGGGGATTTCCCCGTCCACACGACCGTCCCAGTCGGCCCAGGACTGCTCCAAGTCATCCTCGGGTGAACTGGGGATGTTTTTCTCTCCCTCGATCCACGGCGGACGATCTTCGACATTGTCGTCGCTGGTCAGAAAGACGTAGTGCCCTTCCTGCCACTGATTCAGCTGGTCAAGATCCTGGAGCGTCGGGTGGTCCCATCGCGACTGGACGGGGGTGTAGTTCAGCATCGGCGTGGTGTGGTAGAGATGCTCGGCGATATCGCAAGGCCAGAATTGTTCGCCCGAGAACAGATGGACCAAAGGCGCGTACTGGAAAACATAGTTGGGGATCTCCCGGCGAGGTCGCTCCGTCTCATCCCACGAATAGTCCGACTGGTTGGCCCCATTGAGCCAGAAGGCCCGCCAGGACGCCGATCCGGCCGGGTCCCCCGAAATTGGGGCCTCCGGGGCGGGCCTCCGCTGGCCGAAGTAGGGGCGCACCAGCCGGAAGTGCGCGGTGCCGCAAGCTCCGAGCCACCGACAAGCTTTCCGATCAAACCACGAACGAGACGAGGCGATCCAGCGCGACTCGTCGTTGTCCTCGTCGTACCAGATGAATGCCGCAGGATTGATCGCCCGAATTAGACTGTTGACAGAAACATAGGTGATCAAGGAAGAAAGGATGACGATAGCGGCGGTCGTTTTTCGCACCATCTGTTGGTAGGGATTGGGCAGCACAGTGAGATCGGCAACAGAGGAGAGCGGCTGACAAGGAACGGTCAGGCTGACCTCTCCAGATTGGGCAGCCGCAGTGGAAAGAGTGGGAGCAGCTTTGACGATCGCAACAGCACTGCCGGGCACGACAGACTTCCCAATCGGGACAGCCCCAGGGCAAGAGCCGGACGGAGCTAGAGGGGAAGCTGGAAGGAGGGTAGAGGGAGGAGGAGCATGCGACAAGCTAGGCTCCAGAAAGAAGAGAGTGAGGAAGAGGCAGCAGAGGAGGCAGGAACAGAGGGAGAGGAAACGAAAGCCAAAGAAGCGGGCAGCCAGGCCCGGAGAAGGAGGAGGGAGCACTATAAAAGGAAGGGAAGCGCGCACGAAGGCATTGGCCGTCAGCGGTCGAGAACAGCAGCATGACTGAAAAGACTAACTCAGGACTATGAACTAGCAGGAATTGTCCAGTGAGAAAGAGAGACCGGGAGGGACGGAATGGGATTAGATAATGTGGGAAGGAATGAGAGGTGCAGATTATCGGCGACGAATGCGTCCTGACTCCTGACAGGGCTGCGATCAGCCCGCCTTCCGCGCGCTGCCGGATCGTCGGTGGCAAGGATTTGAAATCGGACGGTGGGTGATGAGGGATGACAGTATGACTATGGAAGCAGGCGGGACTTACTTGGAGGGAGGTGGGGAGTGGGGGAGAGAGCTAACTAATTAATTAAAATTTAATGAGAAATGATGGAATTGGAGAGAAAATGGATTGTATAGAATCAACAGATAGATGGATAGATAAGAGGGGGAACTAGTTTAGCTTGCCTGGGTCAACCAAGCTTGAGAGTGGAACTGGGGATAGGGCAGGGAAAGGAGTTGTCAAGGACAAGAAGAATAAGAATGGGATGATGAGGTCATTGATCATTGATCATTCACTTCGGGGGCTACAGGGCTGACCGACATCCGTAGACCCCGAATTGTGACCGGGGAAGAGATGGAAGAGTTGGAAAGAGACAGAAAGAGTCTAAGGAATGAAGACGATGCTCGGCGTGTTTGTTTGTTTGTTTGTTTGCGCTGTTTGCCTTTCCCCCCGGGAGCACGGGGCCCAACCGCATCCGTCGGGCTTAATTCCGTCATCTCTCGTGATTCTTTTTTCCCTCCCATCCATGCTTCCATGGCTTCCATGCATCCCGCCGACCCCGTCCTAGTCTTGGATCCGGCCATGTTGCCGGATCCTGCTTCTGCCGCCGAAGATGATTCCGATTATGAATATGAGTATCACGACCAAGAAACGGAGGTTAGTCTAGGCAGCGCATGGTTCCTCGATCGAGCTCCCCGCTAACAAAAAGCACCCTGCGTCTCCATGCAGACATTCTATCTCACCCTCGACCTAGCGTCAAACCAGAACCTCGGCCGGTCTTCGAAACGACGTCAGGAGTCGCAATCGGCTACTACCGCTGGCGCCCTGCCGACAGATCCTTCTCACGGTGACGGAAACGAGCCTGCGCTGGCCAGCACGGAAATCGACTCTATTCCCGAAGAGCGCGTGCAGATCCTTGGTCTTCATACCCCAAACCCCATCGTCTCCTATAGGAACCAGATCTTCAATTGTACCTGGGCCGATCAAATTGGTACCGAGCTCCTCTTCGCACATCCCGAAGTCGATGTGGGGTCGGAGTCTATCGCGCCAACGAACCCGCTGAGGCGCGGGAAAGACTTTGATCTGATCGCGGCGAATAGCGTGAAGATTCTCGGGCGCAAAGCCAACCTCATCTCCAGTTCTGGCCCTCCGCCGGCAATGGAGCCGGTGGATGCCGACGCTGCGTCGGACGCAGACCCCGCAACGGCCCGCAGAACAGGCCCTCAATCGAACCAGGCCCGCTTCCTTGAACGGCTTCAGAGCATTAAGCAGGCCAAGGGCGAGACAGATACTATACGCAGTTCCTTCAGCTTAAGACGGAACCAGAACCTGGAGGAACGATTACGCGGCTGGGCGCAGACAGACGAGCAGCTGGCAGATATCCAGCGTCTCAATGAAGCGGCTATTCAAGGTAATACCACCGCAATGGCGGATCTGGAGAACTTGTGCATCCAACTTGGGTCCCAGGATCCCGAGTTGTCCGAAGAGCCTTCGCAGCCACATTGAGATGGATGCCTAGCTCTTCCGACCACCGATTTTACCGGTATTATAGGCCCGGCACATTCGTTCCGCCGCCACGAACTGGAGTACCGCCGGGGTTTGGTCGCCGGCCAGCAAGCATGTCGATCACGTGATACCAGGCCGTTCCTCCGGCCGAGGATGAAGAAGACAGAGAGGTTAAGCCTTGGTGACGGCGATGATCGCATCACCTCGGGCCTCGCTTGACCGCCCGAATACTGACCCACCTAGAAGAACCGGTTCTTCCTTGATGGAATACACACGAGTGGCGTCACCGGGTGTTCCGCTCTCGGCGAGCTAGGGGTACTAGTGCTCCCAAGAATGCGCGCATGTGATTGACGGAATGCATACTCTGCATGGTCTTGTAGGCTGCCTGGCTAGCGCTCTCTCGGGGCTCTGATATAGACATGCTTTATGATCCTACTATTCTGTATCATGCGCCTTCTAGATTGCTGGATCACTTGAAGAGGATTTACATTCCACCAGATCTTCTATTGTCACGCTGAATATTAATGTATATTATCCTACCTAATCCACGCAAAAAGCGCCCAGTGACAAGAGGAACAAGGGAAAAAAAAAAAGGAAACAAACTTCAACCCAAACCTGCTTTTCCCATCTATCCCATAACCGTGCAACCATGGATCCTGCAAGGGGCAACAAACCAGAGGAAAATTCACTCGCTCAAACAAAAAAGTAGCAATCAAAGGGAGAGAGGACAGCCCGAATATCCTAACAATCGTGTGGGAAGCTTCACCCGCATCAAAGACAGTAGATAACTCCTCGCATTGAAGAAACGCATAGAATCGGAGACAAACGCGGCACGCAACTGGGAGCCAGGGCGAGTTTGATCAAGAAAGGAACAATTTCATATCAAGTTCGACTCCCTTCGACGGCCCCCCAGAAAGTATGTGAACTCCTCGATTCCACGGGTGATGGAGGGGGTGGCGGAGGATAACTCAGGCCCGCATGAGGATGAGGCTCGGGTTCGACGGACTTGGGAGTTTCCGTTGAGGCCATGATGGCACGGGAGATGTCCTGAGTGAATGTGGACGGCGTGACGAGGGCCGGACGAGCGGGAGGGTGGGAGGCTATCGGAGAGGCCATTGTGCAACCCGTTGAGGTGTCACGGAGAGTGTGCTTGTGGTGTATTAGGATTAAGGGGCCTGGGGCCTGTTCTTGGGCTGTGAAACGAGGTTGTTGAACGATGGAAGAGAGGAAAGCTAGCTGTGTGCCTTGTCAGTCCCCATAGTCTATATAGATAAGTCTCGCGACAGGTGGCCCCGGAAGTCCCCGACCGGAGGAAAAGAGGAACCAGCAGCATGTGATGTAATCCGGGCCTGGGGGGATTCCTGTTTGGGAAAGCTTCAGGAGAGAGGGATGAAAAGAACTTTAATCTCACCTCGGCAAAAAGAGAATTGACAGAATCCCTAGTGATGTAATGATAGAGGGTAGGAGGTGTGAGAACAGGGTTGCTGACTAGCTAGGCAATGAATGAGAAAGTCTCACGTCACCGGAGTAGAAGTAGAAGGCCCGAAAGGAATGAAGTCTCAAAAGAGAGTGTTGGGATAAGTTCCAAGAAGGGTGAAAAGATTTGAGCAGGTAAGATCGATGGGGCGTCCGGAAAAGGGATATATACACCGTATATATACCTAGTCTCAGGTCGTTTCAATTTGCGCCGGAGTATCTACGGAGGAATAACAAGTCACCAAGGGAGGATTCTCTGGCACCCCCTTTTTGTGCCAACGAGAGCTAGTAGGTTCTGGAGCATCGATCGACGGGAAGGGCAAGGGACAATCAAGCGCCTCACTCTATCCTAGTCTCTGGCCCAGCAATCGGGTACCAGACAGTTGAGTACCTGCTTGCCACGACGACGGAACGGCAGGGCGGAAACTGGGGAACAAACAGGCCGGGGAAGTTGGATGAAGGGATGAATTGTGGGGAAACGTACGTGTTGCATTGGGCGAGGAATTCCGGGGCTTTGAATGGAAGACTTTTTATTTTTATCTTTTAGGCATGTTTCTAAAATTTGATTTTCTTTACCTTTCTTTTTTTGTTTCCTTGAGAGAGAGAGAGAGAGAGAGAGAGAGAGAGAGATTTATAAATGTACGGAGTACTTACAACGCCTCCGACACCTCCGTCACTAGTCGATTCTAGAACCTTTCCTAATTCCCACACAATACATTGCCAGACCCCGAAGAACATGACTCGTCCAATCTACAAGGCATGTTTGATGGCACCGCCACTCGTACTTTGTCCCTGATCTGTCTCTCTTGCCAGTGAGTGCTGTACGTGCTCGAGTCTAAACGGACCCTTGATAATTGATACCCTTGGAGGGCTCAACCTACGGTGTTTATCGACTGACGAATCGTGTCCCGCAATGACCACCAGGGAGGAAGGAGACGGCCGTCTAATCGGGTGGCTTCAGAAATTTGGCGATAACGTCTTGTGACTGAGAACCGCACCGGCCTGGTCAACAGCGAGTTGTCTGCGAGATTATGCTAGGTGGCATGCGAACAATGACCTGTCACCCACCAGACAACGGGCGTATCGGTGTGTTTTGGCCCAATGGAAAAGCCGCGGAGAAGAAGCTGACGCGCCAACGGTTTCCAACTGCTCAAGGAAGGGCGACAGGCATCCTTTCCGAACACCTATCTTATCTAGCAGCCCGATAACCAGACATTGACCATTCTGATCTATCGGTCCACTCGATACAGCGCCAGCTGCCGAATGAGGAGGAGATCCTACCGCACGGCCGACCAAGACAGGGTGCAGTCAAACCGATGACCAGCAAATGCCTTCCCCTTTCGATTTTCACCTCGTGGTCTTTTCTCTCAAAGCCGGCGTTTGGTCTCTTGCGTGATCACTGGCCAGCCTTGGCGAGGAAGGAAATGTTGGAGAAGTGTAAAAGCGGATCTCCAGCGGATTACCTCATGGAATCCCTTGGAGGCGTACCATGTACTCCGCACATACAAGTACAGACATGGTACTCCATACATGATACATGATATATGATATCTACCCGATCACTTGTGATTCTATTGAATAATTAGCCAATAACTCCATACTCCATCCGTCAACCCCGCTTTGGGGTCCAGAAGAGGAGGGAGTCGAAGGGCACTATTACGAAAGGATACCAAGACCCCAAGGAGGACCGTGGGGCAAGGATACCGAGAGCCGAAGGAAAAGCCGGGGTTATTCATGGTCGCGGGTTGGAGATGCGCCATTTTATTAATGGAAACTGAACGTTGAGGTGCGCATCAGGATGGGCGAAAAGCAAAGGACTATCACCCCGCAAGCCACTAGGCTGTGATCCAGGTACGGGCATGGAATATGGATCCTGGATCCTGGATATTGGATAATGTTGGGGAGTTTGGGGGAGGCCGGGATCGACTAGGAAACCCCGCACTCTCGATGAAATCTCTGTCAAGGCGAGTCTGGGGTCGAGGGTCGATGGCTTCGGCTGAGTTCCGGGGAAGTCCCATGGGTAGTTTTGACCTTGATAATTTGATAGTATCGACGAGATATATACCTGGACTCTGTACACCGTAGTAGACCGCATGTCAGATGTACTTCATATGCGAGTGACTGTCTCCGACAGGCAATGTAGTGTACAGATAGACGCCATGTCCAGGGATATGTCGCAACTTCTCTATCCAGAGCATTACGAAATTGAGGCATTTTCATGACTTCTTATTACGCAGGAGAAACCTGCAGAAAGAATTGCATGGGAGCATGGGCGGCGATGATTTGCAGGGCACCAGCCACGATGACACACCAAAACGCGTGCGCCCAAACTTCCAGCCTTACTAAGTGGGACCACTGGCCAGAGTATCCAGAGTATCCAGAGTATGTCCGGAATAGATTTTACGGAGTAAAAGATTGAATGAGATATTAGGACAAAGATAGTCGACTACAAGCTCGATTGTAGAACGGGAGACTATCCGAGAGAGCACAAGACTGAGGCAAATATGAAATACGAAATATTGAATATTAAATAATAAATATAAATATCAAAGGATCCTTCCAAATTTAGCCGGGGGCGGCCAATCACGTCGTCGCCGTGCGGTATTTTCCATAGCCACTAGTCCCGGAGAGGAAATCCATGTCTGGGATCGAGAATTCGACTCGTCTCGCGGTCTGAGCAGGTATCCGGTACTTCCTGCCGGGTAGAGAGCTAGGTAGGGGAGATAGTACCTGCTACCTGAGGGACAACAGTGTTATCTGATATTATATTATCATGCGTGATTTACGGAGTAACTCGTCGATGTACTCAGTACACCCGTATTACGGCTCCAATTCCCAAGGCCCACTTCGTGGTGGCGGATCAGCGATTCGAGACTCTTCCTGAGTCCTTTTGACTGCCCCCCCGGACCGGTCCCGTTCCTGGCCGATCGCATAGCACCGGGTATGATCTCACGGCTCAGATGGAAGTATAAAGACGCCCTCCGCCCGTCGGTCTAGGGCTTTGTGCTTGACACATCCTCATTTCAAATCACTTGAATCTCTTGAATCACTTGGATCGAACTTGTCTGTATAGCTTCGTCCAATGGAACCCCTCCTCTCCCACCAATAGATCCATACATACCCTGAATTGCCCTTGTCTTTCTTCCGGTGACGTGTCGGTCGCATGGCTTTGCAGCACTGATACAATTCCCGCATATCTACTCTACTCTACGAGGTACGTTGGTTTCTGCCTGAGTCCGCCAATTGTTGGAGCTCCCGTCCTTCCCTTTGCTTCCCTTTTTCTGCTCATTCGTCTTTCCTTCCCGTCCTTTCTTTTCTTTCCTTTTTCTGTTTTTTACTTCCTGCTCTCTTCTTGCTTTTTCCCTTTTTGCTATCTCTCTCACTGCAAGCTTCCATCCTGGTCTTGCCCCACCCCCCCCCCCCCCCCGTTCTTCCTTTTTCCCTCTATCTGCGCCACCATCCATCGGTTCAGCTCCCATGACTCACGTATCGTGCCTCTAGATTCCTATATCTATCCTCCTACGCCTCTCAATTGCTTTCTCATCATAAACCCACGCCCCGCCGTTTCTCTACCTTGTCACCATGGCATCCCCCGCATCTTCTACGACCCCGCAGTCCGAGGGGCAGCTCAATGGTAGCAATACCCTCCCCGTGCGCCCCGGTCCTAAGCTCTACGGCAGCAACGACGGCGCCCATTCCGGCGCTGGAACCCCCATTGGCTTCCAGCGTCACCCTCACAACAAAATCCTTGACAATGTAGCCGGCTCAAGTGTGCGCCATCCCTCTCCCCAGCCCACCCATCTGGGTATCCCCGGCGGTGGCCTGCACCGGGTTCTCTCCGAGGAAGACCCGGGCTACGTTGCCGCCAAGTTCGAAGGGAAGGAAAAGCAGATGGAACAAGGTAAGGACGCCTTTCCCTGCCTTTAAGCATGATCTCGTCTAACGTTTGGCTTGCAACTGTAGTCATGGATCAGCTGGAGACCCGGGGTTTTATCCCCGCTGAATTTGTCGTCGGCGAGACCGAATGGTTCTACAACAAGCTGGGAATCGACGACACGTATTTCCAAACCGAGTCGGTCGATGCCATTGTCACTCAGATCCTCTCCCTCTACGCCGCTAAGGTTGCCGCTTACGCCCGTGACGACAAGAAGCTGGAAATTCGCCTGGACAAGGAAGCCGAGGACCACGCCGTCTACATTGACACCAGCAAGCCCGGCGTGTCGTCCGTCGAAGGCCCGCGTTATGAGCAGAGAATCGACAAGAAGTATGTCAACGGCTCGACTCCGGATAACAGCTACCGAGTCGAGACTTTCCGCTCGCCCACGTCCATGCCCGGCGATGATGGTCAGCAGCTTCGCTGCTACTTCGTGTACAAGTGCCAGTTCGCAAACCCTAACCCAGGCCCCAACGAGACCAACATCGATATCATCGGCGAGAAGCGATTCTTGCAGAAGGCGACGGCCAATACCAAGGCCCTCTACCAGGAGATCATCAGCAACGCCGTTGCCCGGTCCGGTCCCGTCATCGAGATGTTTGAGATTGAGAAGAGCCGCGAGAAGCGCCTGGTTATTGCCTACCGCCAGGGATCTGCCATGGGCCTGTTCAGTGCGCTCTCCGACTTGTACCACTACTACCGTTTGACCAGCTCGCGGAAGTACCTGGAGAACTTCTCCAACGGTATCACGGTCATCTCTCTGTATCTGCGCCCGTTGAAGGATGCTGAGATCGCCGCCAAATACCCTCCCATCGAGGCAGCCATCCACCAGATCATCAAGGAGGTCTCTCTCCTCTACTGTATCCCCCAGAACCGCTTCCAGCACCACTTCGCCGTCGGTCGTCTCAGCTTGCAGGAGACGATCTATGCGCACTGTGCGTGGGTATTCGTGCAACAGTTCCTGAACCGACTGGGCTCGGAGTACACCTCTTTGACCGACCTCCTCGACTCGAGCAACAGCGTTCACGCAGAGCTTTTGGCCAAGATCAAGAAGCGACTGCGTACCGAAACCTTCACCTCCGACTACATTTCGGAGATCGTTAACAAGTACCCCGAGCTCATCCACAAGCTCTATCTGGACTTCGCCAACACGCATTACGTGCAGACGCGTGGTCCCGCCGAGGATGACTTCCTCCCCACTCTGAGTTATCTTCGCCTCCAGGTCGACGAGGTGTTGGACGGGCCCCGGCTCAAGCAACTCATCTCGAGTTCCGTTGCTAACGAGCACGACGAGATGGTTATGAGTGCCTTCCGCGTGTTTAACAGCTCCATTCTGAAGACCAACTTCTTCACCCCGACCAAGGTGGCCCTCAGCTTCCGGCTGAACCCCGACTTCCTGCCGGAACACGAATACCCCCAGCGACTCTACGGTATGTTTTTGGTCATCAGCTCGGAGTTCCGCGGGTTCCATCTGCGTTTCCGCGACATCGCTCGTGGCGGCATCCGTATGGTCAAGAGCAGGAACAACGAAGCATACAGCATCAACGCCCGCTCGCTATTTGACGAAAATTACAACTTGGCCAACACCCAACAGCGCAAGAACAAGGATATCCCCGAAGGCGGTGCCAAGGGTGTGATCCTCCTCGACGTGAACCATCAGGACAAGGGCCGCGTCGCTTTCGAGAAATACATTGACAGCATCCTGGACCTTCTGCTTCCCCCGGTGAGTCCCGGTATCAAGGATCCGATCGTTGACCTGCACGGCAAGGATGAGATCCTCTTCATGGGACCGGACGAGAACACGGCCGAACTGGTCAACTGGGCCACCGAGCACGCTAGGAACCGAGGTGCCCCGTGGTGGAAGTCATTCTTCACGGGCAAGAGCCCCAAACTGGGTGGCATCCCCCACGATACCTACGGCATGACGACCCTGTCCGTTCGCCAGTATGTTCTCGGTATCTATCGCAAGCTGAACATCGACCCCTCCACCGTCCGCAAACTGCAAACCGGTGGCCCCGACGGAGATCTAGGCTCGAATGAGATCCTTCTCTCCAACGAGAAGTACACTGCCATCGTGGATGGATCGGGTGTCATTGTTGACCCCCAGGGCCTGAACCACGAGGAGCTCGTGCGACTGGCCAAGAAGCGAGTGACCATCTCGGAATTCGACGTCTCGAAGCTTTCTGGAGAAGGTTATCGCGTGCTGGTTGACGAGAGCAACGTGAAGCTGCCGAGTGGCGAGCTGGTCCACAATGGAATGATATTCCGCAACACCTTCCACCTGCGCCCGGATCAACCGTACGACATCTTCGTGCCTTGCGGAGGCCGCCCCGAGTCTATCGATCTTTCCACCGTCGGACGACTGATCCGGGACGGCAAGTCGATCGTCCCGTACATCGTGGAGGGTGCCAATCTGTTCATCACCCAAGACAGCAAGCTTCGACTCGAGCGAGCCGGCTGCATCTTGTTCAAGGACGCCTCCGCCAATAAGGGTGGTGTGACGTCATCATCCCTCGAGGTTCTGGCGTCTCTCTCGTTTGATGACAAGGGATTCGTGGAGAACATGTGCATCGGTGAAGATGGCAGCGTGCCGGCGTTCTACAGTGATTACGTGCGACAGGTGCAGGAGGTCATTAAGCAGAACGCTACGCTTGAATTCGAGGCCATCTGGCGCGAACACGTGGAGACCGGTCTCCTGCGCAGCGTGCTGAGTGACCGTCTCAGCGTGGCCATTACCAAGCTCGACGAAGAGCTGCAGGAGACTGAACTGTGGGACAACGTCGACCTTCGCCGCTCCGTCCTGGGTGACGCCCTGCCGAAGCTGCTCCTGGACAAGATTGGTCTGGAAACCATTCTTGAGCGAGTGAGTCACCCCCCCCCCCCCTTTTTTGGTGACGGGGAGAGTTCATAGACTGACCAATGCATCCATAGGTTCCCGAGAGTTACTTGCGTGCCATCTTTGGCAGCTACCTGGCCAGCCGCTTTGTCTACGAGTACGGCAGCAGCCCGTCTCAATTCTCCTTCTTCGATTTGTAAGTCTGCCGATCAACTAGGGCTTTGTGCTCTGGCTAACCAATTCTGTTCAACAGTATGACCAAACGTCTTGCTCAGGCCAAGGCATAATTTAGTAAACTACAAAGAGCGATGACCGACGACGTGATGTTTCTTCGATACATGGATATTGCATCTACACCTTCCGGGCTTGTTTCCTATACATGATTGCACTGCACAATCTGCAGTGTTTTTTAGATATTAATTATGATTGTCGTCTAATGCATGGCGTACATAAAAGTCAAAATCAATTCAAAGAGATATACAATAGATTATTAGCAATCGGATTCTCCTGCAATCCTGACAAGAGATCAGTAGTTAGGCATGTCGTCTGACCGACATCCCAGATGTAGTTTGAGCGTAGCTTGTAGGCTTTTGCTCTGATGATGAGGAAATTGATATGTACCTGACAGGTAGTGACGAATGGCGAAGAGGGAAGCGAGGATAATGGAAGGCCATTGTTATACGTAGAAGTGCTGGTATTGATATATCTGTCGCGGTCCGCCATCATGTGCGACCTAGACAAAGATTTCGTTGTCATTGACCGCGAACTGAAGCCCTTCTTCGTGCTCCGTGCGTTCGACCGACTCCAGTCGCGCCCACAGCTCAGGATACTTGGCTCGCGCCCATTTCTCCACCTCGTCCTTCCAATACTGATAAGGGATCGCGTTGTAAAGATGAGCAATCCTGTCAGGCCCGGTTAGCGAGAGGTTCAATGTGCATAGAGGAGCGGAAGGAGGTGTGTGTGGGCGGGTGAATGGGTGAAGTAAATCACTTACGACGTTGACTTAGGCAGTTGCCCGATTTCGCTGTGCATCTTGTCCAGGGCTGTCGTGGCCAGACGAAACTCACATTGCGCAGCCAAAGCCTCGACGTAGGCCATGTATAAACGACGATCCATCTCAATCCCGAGCAGCTTGACCTTGCCCATCATCTTCATGGCCTCCTGCACTCCGTTGTGATGTTTGGCGCACATCTTGAAGAAGATGGCGATGGTTTTGTGTGTCGGGCCCTCGGCCGATTGGAGAATCTCGCGAAAGACCTTCATGCTTTTTTCCGGCATGTCACAGGCGGCGTAGGCGAGCATGAGGCGATTGAGAAGTTGCGTATTCAGGTCGACCTCGACGTCCAGCTTGAGCATGTTGTGGACGAAGTCCAGATTCTTTGCGTCTCGGGTTCGAGCAATGCCCTGGAAGCACTTGGCATAGGTGTCCGGCTTTGGGCGCCGCGAGAAATCCTCGGCCTGTCGCATATGCCCAAACACTAGGAATGCCAGATCGCCCCGGTCTCGGTTATAGAACGAGGTCATGATCTCGGTTCGCATGCCCACGCCCGTTTCCGGGAATGCAAGCCGCAGGAGCTCGTAGGACTCCCAAGCATTTGCGCTCTCTTGGGAATCATCCTTGATGAAGTCGGTAAGCGCGTTGCGGATCCTGGCTCGTTCTTCCGATTCATACAAGGCGAGACGTGGGCGGAGGAGCTCCGACACGCCGTCCCAGTCGTGACGGTAGAGCAACATGTGCGTCAACGCTGCTAGCGTCTCCGATTCCAAGCGCACGTTGCTCTCGAAAAGCGGGTCAAGGAAGGCCGAGACCTGATCGAAGATAGCATCTTCCTGCCCCGACAAACAGAGCATCGTAATGAGTTTGTTCATCAGTGGCAGGTCCCCGAGAACGATGGACTTGAAATCGCGAAGATCCTGGAGGCATTGTAGCGTTCCGCTGACATCGCGGGCTTGTATGCGCGATTCTAGCCGCAGGAGGCGCGTTTGGAGATCGGGTTCTAGTCCCCAGTGAGTTGCCAGAGAAGCGAAATCCGCGGCCAAGTCAGAATTGCCGAGAGAATTGGCGTACTCCAACAGCAAATTCACGCACGAAATGTCGACTGATTCCTTTGCTTCGGGAGTCCGAGCCACCAACGACCTGACCGTGTCTGCGATACCCGCTGCGTCTTTGCCCTGCGCAGCTTCCCATAGCAACGTGATGCTCATTGTTTCGGTGAGAGGCACCTGCGACATAGATCGATAGATGGGTTCCGCCCATGCTTTCTCCGAGTGGAGAATCGCATGTCTAATGGCCGCTTTTTTCGCGGTGAGGGTCGGTTCCTGACGGTCAAACATCGGGCATTCGAAAATTGCTCTGACTGCTTCGAAGAGATCCTGTTTAACGAGGATCTCCACTAGCTCCTCCTGAGAAGCGCAGTCGAACCTCACGCCAAAATCGTCGAGCATCTCGACGGTCTGGCGGAGTTGCTGCCGGTCGTTGTTGGTAGCAAATCCTCTCATGACTGTGAACCACGGGGAGGGACTGGTATTGTGCAGCCTACTCCAGAAGCTCTCCACCACGTGGCGGGCTTCTTCGGGGTTGCCAGTCAATGCCTGGATATTCACATAGGCGACCAGGGCGGGCCGGCTAATTTGATTGGGACCGAAACCTTCGTCGGCGCAAAGCTCCAAGTAAGCAAAACGGGCCACCTTTTGAACCACCTCACGCGATTCGGGCAGACACGTCGTCTCCGCCAGGACATATAGCATGTTTTCCAAGCTCTCGGTCGAAAACACGGCTTGCCATTCTTCGGGATCCAGCTCATCCTTCTGAGCTCGTAGATGCTTCCACGTTAGGCTGAGCAGACGCGCCTGAAAACCGGTGATGACACCGGGGGATGTTGCGCGCACAGCAAAAAAGTCCTGGAAGGCCTTGGTCAACAGATCATTTGTAGGACCCCGACTTTTATCCTTCAATGCCCTCATCAAGTCTCTCATGGGCTTTAAGCCCGTCTCTGCCGGCAGAGACGCAGGTCGGGGATCGGCCGGCTCGGCCATATTGAAGGCGAAGAGGCTGCGCCGCTGGACATAAGTGGAACTAATAAGGACAAGCGGCCTTTGAGATCGAGGACGTCGGATAGTATGGAGGAGTCGGTTTCGGCAATGCGCGGACGATAGCGGTTCGTTGTTCAAGATCGCCCGAAAAACCCGTCTGGTGAGGTGGGATTGCATGGCTGCGAAGCACGAAGGGATCCAGTGCAATGCAGCAGAGTGATGAAATAGGCACACGTCACGATTGGGGGTGGAGGGGGGAGAAAGAAGGCGATCGACTATGGCATTCTTGTTGTTGGTACGGAACAAGCAGAGCGAGCAGCAACTTTTTGGCTCGTCCGGCTTTCTTGGCGGCCCGTCGAACTCTTTTCCTCCCTCCGTTTCCCGCGCCGGCGTCTTCATCCTCTGCATTCAATCGCTCGTCCCTCCTGATTCGGTCCATTTCACACGATGGCCTTGCAACTCCTTTCCTGGTCGCCTCTGCGCGCCTCGGGTTCCCTCATGGGCCCCCTGTCCACTTGTCGGTGGAGTTCTACCGCGGCGCCCGCCACTTCGTGTAGGTCAAAAGAATAGCTTCACCCGCACGACCAGTCCAACGTCGGATGCTCACGCTGAATTTTGCCAATCCTAGTAAACCGAGTGACCCCCCGTCGTCGGATGCCCGGTCGCCAAAGATTTATCGAAGAACAGAAGTCTCAGGCCGAAAGCCGGACACTGGAAAGGTTCCAAACGCGCGAATGGAAGGCCGGCGACATCTATGCGCCTCATGACCTGAGCTCAGCCGAGATGAGCAAGTGGAGGAGACGCTCTAATCCGTCGAGGGATGCCTTTGATGCCCTGAACTTGAACCCGTTGGAACTATACAAGGTACGTGTCGGCTGCCCAGCGGTAGCCTCGGGGTTCCCTCGAGCTTGGTCGCTGACTACATCTCCTACCCAGAACTTTGCGGTCATGTCGGAATGTATGACACCCATGGGACGGATCAAGCACCGAAATCACACCGGACTGCGACCGGTGAACCAACGCAAGATTGCCAAAGCCATTCGACGAGCCATCGGACTTGGCCTGATGCCCAGTGTTCACCGACACCCCGAAATCCTGGCCGGAGAAGCCAGATCGAGGATGGGTTAAGCCGGTGTTGCTTTGACCTTTGTATATTGTTTCGACATCTTTGAATTTTCCCCCCTTCCCTTGGAATCGCACTCAAAACGACGGTGTTCACGGGATGAAGCCATGTACGATTACTGCTTTTGCAAGCCTGACATTATCGTGGGAATGGGAAAGGCATCTCCCTAATTTTAGATCCTTTTTCCCAGACATTCAATTGTACAAAAACCACTTCACGTAGTTGTGCCCCAGTCGAACTGGTTCATTGTCAATAATAGTGATAATAATAACTCCAGAGAGACCCACCAAAGACGTCAGCCGTCTCTCTCTCGCCCATCGATAAACAACTCGCTCCTCCCCCGCCCCTTCTCCCGTCTCAGCCTTCTGCTGTTTTCCCCAATCCTTTTCCGGAGTGTGGTGTTGTTTTAATTCTGAAACCGACAAGCAAACATGTCGCTCACCAATGGTATGCTCCATCTTCCCAAGCTGGGGGTTGTCATCGTTTACTGACCATCCATTCCTCCCCAGAGTCCATTTGGGCCGCCAGCCCCTCCACCTCCAGGGGCCAGCCCACTCAGCTCTCGTCGGACGCCAAAGGCGAACGACTTGCCTATGCGGTATGCGCTGCAACAATTCTGATAGTGACCCAGACCGGATGTGACTGACAGGGCCGAGTGGCCAGGCGAACAAATCCATCTTCTTAAGATCCATCGACGACCCTGCCGTCGCTAAGCAGTATACCGAACACAAAGCGCAGACGACCGTGGCCCGCTTCTCGCCTTCCGGGTTCTACGTTGCTAGCGGCGATGCTACGGGTCTGGTGCGGGTTTGGGACTGCGTCGGCGACGGAATCACCAAGGGCGAATACAGCATCATCAACGGCCGCATCAACGACCTCGCGTGGGATGGGGATTCTCAGCGAATCATCGCCGTCGGCGATGGGAAGCAGCGATACGGCCACTGTATTACGTGGGACAGTGGCAACACGGTCGGCGAGATCTACGGCCACACGCAACAGATCAACTCCGTCTCTATCCGACAGCAACGACCTCTGCGAGCTGCAGCTGCCGGCGACGACAAGAACCTGGTCTTTTACCACGGCGCCCCGTTCAAGTTCAACACCGGCATTCGAGATAAGCACACCAACTACATCTACGGAGTGGGTTTCAGCCCCGACGGCTCAACCCTGGTCAGCGTTGGCGCCGACCGGAAGATCTGGCTCTACGACGGCAAGACGGGGGAGCCTAAGGGACAGATTGGGGATGGGGAGCACAAAGGTAGCATCCTGGGGGTCTCGTGGTCCAAGGATTCGCGGAAGTTCGTGACGGCGAGTGCCGACAAGACCGTCAAGATCTGGGACGCCGAAGCGGGCAAGGTTTCTCAAAGCTGGAACATCGGGGGCGAAGGAAGCACGAACGTCGACGACCAGCAGGTCGGCGTTGTCTGGCCCCCGAACCGCAGCGACAACCTGCTCATCAGTTTATCACTGAGCGGTGATTTGAACTATCTCGTGGAGGGGACCCCGGAGCCCCGACAGGTGGTTCAGGGCCACCAGAAGAACATCACGTCATTGACGTCCTTTACTTCCGGCAGCGATAGTAACGAAACTCTATGGACTGGCAGCTTTGATGGTAGGGTCTGCAGCTGGGATGTTCCGTCCGGAACTGCGGAGGAAGTGGACGGCGACAGTCACTCGACCTACATCGCCGGCCTGGCACCAACTCGAGAGGGAGCCGGAAGGATATACAGCGTCGCATGGGATGACACCATCCGATCCGTCGACATCGGTGCCAAAACATACACCGGGAGCTCCTCCAAACTGGCGGGACAGCCCAAGGGCATTGCCGCCGGAGATGAAACGGTGTTGGTGGGGACGCCCGAGAGCGTGGAGATTTACAAGGATGGACAGAAAGTCGGGGATTTCCAGCCTAGCTTCCCGGTCACCACGGTGGCTGCTCATGGTAACACAGCCGCTGTTGGCGGGGAGAACTCGTCCGTTCAAATCTGTGCCCTCTCCGGCTCGAGTCTCGCCCCCAAGGCTGACATCAAGGCCTCCCGGAACCCAGTCTCTGCCCTGGCCTTCTCTCCGGATGGTTCGTTGTTGGCGGTTGGCGATTCTCGGGGTCGTGTGCTCGTGTATAAGGTTGCTGATGGCAGCCTGGTTACTGATCGCTGGACAGCCCACACGGCTCGCATCACCTCGATCGCTTGGAAGGAGGACGGTACCCACGTCGTGAGCGGATCGTTGGATACCAACATCTTTGTGTGGAGCTTGGCCAACCCGGGAGACTGGCTGCAGGTCTCCAATGCACACAAGGAAGGAGTCAACGGTGTAGCATGGATCGCAGGAGGATCCAAGATCGCCTCTGCCGGAGCTGACGCTTCCGTCAAGGTGTGGAAGGTGGAAGGGCTTGAATAGAGAAAGGAGGGAAGTAAGGAAATGTACAGATTCAGACGGTGGTGGCTCTTTGGATAAGCAATGGAATGAAAGACTCCCCCCCGTCCATCTCCCTTTGTTCGTTTGTCTTCGAGCGTACACCGGTGTAGGTCTCAAGGTAAAATAATAGAACAGTCAGTGACGGCAGAGCGGCGGTGTGCAGAAGTCACCGGGTCGTGGCAATTGGTCGCACTGAGCGGATGATCAGCTCCTCTCTCCACCCCCGGCAAGTCGAGCTCATCTGCTTCTTTCTTTCCTATAAACTCCGTTCATTGTCCCCAACGACCATGGATCCCGTCGCTTGCCCGGGAGGACGCTGAGAGAGCATGAGATGGATACCATGCCTCCGTTTGAAGATTCATCGAATAATTCGCGTCGATTTACGCGCCCCAAAAAGGTCAGTTCAGAGCTCTGTTTTGCTCCGGAAGGGACGTGGGACTGACTTTGATCTTCCATCCATAAAGCTACGGCAGGCGACATTTGTCTTACCGCGAACCGGTCAACGCTTAAAAGGCCTGGTCAATTTACGCAATTCATACTCAAGCTCGAATGGTAACCACCACGACGGCGACGGCGACGATGACGACGAACGGCTCGGGCTTCTGTCGGGAGAGATATCCGAGGACCGATCAAGCCTTCCCGCCCGTTTACACGACAAAGCATTGCATATAGGGCGTCGAGCGAAACAGGCGGCCTCGTCAGAGCTTGGAATAGGAGTCTTGAAATGCAGTCTCGCGTACCTACTGGGGTCCTTGGCCACGTTTGTGCCGGCTCTTTCGTCTTTCCTGGGCCATCAAGATGGCAAGCATGTGGTGGCCACCGTCACGGTCTACTTCCATCCCGCTCGGTCGCAGGGTAGCATGTACAAAGCCCTGATATGTGCTCTCCTGGCCTTCCTCTACACTGCCTTCATCTCCGTCACAAGCATGTGCGTGTCGATGTTTTTCCAGGATCTGGACCTTCTCCCCGTGGGCCACGCGATAGTCCTGATCGTGTTCTGCGGGGGTGGTCTGGGGTTCGTAGGATGGACCAAGCAGAAACTGGGTGATCCTCTCGTGAACGTTGCATGCTCCCTAGCATCACTCTCCACGATTACAGTCCTCACTAAAGAGGGTGCGGTGCAGAGCGGAGATTTGTCTTTCGCGAAGATATCCCAGGTGCTGAAAATGGTCGTGATGGGAGTCACCGCCACCATGGCGGTTTCCTTTGCCATCTTTCCCATCTCCGCTCGTAAAAAGCTTCGCTCGAACCTCACCACCGTCACTGAGACGATGGCCACCATGCTGGCTCTCATCACGGAGAGCTTCTTGAGTGGCTCTGAGGAGGAACTCCAGACGGCGGAATACGTCAGCACTGCCGCCCGGCATAAAGCAGCATATGGCCAGCTCGATAAGCTTGTAAGAGAGGCCAAACTGGAGCATTTCGTAGCCGGTACAGAAAAGGAATACCGACTGGAGAAGAATTTAGTTCGTTGGGTGCAAGACATCACACATAACATGGGAGGCCTCCGGAGTGCTGCTTTGCTTCAGTTCCAGCTTCTGAAACAGACCAAACTTGCCGAATCCGTGCATTTGCATGGGCAGATACCGGGCATGAACGGCGACGGTGTCACTCCCCTGCTGAGTCCGTGGTCAATACATGAGAATCGCCCTATTTTGGAACGAATCGACGAGAGACCGGAGGACGAGAACTCGGTGCTCGACAGAGATCAAGCCTCGCTCACTGCGGGCTCAGAGACCGATATCACTCTTCTTCCTGCTGACATATTTGCGCTTTTCATCGATCATCTTGGCCCTTCAATGGTAGTGAACTCCTATTGATTTCCCAAGCCTTGGTATAATGTGGCCGCTGCTAACACCCCCACAGCGTTCGCTTGCTTTCACTTTGAAAGAGATCTTCAGGGAAATCCCATTCAAACCCGCTCCGGATTTCAAGGTCTCGGTTAATAGCACATTCCGCACGAGTCTAGACCGAGCTCTTGAACTGTACCGGGCATCTCGAGTGGAGGCCCTGAATACTATCTACCGACAGAAAGAGGTCTTGAAAACCCAAACTCTGGAGGTCGAGGCCGACCTTGAAGAGGTCGCCGCCAGCTGCGGCCATTTTAGTTTCTCCCTTTTGGAGTTCGGCGAGCAGCTAAAGGACTTGCTCACCATCTTAGACGAGCTGCAACTTGAGGCCGAAGAGAGGCCGCACGGGAGGTCCTGGAGTTGGCTCAAGTTTTGGCGTCGAAGCAAGGGTGCGCCAGCACGCCAGGGCGGTTCGGATACGGGTATGGGCCCCCCTTGAGTGATGTCAATGAGAAGTTCGAGAGATTGGATGCTGACACTTTCTTTCAGAGCAGCCATTAACGGAGTCAAATGCTGCTCGAGTCGACAACATTCAGCAGTTGGGTATAAATACCTCGTCGAAGTCGCGAAACCGACCGGCATTGAATCCCCATCCCTTGGGAGATCGGCCTGGACAGGGAAGGCTTGCCTATCGCATCTGGAAATCACTCGGCTGGTTTCGACGCGACGAGGTTAAGTTCGCGATCAAGGTTGGAACGGGGGCTGCGCTGTATGCTTTGCCTTCTTTCCTGCCGCCGGTAAGACCTGTATACTCCCACTGGAGGGGGGAATGGGGTCTCTTATCTTATATGCTTGTCTGTTCGATGACTATCGGGGCTTCCAATACTACCGGATACGCGAGGTTCTTCGGAACCTGCTTGGGTGCGGTTTGTGCCATCCTATCATGGTACGTGTCGACCGGCAACGTCTTCGCGCTTGCATTTTTTGGGCTTCTTATGGCAACATATACCGCGTACATCACCCTCGTCAAGGGTCAGGGACCTATGGGGCGATTCATCATGCTCACGTACAACCTTTCCGTGCTGTACGCCTATTCGCTCACGCAAAAGGAGGGCCAGGATGACCAAGACGAGGGCGGAGACCACCCGGTTATGACCGAGATCGCGCTTCATCGAGTCGTTGCGGTGCTGTCGGGCTGCATCTGGGGCATCATCATCACCCGGGTGATCTGGCCCATCAGCGCGCGTGGGAGACTGAAGGACGGCCTCAGCCTTCTGTGGCTCCGCATGAGCTTGATCTGGAAACGCGGCCCCTTGTCCACAATGGCCAACACCTTTGACTCGGCAGGCTTCGTGAGTCCGCGGGAGAAGTTAGAGATCGAACGGTTCCTGTCACATCTAGAATCGCTCCAGGTGTCCGCCCGCTCAGAGTTCGAGCTGAGAAGTGCATTTCCCGATGCCTCATACAGCAACATCCTTCGGCGGACGCGCAGCATGGTGCATGCGTTTTTCGCCATCAACCTCGAATTGGTCAAGAACATGACCGCCTCGGAAGGTGAACTCGCGATTTTGGAATACACCGTGCGGGAGCGACTGCAACTGTCGTCACGGATTAGCCATCTCCTATCCGGTGAGTAGAATGAGCAGGCGATTCCCTCATTTTGTCGCGATGTGTAGCGACTGACCTAGCAACCACCAGTGATGGCTTTCTCTATGAAGTTGGAATATCCGATGAGCGACGTCCTCCCGAGTATTGAACACGCTCGAGATCGGCTTTTGGCGCGCCTCTTCCGTTATCGCAAAGACCCCGAGGCATCTCGGCTGTCCACCGACGAGGACTATGCCTTGCTCTATGCGTACAGTATGTGTGCCATCTACCGCGCGCGCGAGAATGTGAGGTCCCTGCTAACATTTTCTGCTTGGCAGTTCTCGTCACCGGCCAGTTATCCGTCGAAATCGAAGAGATCATGGGGGAAGTCGGTCGACTGTTTGGGGTTCTGAATGAGGAGGCCGTGAGACTATATTAGACGCAGCATATACAATAAGCGAAGATCGAATGGGTTTATGAGTTCTCGTCTGTTCTAATTATTTCTCATTTCTTCTGATCCGTATGATGGTACATCGTGTAGAGGAGACGTAAACCCAATCCCGATCGATAACTTAATTGATTCTCTCTTCTTCTCTTTTTTAAGATGCGAGAGAAACGAACAGACGAAAAATAAGAAAGAATTCTTTTTCTTTTGTTCCCTTGAATTCTTTCTTTCATTCGCTCTGCCATTGTCCGCGGTCCATCCTGGCGGGTGAACAAAAGGAAGGGACGAAGGCCAGCAAAACGAGCCAAACCTCCACGATTTCCCCCTTCGACTTCATTTTTGTCCCCCCTCGGCCATCACTTCGCCCATCAACCCACCGCCCTTCCCCTCGTCATTCCATCGGTTTTGTCCTCCGATTCTATCTTTCAGTGCTCCAGGCCGACTGTCGGATCAAACTGGAATGGTTTTACCTTCATGAAGACCTAGATATCCCTCCTCTCTTCCCTCCCCTCCCCCCTCCTCTCCCCACACCTCCCTCTTCTCCCCGGCTTCGCGCAGCCCCGTCGCGCTCTCCCTGCAAGCCTCGCAACCATGCAGATCGACCCGGCTGCCCTGAGTCAAACGGAGCCTGCCTCAACCGCAATTTCATCCTCATCCAAGAATGCGGCTCCCAGCGCTTCGGCGACTCAGAAGTCGACCAAGGCGCTGATTTCCGTTCCGCGCTTGGACCTCGAACCCATCTACACGGAGCTGAAGGCTGCTATCGGCGACAATTGGGCTGAGTATAAAGAGGCCACCACGCTCTTCCTACTAGGTACGTGGATTCTACAGCACATGGGCTCTCGTCTTCCTGTTCCTCTTCCCTGCGCAAGCTGACATGATACTTCTACGTCGCAGGGCAGCTGAACCAGAGCGAAGTCTCGGCGCGCGTCGACCATATCATATGCGCGGATCAGAAAACCGAGCATCTCCACAACAATTTCATATGCGCGGTCATTGGTAACCTAACCAGAGACCTTCCGGATCATGGCGTTGCGAGCTGGGTGTCGGCCAACGATAAACCGTCGGTGGTGTCGAAGCCGACCTCGGGGGACGCGGCGGAACAGAGGCTCAAGACCGAAGTCATGCAATTGCCGCCCCGTGACCGCCGAAGGCTCAAAGCGATTCCAGAGGTAGGCTACAAAATACTCCGATGGGAGCGAGTTTCGGAAACCCGTGGCAGGGACTGACTGGCTGGTTTCGAGCAGCGCGATCCTAATGAACTTGGACCCAACGAACTGGAGGATTATCATTTGGCGAAACAGATTAAATTGCCCAGCCAGGTACCAGCAAGTGCCGGTGGCTTGAATAAGACGAGTAGGTTCTCTATACTTGCAATCTGAGACTCGAAGCTAATCACTCCGGTTGGCACTAGATTGGGAACTGGAAATTCGAAAACGTTATGCGCAACCTCTGGCATCGGAAACGGGCGAGTTCCCAGATGCCGAGTCTATACATGCCCGTATGATCCCGATCTGTTACGAGGAGTCGATCGTCAGCGGTGCGGGTTTTCCCTGTGCCGAGTTCATGGCAATCGCTACCGAAACGTTCGTGAAAGAAGTCCTTTCCGTGGTTTTCTCACGCACCCGATCCAATGGCCCCTCCGGCACCATTAACGGCATGATGATGCGGAAATACCGACAGCAGCTTGAACGTGAAGAGTTGGCATTTACACGAGGCGAGATCGTCAAAGACGCCGCTACTGGTTTGCTTCCCGTGGAGGCAAAGGAGGCGAGCATCCGAAAGCCTTTAGGGGTCCGGGATCTCCGGCTGGCTCTAGAACTCGGAGGTGGGGTCCTCAGCCATATGCCTTTGATTGTCGATCAGATCATGGGCGGCTATCTCGAGGACGAGCTCGAAACCGACAAACAAGACCGAGGCGACGAGGTGGCCGAGGCAACCCATGACGACACGAGGCCGAATAACTATACCGACGACATGGACCTGGACGACGTGGATTCCGACTGGGAAGGGGGAACAGTGGCAGATCACAACCAATTAGGCGCTCTGCTCGACGACTGTCTCTCTATTGCCGCGTGATTCTTGCCACGACACCGCTGCCCCCTCTTTTCTCTTTCTCTTCATCTTTTCACTTTTTCTTTTTCGTCGCAAACATTGATTCTCAGGTCAAGGGTGACCTATGTTCTTGATTTGGCGAGGTTCAAAGGCGTCTTAGGGAGTATAATACAACGGAAGGGCCGTCATTGGGTATGATCGGTTTTGCATATGGCCTGGAGTTGTCTCTTTCTTTCTTTTTTTCTGTTTCCTGCTCTACGCCTTCATTTTATATTCATTCAGCACTCATCTCCCATGTCTCTTGCTACGGAATGCCCGGCGCATAAACACGAGCATTTAACAGAACCGCTACTCGAATATTCCCGCATGACATCGTCACCGAGCGGTTCAATCAGGAGCGACATCAAGGGAATGTGCTTATTCACTGACTAAAAGATTCCCTCCAGTGAGGGAGATCAACGATGTTTGAATTGAAGGATTCCCCTAATATCTCCCTTTTGTCTGTCTGTCTGCCTGTCTGTTTGCTGTAGATGTACATTAAGTTTACCTTTCCTGCTTTGCTTATAGAAGAATGGCAGTTCTAAAACGAATGCTCTATAACGTAAAGAAGCTAGATTTGACTTTATTTTAGCTTGACGGACCACAACGCCAGGTATAACAGCCGTAAGTATAGTAATACATTGTATAACCTCCGGGAGGACGCTAATTGCAGGTATCATGACATTAGGACAGAGAGTTTGCGACCATCTTCAGGATTTCCTCGGTGGATTTTTGGGCATTGGCCGGGTCCTTTGCGATCGATTGCCAGATCTCGCCGTGCTTGGGCTCAGTCGAGATGCACTTGGATATCACATCGGCTCGTTTCTCCTGCAGTAAAAAAGAAGTGTCCACGTTAGTTACGGGCCCTATAGCCAGAGAGAGAGAAACAGATAGAGAGAAACATACCTCAGTACCATGTTGCAACAAGAATTTGTAGTACCAAGCCCAGCCATCCCCCAGATCGCTGTCGCAGACAATCGCTTTCTCAAACCATGTCATCGCTTTCTCTAAGCGACGCTCACCCCAGAAGATCCGGGCCACCGTGATGAATAGAATGGGGTCGTTATCAACCTTCTTGATTGCCTCCAAACTCCGCGCCTTGCGCTGCGCCCGTGGTTCAAGATACCAAATACTTTCGCTCCATAATAACCCGGACGCTGGCACTTCCTGTAGAGCTTTTGCCATGAGGACCTTCGCTTGGCCGATATTGTTCGCTCTTCGCTCGACACGAACACTTTCCGTCCACAACTCTGCATTCTTGGGAACGGCAAGTCGAGCCCGATCTAGGACCGAACGGGCTTTCACGACAGCCCCGGCCTTTTCTTCTAACCTGGAAGCCAGCAGCCAAAGGGGAACCGACTTCGGGCAGGCCCTAAAGCCGGTGCTATAGGCTTCTCGAGCTTGCGGGTATTTCTTCTGCAACTCATAGATTTGGCCCTTCATCATCCACAGCTTGTCGGCCTTGGGATAAAGCTGGAGACCTTGGTTCACCAGATCGAGCGCCTCATCAATATTACCTAGTTGCCGTTCGAAGGCAACACTCTTGATCCAGACACGGTCTGTGCCTGCTTCACGACGAGCAGTTGCCAGGAGTTCTCGGGCTTGATCGGTCTGCTGGGCATCTGCCTCAAGCTTGACGGCAGCCAGCCAGATGTCCTCGTTGTTCGGATTTTGGTTGAAGGCGCGACCAAGCACACGTCTAGCCTCATCAATCTCGCCAGTCTGCCATTTCTCCTTGGCGAGCTGCAGCCATAGTTCTTCACTCTGTGGGCAAGCTTCGACGGCTTTCTCAAGAACCTGCCACTGCGCTTCTTTGCTACCATGGTTGCGCTCAAGGTCTGCTGCTGCAAGCCAAATCGACCGACGGTTGACAAATACCCGCAATGCATAAGCATAGATAGCCCTGGCGGTCTCATACTTGCCCCTAGCAATACTTGATTTTGCGTCATCCATCCAGATATCCTTCCTGTCATCATCCTCATCTAGACCCCATCCCAGAGTCTCCCGTACGATCGCACCGCACGTGAGGACTGCCCCTTCTTCCTCACACTTCTCGGCTTCGGCGATCCATTCTTCTCTCTTCAACATAGCGTTTTCCCTGGCGAGTGATTGCACGGCTCTCTTCATAACATTCACCTTCTCGAAGGTTCCCATTTGCTCTTGTAACCGGGCCGCAGCAATCCAGATTTCGTGGCTGGTAGGGACGGCTTTTCGGGCAGCGTTCAAAACCTTTTGGGCGTTCTCGGGGGTCTCAAGTCGAGCAAGAGCAAGCCATAGCTCCACGGACAGTGGTATCATTTCAACAGCTTTCACCAGCAGAAGCCGTGCATCTGCGGGATCATCCTCCAGGTTCACAGCTTCTTTCCAGATAGCTACGGACTGTGGGATGTGAAGGATGGCCTGTCGTAGCACGTTCTTTTTAGCACGGGGCTCGGATTCCAACCGCATAGCTTCGATCCACAGCCTCGTGGAGCGGTCATTGTTCTTGATGGCGTTTGCGGCTATGACCTTGGCATTATGGCCCTCGTTAAGCCGAATGTTTTCAAGCCACGCATCCTCGCTCTTTGGACACAGCTCGCAGCCTTTTGCGATGATGTTTCTGGCCGACACGATCCGACCAGCGAGTTCTTCCAGTCGCGCAAGCGCGAGCCACCCCGGTGCGTGTTTGGGGTTCGTTCTCGTCACAGATTCCAGCAAAACACGAACTCGCTTTATGTCTCCAACTTCAACCGCGCCAGCTTTGACCTCCGACTGAGTGAGACTAGTAAGGTATCCTTTGGGGTCGATATTGGTCGCACTTCCCGAGGCCGAATCCCCAGACGAACCCATGGCGGCCTGGTCAAGCTTCACTTGCAACACTTTATCACGAGCCGCACTGATATCGGCAAAATTCGTCATAGCTCCGTCAGCCCCCTCGGACCCATGTGCGTCCGCAGCGGCACCGTCATCCGCAACTGTAGCCTCGAACTGAGTGGAATCCCTTGCGCCAGCGATGACACTATCGGGGACAGCATAGAATCGTTGGCGAAGGTTCTGTTTTGTCCGTCTATGCTTCCCCGTGAGATCTCCGACCTCGGGGAGGCTGGCCCATTGATCCTCGGACACAGACGCAAGTGACCGTTTCAAATCCGCGAACTGCTGTTGAATCTTGGGGTTTTTACGTTCGTAATCTTCTTGCTCTTGGCGTTCGCGGGCTTCCCTAGAGACGGCGAAGGAATCAGGTCGGCATTCTGTCCAGAAACCGGGGAGTGAACCCGATGAACCACTGGTCTTAAGATGAAAAGAGATGGGAGCCGGGGGGCACGAACCTTCTTATTTTCCGACGCTTGTCCATCTTCTCGTCTACCTCCCTGTAGATGCGATCTGCCTCGTCATCTTCTTGATCGAATTGTCCGTATGCAAAGAGTCCGACTTCATTGTCCGGGTCCTGAAAACGCTCGTCCTCTTCCTCTTCCTCTTTTTCCTCCTTCCCACCCTTCTCACGTCCGGCGCCATATGCTGTTGGAGGAGCCGCTCCAAGTTGTTGCGCTCTCTTAGCAAGTGCGGCCTGGATTTGCTCGGGCGTAGGGCCTTCGCGTGCCGGTCCCAGATCTGAGCGGGTGGTGAAGCCTGTCGCACCTCGACCCAGCCCCGCCACGTAGTTCTCCGGCGCAGGCTGGCTAAGGAAGTCCTTCCGACCGGAGGCCATTTTGACCCAAGGAGGGAGGGATACGTTAGGAAAGCTCGACGAGAAAAGATGGCCGGGGGTTTGGGAAAGGAAAGAAGAGGCGGCGCCGCAAGCCGATAGAAGGCCATGATCGGGATGTTGTTGTTCCGGTCCGCTAATCTTATCGGCTTTTTTTCCTCCCCTCCGCGTCGCTTTCTCTGCTCATCGAGATACCCTCAGATCAACAGACGCCAACATGCCAAAGGTGAAGCAAAAGAAGCGCAATGGGGCCCCTAATGGCAGTCCTTACTCCGACGCTGCGGTCAAGGCGAAAGCCGCCAACAGCGTCTTCAAAATGAATACAGACATTGGACAGCACATCTTGAAGAATTCCGGAATCGCCGACAAGATTGTGGAGAAGGCGGACTTGAAGCAGAGCGATGTACGCCGTCCCTGCCCCTCACTTACAATAGCGACGATGATCATGATGATCGCTACCGCCGCCCTGGTCTGTTTGTCTAATTGCGCTGACTCTCTGTCGCACACAGGTCGTTCTCGAAATAGGTCCCGGAACTGGAAACCTTACGGTCAAGATGCTTGAGAAGGCAAAGAAAGTCATCGCGGTGGAATTGGACCCCCGAATGGCCGCCGAAGTCACCAAACGAGTTCAGGGAACCCCAGTGCAAAAGCGGTTGGAGGTCATCCTCGGCGATGTGATCAAGACCGATCTTCCATATTTCGATGTTTGCGTCAGCAATACTCCCTATCAGGTATGGGCGCTCTAACTAAACAGGCCTGCCTTTCAAACTGCCAGTGTCTAATTGCTCCGTCCAGATCTCATCTCCCCTCACGTTCAAACTCCTCGCCACCTCGCCTGCACCGAGAGTTTGCATTCTCATGTTCCAGAGAGAATTCGCCCTACGACTCTTTGCCAAACCCGGTGACAAACTCTACAGTCGCCTTTCCGTCAATGCCCAAATGTGGGCCAAGATCGATCACATCATGAAAGTGGGCAAAAACAATTTCAAGCCTCCGCCGCTCGTCGAATCCAGCGTCGTCCGCCTCGTGCCAAAAAATCCAAGACCGCAAATCAATTATGACGAGTGGGACGGCCTGCTGCGAATTTGTTTCGTCAGGAAAAACAAAACCATTCGGTCGAGCTTTCTCGGCAAATCTACCATCATGGACATGCTAGAGGCCAACTATCGGACCTGGTGTGCCCAGAACGACATCCCAGTCGAAGATGGTCCGGTGGAAGACACGAGCATGGACACAATGGACACTGGGGCTCCTGAAGACGAGGAAGAAGAGCTTGACGAAGCGATGGAAGTAGACGATGAGGATGATGTACCCGACTTTTTCAAGGAGCAAGCGAACTCTCGCGTGCAGGAGGCTCTCAAGAATCGGCCAGCTCGTAAAAAGCGAGGGAAGGTTGCGGAGTTGGTACGAGAGAAGGTACGGCAAGTTTTGGAGGACGAGACAAAGCTCGCAGAGAAACGTGCAAGGATGTGCGATGAGAATGATTTTCTGAAGTTGCTGTGGGCATTTAACCAAAAGGGCTTTCACTTCAGCTGAAATTTGCCGGAATTGGATGGCGCTGAAGGAAGCTAGGAATGGTCGATCACCTTCTCTTCCTCTCTCGTGCGCTCTCTCTCTCCCCCCGTCACTCCCTTCCTTCTGGGCCCTCCGTCGTCTTCACCTTTTGTTTTCCTCTTTGATATCTCCTCGTTGGTGCTGCGAAGGCGTGCAAAATATATAGAGAGTAGTAAATCATTAATGAGTTATGATTATCATCATTGCAAGCCATTCTCGGGGGACCGGTCACCAGCGGGACGAAGATGAGCCCGAGAGTCCTGGAATAGACTTTGCCAAATGAATGCCTCGCTTAGAAGAAGCTCTATGTCTTTCTCTGTCCAATCCCTTGTTGGCAGGGCCTGTAAGAACATCATAACCTCCTACGACAGTTAGCAATTTTCTATTGCATGTCCACGTAGTCCATCCTTGCCGCGAGCACTTACTTGGAAATCCATTTTGACCAGCTGCTCCGACCATTTGACAAGGAAGGCTGCGCATACATATAGATGGAATCGCGAGAAGCCTTGCTCCTCGGCCTTTGGTCCAAATATTAGTACAGATTTATTCTGCAAGTAGAGAATGACAAAACATACCATGTAAGTGTCCCACATCCGTATGGTGTTCTGGACACTCATTTCTCGCATGAGCAAACAATTCATCCACCGAAAACTGAACTGCATGAACTCAACCCCTTCATTTTCCAGATGTTTAGCTAGAGCTGAATCGATCCGCATTGTCAAGTCACGCAGCGCTCTGACCTGCCTGTGAATCCCTGGCTGCGCATATATGTAATTGTCTTGAATCCCCTCAAGGAGTTTAGTGATACACCAGAACGAGTCAGCCTCCACGGCATCCAGTACACTTCTCGGTAACTGGCCTGGATCCATGCCCTCTTCAACGTTCAGGTCTGTGACATACATGCCTAGAAAGACCTGCCAGAAGGGTGTGACTAGGTCATTTATCCCTTGGACATAGCCACTGGCGGGATGGCGAATTGCCCAAAGATAGAGAATCCTTTCAAGGGAGCGCTGGGTGGCTTCGTAGCTGTAAAGCTGGATGTGAGGGCTAGTGCGGGGAACGTCTATGCTGATTTGATGCCAAATCGCTTCGTCTAGTCCTCTACCACGTCCTGTAGTTGGGGCGGGAGGGGTTCCGGAGCCCGTAGCGCTACTGCGTTCAAATGCTTGTCGCACTCCATCCAAATATTCTTTGCGCTTTCTTTCAAGGGTTGAGATCCGCCGTTCGCTATTCGTAGGGAGGTATCCAAGCAGCAGCTGCCAAGTCATGGCTCGCACTTCGTCAGGAACGCCAGACCATGCCAAATTCCTCAATTCCGAAAGAGGAACAGTGCTTGTTTGCAAGAGACGTTTGAATTTGTTGATTCTCGATATGCGACTCGTATACGCCTCCATCTCTTTTGGAGTTGCGTTCTTAGGGGGTGGCGCATGGTTAATCAGATTCAAGGAGTTCGCGGGGTCTCGAAAAGAAGCAGCAAAGTCAGCATTACAGCCGATCGCGAAAACAAAGGCGCCTAGCTGAGTAGTCCTTACCCCTTAGTATGTCTTTATACTGAGGACGCAGTATCTTCCCTTCGCCCTTCCGGGCTGTGGGATACATGGAAGCACCTCGCTCCTCCGCGATGTCTGCACTGTTTGCGCGCTGTCGGTTGTTCGCTGAGCCAACTCCAAGCGTCGACGTAGCATTGTTTCGAACTCCGCCGCCTGGATCGACCGTTTTGAGAGGATACGGGCCGATGTTTCGGTTTTGCGATTTTCGCATACTAGAAAGACTCGGCAGTCCGAACTCATCTTCATCGTCGTCGAATACAATGTCTTCCTCTTCATCGTCATCTTCTTCCGCCGCGGTGGGATCATGACCCCATGGATCGATCCCTTGGTTCATGATACCGGAATAGGATGTACGAGGCGGCGTGGCCCGGGTTCCTGAGCGATGAGGGGAGGGTGAAACGTGCTGCGAGCCGATGGACGATGGCCGAGGCGGAGTTCGGGGGCGTGTATTATGCTGCTGGGGGACGCCTCTGTGGAAAGCAGGACGGGAGGGACGTATCAATTAGTCTCGTACTCATTTGAAAAAAGCTGCATGGGATATTTGAGGCGAGCGGAGCTAACTTGAGTATATTCGCGTGGGAATATGAAGCGCCAACGACAGTGCTTTGGTCATGGGTCTTGGAAGCAAGTGGTCTTCCCTTCCAGAACGGCGATCCTGCTCGCCTTCGAGGTGGATTAGCCCAAAGACATGAATGCGGTAAAGCAAGATCCAGGTGAGGATGGAGGGAAGGGGGTCGATATCAACATGAGGGTTGAGCATACTCCGAATGGTCTGCGCATGGAAAGTGGGGAGCTATATCAGCCACCGTAACTACTGGATAGGAACGCACGAAGGTCGGAGAGCCACGAACCAACCTGGACCATTTCCTTATAAGAATTGCGATGACAGGTCAGCATCTTGCCCTTGTAACAAACAAATCAAGAAAATAGAAAATAAGGTCCATGGCTAACCTGCTGCTGACCTCTTCTAGCGTCCATTGGGTGAGGTGACTTGTGCGGAGGAAATGGTATCAAAAGAATGGGGACATCGGGCGATATTTAGAGACACGGAGTGCTAGAGTGCGGGGGGGAAGGAGGAGGAAGAGGCAAAGCAGAAAAGAGAAGGACGGGGGGTTGCTTTGCGCACACGGCACCCAAATTAGAGACGCGAAGCGAAGAAGGAGAATTGTTGGGATGAACCATTTACATGGAAGAGCATCAGAAGACCAGCTTTATCCATGCGACTGCCGGCACCTGCCTTTACTAGTAGTTCCTGCACCTACGTATGTGTATCACTATCCAGTACGGATACATTCAGCAATACATACCTCGTAGTACAATACGATACATAAGACCCCGTACCGATAGTTCCCGAGGGGAGGTAGCGGGAAGTATCGTACAGTACCGTACATTACCGCCCGGGGTCGGAAGAACTCCCCCCATCGACATCACTTCTTCCCTTTCTCCTCTTCTCCCTCTTTCTTCTTTCCCCGATTAAACTAACAACCTTCGTCTTTCCTTCCCTTTGTCGAAGTCGGTGGGTCATCAGCCTCGACAACTTCTACTGACTGAGAATCGCAAGCGACTTTCATACATCCCCTCCCTCTCCGACTGGTTTTCTTCAATTATTCTTTTCTTTTCGTAGTTCAAAATGGCTGAACCAGAGGATGTTGAGGAAGATCTGTTCGCCGATCTGTAAGGGCTCCCTCCACCTCCCTTCAACTGGCTCTGGTAGTTTTCTGACCTTGTCGCACCTTAGGTACGATGCGGACGACGCTGGAAACCACACTGCTGCGGCGGTTGAGACCTCTCAAATCTCCCATCCTAACCTTACAGATATTCCCGCCCCGTCTTCAGAGCCTGCTGTTCCGCAGCCTATCGAACAATTTCAGGACCGTCCCGAAGCCTCACGTGACATATACCAGAACCCACAATCCCATGGTTACCAGAATGGCGCTGGCAGTCAGGATCCTGGTTTTGCCAGTACTTCTGCTGTTACTTCCACCCCGTTGGACACCGAACCTCAAGGAACCGGCATCAAAGAAGATGGGTAAGCTTGATCTTTCCTACTGCAGATATGCGAGGTGTACTCGTATCCCCTTTGCCCTTCTCAACCGTAATTGAATACTTAACCTCGCCTTGCGATTTGATTCGCGACGTCTACCATTTCTCCCATGTATCGTCGGATAAAGGGGTTGAAAACCACGCAGCGCTTGGGGGGCCCTGGCACGTGAATGGTCTTGATTGACGATGGCAATCGTGTTAGCGGAAGCTTGTTGGAGGCAATGCTCACAACTCGGATCCCTTTGAGGAATGCTGTGAAAGATGATGGCATGGTACGATGGATATCTTGGTGTCGCGTTGGGTCTAGGATGCGGTCTCTTCCTTTCAGTTGAATCCAATCTCTTCTGCCAGGAATAATGAGATCCCAGTCACCTCAGAAACGGACCTCCTGGGGCTTTTCTTTCAAACCCAGCTAAAGTGAACGATTCGATTGGAGACATTCCACCTTCAAATTCAAGTCCAGATGTCCAGCATGAAACATACGAGCCGATGTCGATGTGATTGTCGCAAAAGATACACAAATATCGGATCTTTGATTCTACGACCCATATCCGCGAGCCACTATAGTACAGCCGATACTATATAGCTTCTTGTCGATATATCTTGATAGAGCAGTGCAGAGCAAGGAGTAGAAACCTTGTCTGTGTGCGCATTGTCGAAAAGTTTACCTAGTTTCGGACACCATTAGACAGACAGGCAAAGGCTTCTTTGATCAGACAAAGAAAGGGAGAACAGAAAGAAGAACGAGAAGAGAGAAAAAAACAATATTTCTTTTTTTTCACTTATTGCGCCTGGCATACTCCTACCCGTGCGTGGTCTGCTGTCACCATCATATCTCTTCCGGTCCCAGAGAAACCTTCCGTTGGCCTTCAGTCCACTGGATCGTCTCGTAAACCAGTGGATAGTTGACTAGAAACCTGACTGGATCGACATATCATCGAGCCCGTCGCAGTCCTTGTCGATGTATGCGTGGCGCGGATCGGCAATACTCGAATGGACGGCCCATATCGTTCAATATCATCCACCCTGAGTTCAGCAATAGCTATCTGCCTTTCTCGTGATACCCAAGTGTGTTTTCCTGGGACACTTTATCTTTCCAAGGGGAATAGCGATGGTGTGACATGGACCAGATCTATAAAAGAGCGGGGATAGCACCTTGAATGAACGAGTTCGTCCGCAATTACCGTGGTCAATCAAAATTTGCCAGTCAAGACCGAACATGCCCTTCGTCGTGGTCCCGATTATCCCGAGGAGAGACGTGGAGAAGGGGAAGAGGAAGACTCGAATCAGGCGTTATCTCATGCTTAATGAAACAGTATACTAATAACATTCTATCAATAGGAAGATGTTCATCGGTGGTTTAAACTGGGAGACGACAGACCGTAGGATACCCCTAATCTCCATTTCTGTTGGATTTGATGGTCTAACTCACCCAAACAGAGTCTCTTAAAGACTACTTTTCCCAGTTTGGAGAGGTGCAAGAATGCACTGTAATGCGGGACAGCGCGACCGGTCGCTCCAGAGGATTCGGGTTCCTGACTTTTAGGGATCCCAAGACTGTCAATACTGTGATGGTCAAGGAGCACTATCTCGACGGAAAAATTGTAAGAATGACCTTTCGTGCCCGCGTTTCAACAGTTTGCTCACATATCCCCGAAGATTGATCCGAAGCGGGCGATTCCTCGTGACGAACAGGAAAAGACAAGTAAAATCTTTGTCGGAGGAGTCAGTCAAGAAGCCAACGAGCAGGACTTCAAGCAATTCTTCATGCAATTCGGCCGCGTGATCGACGCCACGCTGATGATCGATAAAGACACCGGCCGACCCCGTGGATTTGGCTTCGTTACGTTCGATAGTGAAGCGGCCGTCGAGGCTGCGCTCTCACGGCCTCTTGAAATCCTCAATAAACCGATCGAGGTCAAGAAAGCACAGCCACGGGGCAATTTGCGCGACGAGGAAGACCGCAGGAACCGCCGTGGCAGAGACGGGTTCCGAGAGGGTGGCCAGCCCGGCTCTGATGCAGCGCAACCGCAGCAGAGTGGCCAGGGTCAGGCTGGCGGTCTCACGCCGCAAATGATGGCGCAGTATTGGCAGCGGATGCAGCAGTATTTCGCAATGATGCAGCAGCAGATGGCGGTTGCTGCCCAGCAAGGACAAGGCATGGGCGCGATGGGGATGGGCGGCATGAACCCGGCCATGATGCAACAGCAGATGCAGATGAAGCAGATGCAGCAAATGCAGATGGGTAACAATCAGCAGCAAGGAAGCATCAGCCCTCCCTCGCAGAGCCCGACCCCGCAGGGCATGCAGAACATGATGAATCCCGCCATGATGCAACAAATGCAACAGATGCAGCAGATGCAGAATCAAGGCCAGGGAAGTCCCTCCGGGGGCAGCATGACTGGCCAGATGGGGGGCATGGGGGGCAACAACAGCCCTGGAAACATGAACGTAGGCGGTAATTACACGGGGGTCCGCGGGGGACCAGGTTACAACGCCCACGAACAGATTGCCTTTGAACAGCAGAAATACGAGCAGCAGCAAGCTCGGCGCGCCATCGAAACCCGCGCCTTTTCTCCCTACCAGCAGGGCGGTCCGACCTCATGGGAAGGTATGTACGACGAAGTGCCTCAGCCCAACATCCCCACCGGGCCCCAGGCTATGACGCGCGCCGGCAGTATGGGACGAGGTGTGTTCTTCCCCTTTCCCCCCCTTCTGCCCTTTTCAAGTACATGCTGATCTGTATATTGTTCGAGAACCAGGACCGACCCCTCAGCCTCAGAACGCCGCTCCCGCCAACGCGCCCACCGGCCCCAAGAATGCCGGGAAGCCCGGTGCGAATTACCGTGGTGGCGGCCGTGGAGGTCATCGTGGATTCCATCCCTATGCGCGAGGCTAATCCGGAGGCTTTGGGTCGCTTAGTTGGGTGCTTTCATTGTTGTTTTATGTCTACTTGGCTTCATTTAATGGAGTATCTCGACCGGCTTCCGTGGTTTTCCCCCCACAAGCTACGGCTCGACTGAGAAAATTTGTCAAAGGAAAAGGAAAAGGATAAGGAAAAGAGAAAGAGAAAAAAAAAAGAGGAAGAAGAAGAAGCGCGGGACAGAGAAGAAGACTGTTGTGATGTTTCTAATGTACTCATTTTTATTTTTTTTAATCAGGCCCGTATCTCTCGGGAAGATTGTATAGGGCCAAGAGCAAACTTGAGTTGATTTTTTTTAACAACTAGCCTGGACTAGTCGGTTCTCATTTACCACATAGAAGAAACGTACGAAATAAAAGAGAACCACTCATCTCAACACACGCTAACAAAAATGCTTTTCGATACGAGCTCAGTCAGGCTAACGAGTGACACGAGGCTTGCTATGACTATGTTCAAAGAGACTGTCAAAGAAAGATAAAGAGCAAATTGGAATACATATATCAAATCCGCTTAAGTTCGTCCAAAAATAACCGACAGAGATATGTGTATGTCTATATGCCCAACAACCCTCCAAGAAAACGGGAGGTATTTGGGGAAAGGGGAAAGGGGTGAGTGTTGGGAAAGAGATCGACCAAAAAAAAAAACATGACAAGAAGATAAAAGGAGAAAGAAAAAGAAAAATCACGACAGATAAGAGGGAGAGAAAAGAGAAGAGAAAAATGTACAATGGTATATATCATAACAGCCCGTGCAGTTGAATGGCCTAATAGGCAAAGCCATATCCTGGAGTGGTAGCTTTACGCCCATCAGGAGACCCCCGGCTTTCCCTGCTGAGTCGGCTTGGACTTCGACCGGTTCGCTCGTCCTGGCCGTAACTCGGGTCGACTAGACGGTCTGTACTCCCCGTGGCACTATGCCGCGAAGTGGGCTCGTGCTGGTCGCGATAAGGCTCGTAAGGGCCGGTGAAATTGAATTTGTTCATTTCAGCGTAGTCCTTGCGCGGAGGGTGGTCCATTAGAAGTGACTCCCTCGCATCCAACGGCGTGAGGTCATCCATATCCCGGTCCAATTTTTCTAAGAGAGCAGTCATTCGTTAGTAATGGGATGACCCGACGGCTTCTATGTGTTTGGAAACTTACCGGCTTCCTTTCTCCGCTTAGCATGGGGATTCTCGCGACAGCAGTGAATGATGGTGTTGGTAGCGATCAGAATGGCTAGAATACCAGTCAAAACCGATTGCACCACGATGAGGACAATTCCTGTCACGGTCTTGGTCGTCTGCGAAAGGCCAAGTTCCTCGACGAAAATCAGGACACAGGCGACCGACAATACGCGGACCACTTGAATACTGATGTTGATCCATTGGCCCGATCTGCCAACGTACGGCCGATTCCATAGCAGAAGAGCCAACATGAGCGCTTCGACAATGAGTTGACCGGCGGACTGCACCAAGCCGTGGCCGTTACCAGCTGCGATGATACATCCTTTGGCGAACATGTACACGATCACGGGAACAAACAGCCACCAGTAGTCCTTTTTGTAGTTGTCGTAGAATAGGCTGTATTTGCGCCACGTGTCTCTGTTGTCGTACAGGCTTGAGGCATCTCCCTCCGATTTCCTGTACTTGCGCGCTAGATGCGTGATCCGGAAACCAAAGAATAACAAAACTCCTGTGAACAGGGCAAGCGTGACACCAGCCAGAACCTTGACGGCCCAGGAATCTCCGTTGGTTAGCTGATAGACGCAGTACAACACCCAGATACTGTATAGAATGAGAATCAGGTTGGTGATCGTCCGGGCCATGATACCCCAATAGTCTTTGCGGAAATCCGTAAGCTTTTTGGGGAAAGAGCCATAGAGGGCCCACAATTCAAGGATAACTTTGACGAGCAAGATGCCGACGGCGATGGCGGCAACGACAATAGCGAAGATCAACAAAACGGTCATGAAGATGTTTGCCTGCGGTACGGTAAGTTGTGCCGCAAACGCCTCAATGCCGGACACAGTCTTCTTGAAATCGCTTGTCACATCGCTCGTGTCATTGGTAGAAGTCGAGTTGTCATATGAAGTCGAAAGATCCCGTGCAGCCAGCTCCACGGCCCCGACGACCAGATTCCATCCTCGCTTAGCCTTGGAACTCGAGTTCGAGGACGATCCATCACCATACTCCAGCGTTGCGTTGCGGAGAAACTCGTAACTGGCCTCGGTGAGGTTGCCACCGGTGGACTGTCTAAAGTTATCGATGGATTGCTGCATCTGTCCCCACGGTATCAACCCGGTGCTAAAGCCAAAGTTCTTCGAGAAGCTGCGGTACACGGTCGGGTAATTCACACTGAGCATGCCATTGGTTGCCATGGTATGGAACCACCCCATCACATCACCAAAGCCGGGGCTAGATGAATGGGCGCCAGGGTGACCTGCAGCGCTTATGGCAGACAATCCGCTCAGCGCGAGGGCAGCGCCTGCCACGCCAGCAGCGGCATAGGAGACACCGGGGATCTGCATAGACTTGCCATTGGACAGCGTCGACTGAATACAGGCAACCTCTTTACCGTCATCCTTCGATTTCAGCTGAAGCTTTGCCTGACCATCCAAGTCGGGTATAGCAAAAGCAATGGACGGGATCTGGCTCGCAAACGAGTCTGGAATCTCCTGGGATCCAGTTGCTGAGAAGGTACCGGAAGGAACTGCAAGGGACAGGATCACGGTTAAGGTTGTCGGGAGTCAAATTTGGGCAACGGAATGTAGCAACTAACCAGGACACAATTCAGCGACATGGTTGTCACTGCTGCAAGGATCAAATTCCTTTGTGTAGACTTCATTACCATAGGCGTAGACTTCCAAAGATGCAGTGACATTCTGCTCTTTCGCGTTCGTTCCCGACACATCAAAAACAACTTGTTTTGTGGACTTGGTGTAAGTAATATGCATCTTCTGGACCTCGATATCGGATCCTGTCAGGCAGGTAGATACTCCATCTGTACTGAGGGTATCCGCTGCGAGGATCTGAGCGGGCCAAAGGCTCAGCCCGATTAGGGTGAGTCGTGAGAAGGACAATATCCGCATTTTCGTCAACAAATGTCGCGGGCCAGCCAGGAACGAAGTAGGAATGTTGACGGACGAAATAAAGGGAAAGACAAAAAAAAAATCCGGAGGGAGAAAACAGTTGGTGGAACCGGTTAGGTATTAAAATGGTGTAGTGAAATCAAAATCCCCGTTATCTGACAGGCAACTCGGCCAGTTCACAGTAGCAGGAATCTTACAGGATCAACCTGTGCAGAATGAGAAAAGAGACAATTGATGAAGTCTCACCCGAAAAGAAACAATCAACAATGCGGGATGCTGGACGAAAGTCCCGAAAAGGAAGAGAAGCAATGCGAGCAAAGCCGAGACAAGACGGTCCTCTCTCGCTTCGTCTCCTGTCACGCCCTCTCCTTTCTTCCTCGACAAAGCCAAGAGAAGGGAAATAAGCGGATGGACGAGGTAGAGGGAAAGAGAGCGGAGGCCGGAGGATTGGCAGTAGGGAGAGAAAGCGACTGCTCGCGATTGGATTCGATGGATCGATCTTGATCTGGCGCCTCCAAGGGGGGAGGGAGAGAGCGATAGGGTGCTCAATGGAGGGGGGAAACTCGCAGCACAGCACCGTTATGTACGGAGTAGATGCCAAACAAACGATAGAATTGGGGGTTGTGGGGGCGATAAAAAGGAAATCTCTATAATCAAATCAAACTGGAGAGATAGTCAAATGAATGAGAGACCAAATGAAGCGAGCGAGAAAAAAAGACGGGGGAAACAAAACAACACAGAAAAAAAAAGAAGAACAAAAAGGATACGAATTGTCGAGAGTTTAGTGAGTGAGTGAATAATGAGAAAGAACAAGGCAGACCAGACCGTGCAGGCGGGCTGGTCAGTCCACGGGTACGGAGCCAGTGGTACTGTAGTATGTATTCATGGTGGTACGCACCTAGTAAGTCACTACCCGGTACCAGCAATTACTGCGCCTTACGTGGAATACGCTTTTTTTTTTAAAAAAATCCCCTTTTTTTGGGGGGACCGGCCCTACGGTGTAGAGTAGATTGATGAACATCCAATAATGTACACCGATATCTACTTACTCCCACCTACTGAGTACCTAGAACACAAATCCATGGGTGGTCAGGAGTATCATAAATATAGAAAAACAAAATAGTGTAACAAAAGACTGAAAGTCTGTTCCTTTGTTTTATTATTATCAACTTATCATTGGGGGAGGGGGCCTATTCACGAGTATACTAAATATACTACATGTACGCCCCTAAGGAGAGTCCGTTGCCCCTGAATGTCTCAAGTCCAGCCGCGACGGGCGGGTTGAATTAACTTGATTGGGTCCGTCGCGGCTTTGGAGGCGTCTAGACTCGGGTCCAGATGGGGCGATGCCTGCTTGGGCAGCGGGTACCGTACCATACATGTACTTCTAGGTACTCCGTACTACGAGGTACTCAATTTGCGTCAGCTCAAGTGGAAACAAACCCGCAGTCCAGTCCGCCCAATTTCCCTCTGCCAATTCAGTAGTCCCCTGTAGTCCCTTGTAGTGGGAAATCGGCCTCCCAACCCCCATTATCATTCGAAGAAATCGACAAACTAATGATTCCATGACTCCATTATGAACTCTGGTGTATGTTCCATAATCCATGATGCACCTGGTGACATGCGCTACTCCCCTACTTAAGCTTCCATCATTCCAGGACGCTAATTCCGTACCGATTGGTTGGCTCCACCCTCTCTATCTACTATCTACTTCGAGTCTTCGACACACTACAGGGTGAGTCGATCAAAGAGAAGAAGATAGTGCTTTCCCGTTCTGAGATCCATGGGATCGAACTAATCGGTATCTAGTGCTAGTTTTCGAGGTCCCGCTCCTCTCTCCAAGTACTGCAGGTATTAGTCCCAGTGCCATGACCATGCGCCAACTTGCTATCACAACCCTCAGGCGAGTGTCGCTGTGTTGCTTGCTGCCGGCTCCCTTGGTTGGAGAAGAATCCCACGATGATAGCCCCCTCGTAACGTATGTCTCGAGTATTCGACGGAGGGAATGCCTGGTATGAGTCCCGCACGGGCTGCCTGCTCTCTGGTCGAAGGCCTTTTCGGCCTTCTCCAAAAACACGTCTTTTTCCTTCCACAGCATCGGCGCAACAGAAGAATATCACGGAACTTTTTCATTTTCGCCCTGATTTGTCCTGCATCTCTCGCATCGCAGCTCTAGCACTGCGACTACCTCCGAGTTTAGGACCGCGCGGCGCTTCCGGCTTGGTGGTTTTGGTGTTTCGCGCTCGTGCCACCCGACGACGGGACTGAATGGCATCGAGGAAATCCCTTCGAAACTGCTCTGCCACCCTATCATCGGCGGCTTGGTCATCGGTAACGGTCGTAGTCTCTTCCGCAGGTTCATCGTAAACATCGACTGGAGTAATGTATAAGTTACTGGGTCCTGACGGGGAGGGGGAAGACACTTCCGACTTACGCCTGCTTTCACGCAAAACTTCTTCAACCAGCCTATCTCTCTGGGCATCTTCGCTGGTCCGTCGTCTCTGGTGACGCCATGGTTTCTTTTCATGTGTGGAGGTGTTCTTCGAGGGAGATTCGTCATCCCCGGGCTGCGCGTCCTCCACGTGGTCGCCACCGACGAGCCTCCTTGTAGCCGCCTCCGTCCGTGCGATATTCTCCAGCTTGGTTTCCTGGCCAAGATCGATCTCATGCAGCTTACCCAGTGACGCCGGCTCGCGTTGCGGGAGATCCAAGGAGAGCGGTGCGCCGCTGGCTTCCTTTGTGCCGACGGTATCGGGGTCGGTTGCATCCGTCAGCCCAGTTCGTCGATTCCGCTTGGCCATTTCCGATTCTATATACGTCATCCTTATCTTGTTAGCTTCCATTGCAAGGCGGGATGAGAAACGTGGGCTGAAAACCAATGCGCGGATCCGTACATGTGCCTGTCAACGTCCACGGTTTGTCCTGTATGAGCAGTAAACCGATCACACATCGTTTGAATTCTCTCTGCCTCGAGCTCTTCCGTAGTTGCTGAAGATAGGGCAGACTGGTTCGCCGTATCTGTCGTTTGCCGCGAGGTGGCGGAGAATTCGATACCACCTTTGCGGGCTCGATGGAGCCGTCGCCGGCGAAGGAAGTCGGACGTGGCCGTAGCATCTCGCGGCGTATTTCGTGGGGACTGCGATCGAGATCGGGACCGAGACCGAGGCGCAACTGGGAGTGTGTCGTCTGCGCGATCCTCCGGTATGTCCTCAGCACGGCGTCGTAGGAACTTTCTTTTCTTCGCCGGCGGTCGAAAAAGCGTCCCCGAATCAGGATGGGTGTCTGTATCCATGTCCATGCTTGTATTAGAGAGCTGCGGGGAAATAATCCGCCGGAAGGAAGGGGGTGGTGAGTAGGTTGAAGAGAGAGGGTGAACGGACTCCGGTAGTCTAGCCTAGGTAGAGTAGAGTTAGTTACCTACAGCTGCGGCAAGGCCCGTCCAAGGTTTCCCGCCCGCCGCATCCGCCAAAGGGACTTCAATCATTCCCAACTAATTCACACCGGATAAGTTTCGCCAGTCCTTTCTCCCCGGACTTCCACAACTTTGTGATTGTCGACATAGCCCAAAGCGAATCCGCTGTAAGCTGGAGCCAGCTGCCCGCACTTGAATTGCCCGACCTGTCGCGCCCGCGCGTGTTTTCAACATGAACCCTTCCATTCCACCGTCGACGGCCGAATATGGCGGAGGTAAGTCGCCGCCCATGAGCAGTCATGTGTCTTTGCTTGCATTGCCTGCAATCTTGCGCCATACTCTATGTTAACCATCGCTCTCTCATGTAGATGAGGTCTCTGCCATCGTACTCGACCCCGGATTTTCCACAACCCGCGCAGGCTTTGCGGGTGAAGACACGCCAAAATCTCTGATCCCTTCGTACTACGGGAAATACACCTCCGACGGACAAGAAAAGCTCATCTTCGGTGATGATGTCTTTGTTACTCCGCGCCCTGGTCTGTCCATTCACAATCCGATCGGCAGGGATGGAATTGTGGAGGACTGGGATATGGCGGAGAAAGTATGGGAGTACTCCTTCACGTCGCGACTGACGGGGGCAAGGCCCGGGAATCCTTTCCAGAATGGCCTGAATGATGTCCCGGATGCCGAGCTGCCTACGGAGATGGATGGCGTGGAGGCCGAAGAGAAACCTCTTTCAGATAGTCCTCTCCTGATGTCTGAGTGCGGCTGGAATCCCACCAAAGCGCGAGAGAAAACAATCGAAATTGCTATGGAGAAATGGGGCGCACCGGCCTTTTACCTCGCGAGGAACGGTGTTCTTGCGTCGTAAGTGGCTCTTGACTTCTTGTCTCTCCTTGAAGATTTTTTTTATTCGCTCACGCTTGCATTCTAGCTTTGCTGCCGGCAAGGCGTCCGCCTTGGTGATTGATATAGGCGCTTCAAACATATCGGTAACCCCGGTGCACGATGGCATGATCTTGAAGCGCGGAGTCCAACATTCACCCCTGGGAGGCGATTATATCTCATCGCAGATTCGAGCGTTCTTCAAATCGAACACCCCGCAGCCCATCACCATCACGCCTCACTACCTCATATCCTCCAAGACCGCCGTGGATGCAGGCCAGCCCCCGCAGGCTAAACTCAGGACATTCCCGCCGGAGCAAGCTCCCCACGCTTCCTATCGGGAGCTGCTCGAAGAGCGGACTCTTTCGGAGTTCAAGGAATGTGTGGTCCAGGTGTGGCCAGGCCCCAACAAGCTTCTCGCCGCTGGTCCAAACGGGGTCTCAAACGAAGAAATGGCCAAAAGCAGCCCCGGGCGTCCGTTTGAGTTCCCCGACGGTTATAATCAAGTCTTTGGCGTCGACCGTTATAAGGTGGTTGAGTCCTTGTTCGACGCCAAAGCCGCGATCCATGATCCCGAATCGACGTTCCCCGCTCCGACTCAGGGCCAAACCGTCCCCGAACTTATCAAGAATGCGTTGAACAATGTAGACGTCGACATCCGTCCTCATTTGCTCGCCAATGTTGTCGTGACTGGGGCATCGACCCTACTCTACGGCTTCACTGATCGACTCAACCAGGAGCTCATGCAAACCTACCCCGGCCCACGGGTGAGGATCTCGGCGCCCGGAAACACGGCTGAGCGTAGATTTGGCTCCTGGATCGGTGGCAGCATCCTGGCCAGCTTGGGAACCTTCCATCAAATGTGGATTTCCAAGAAGGAATACGACGAGCATGGTCCCAATATTGTCGAGAAGCGCTGCAAGTAGGGCGGGGGTCTTGTTTTGTTTGACTATATCCATTCTCCACCCATACTTTGTCGTGTCTTGCTTCCTCTGGTAATTGTAGGAGTGGTTTATATGATCCGTACCAATGATGACTCGCGTGTTCTGCCATGCCCCTAGTGGAAATCTTAAACCTGCTTCGGAGCTTCTTAGGTCGAATTTTGTCTTTTTGGCGCTTTATGAAAACAAGGCCTATGTATCCTACAACAGTCTGTATGATTAATGTCTTCAAGTTGTTCTTCTGTGTCTGCAACTGTCATATATAAAGATTCTATTATTGCTATTGCATAACAGCAGTACCTTCACGATGGGTCTGCAATTCAATCGGGCCATTCAGCCCATTGGCAAGCAGGGGTATAAGAGCAAAGATCAACGCTTCAAAGTTCATTCGGCCCCATTCACGCGCAACAAAGAGCTTGAGCCCAGGATTAAACTTATCTGGTAAGAAGCCGAATGGCTTAAACCCGTTCAATTCAACTTGAAAACGGAATTCCCCTGTCTTCCTGGTCATTTGCTCGATCAACAGAACGGCTTGATGGGGAGCGGATTCCGGTCAATGCTTCTTTTTTCTTCCTAGATGTTAGTCAAACGCGCTAATTTTGATGCGCTAGTGAAGGTGGCACCGACGGAAGCGCTGTTATGATTGACTGCGTATCTCCTTCTGGGGAATCAATGTCGTCTTGATGCCTGGAACCGCTAGCCTCTTCGAGTCCCCGAGCTAAGCTTACGGGGTCGGAGAGGACGTGGATTCGAGGAGCCACATCACGCCTTGATTTCAATGAATAAGTGTTCAATGTTTTCGTTTCCTCCTGTAACCAGGCCATCTGCCTCCCCAGGTCTTCGTCGAGGAGGTTCGTCGGTTGGTCGTCAGGGTTGCCAGGACCGTTCGACGACTTGTCCCGAAATCTACTCCACAAATCACCCTTTGTCTGGCAATCCTGACTAGCCATCTTCTCTTGTTGTGGCCGACTCTCCCATGCATCGATCACTCGGTCTCCTTTGAAATACTGCAGGAGTTGCTCTTTCATTGTCTCTCCTCTGGAGGACGCTTGCGCTGTGAGGGGCCTTCTGGACTCGGGTAGCATTGACATATGTTGCTGCTGATCTTTTCTGTTTTTATAGAGACCTTTCAACTGTTCGACGGATGCACTTCGCGCTTTTAGTGTTCTAGAGGGTGCCGTGGAGGGTCGCATTGGTGCTACCCCATCACCTTCGTTTTGGCTTTCCCTCAAAGTGGGTTTGACTTTTGAAAATCGACTGCTTGAGCGTCTCAAATTAGATATTGAAATAATGGAATTTGCGGTGTTAACAAAACCATTCACTGATCTTGACCGGCCCGGCGGTGTTTTATTCCGGTAACAATTGTCAGAGGATTTGGAGGCCCGTAGATTGGGGACACTCTTCTGCAGCATTCGGCGGGGGTCAGTTTGCCTGGGCACTGGTGGCATGTTCGTTGCTACCGGCAGCCCTGGGTCACATGGGAGAGGCTTTTCTGGAATCGAGGGCGTGGAAACTCTGATGGACAGCCCTCTCTCGAAAAGCCGATCCCGAAGCCGTTTGCCTCCAGGAGCAGCATTAGAAGAACGCATCAAGGATACCTATGGGATTGCGTCAGGGTCCGAGGCGTGGCTATAAAAGGGCAAGGCAGCTTACTACTTCCTTCCTGCTTGCCACGCCCACACGGCGTTGCATTTCGGTTATGGTCAGGCCAAGCTGCAAGAGTGCGGACTCGAGGGCAACACCTTTTCGGCGGAGTTTAGAAAAAGCGGCATTCCACCCCTCCGTGTTCGCCAGCATCGCATTGTATACAGCGGTGGTATTGTTAGATAGGGGAGCATTCTGTCTTGCAGAGTCTCCAAGGTACTGCCATAGAGCGCCAACTGCCGCCTTTCCTTTCTGTATATCTTTGAGGGTGTCTCTAACGGATTGTGTAAAGCGATCAACGGCATGCTCAATCATTTCGTTATAGCCTATCATGGCACGGCGGAATTGGCGGTCATTCAGCATCTCGTCGAAGACATCAAGATTCCCAAGTGGGAGATTGAGATACTGGATCCGAGTGCGCACATCAACCTGGATTAGTAGAAAGTCCTCCGTCGTTCTTCCCAAAAACCCATCCATCTCGTCAACATGAGCTTGAAGAATTTTCAAAACCTCCAAATCTGACTTGGCCAGTCGTTTGGTCAAGAGACTAACGCCGAACGACATCTGGGAGATAAGCTTCCAAAAAGGGTGATACCTGTCGACGGTCAGTTTCGTTGGGCATTTCCATGGATAGTTTGGAAGACGGCCGAGTGCTTGCCTTTCGCCGGCCCTCTGGCGCCATTTACGGCCGCAGAGTCGTTCATACTCGGCAGACTCGAGTAGATCCTTGCGGCGGGACTGAGCATCCAGTTCCACTGCCCACTCACTCTGAGCGCCTTCGAGAGCCTCTAGCATGGATTCTTCAAACGGACCCTGAAGCTGGGGAATAGGGTGGGCAGGGGTTCGATCAAGTTGTTTGTTGAATGTACCATGTTCTCGTTCGGATTCTGCACCGGCAAAAGTTGCAGACGGCTCCGGGTCGCTGGATACTGGGGCCATGAAGGGAAACTAGCAGATAGGCAAGGCTATCTACTGTCGCCAGGGTTTCTCCTCTATCCAACTTTCCGGATCCTCTAGGCCTTCCACCTGCGCATACCAAAGCGGACAGGTAATGAAACCAATTACTTTTGCGAAGGCGGACTTTAATTTGGTAGCGCGCATCCAAGATCCATCAGGCTTGGTTACAGCTCAAGTCAATCACATTCCAAGAGTTCTCCTGTCCGACGTGCTTCAAGAAATCATCTGTAGACCTTCACGAAGCAGCAACACGATGCCTAATCGGCTAAGATTGATGCAACACACGACTCAACTTCCAAGGTGAAACACAGAGAGTCAAATGACTCAAAGGCCGAACATGATCTTCAAGAATTTGATCATACAAGAGCGGGAAAGTAGAAAAGAAGGCAATGAGAATTGTGGGGGAGCAAACGAAAAGAAGGAAAGAAGAAATTAGACCAGGAAGATAAAACAAATAAAATTATGATATATGGGTCCCCAAGAACAGGCAAGGAAAGAGGAGAAATCGGCCTAGGAACAATGGGCCTGGGAAGAAAAGCTATGAGTTGGTCGTTGATCGTTGATCGCTTGAGTCGTGGCGTGTCAAGCGAGCGAACCAAGAGTTCGGTCGAGACCAGAGGTCTGATCAGACCTTCAATTTGAAACCCGAGGCCGTGGACGAACCAGATGGGTGGGGAATTTGGAAACGGGAGGGATCCGACCCGGTCAATCAGCAAAGAAGACGAGGACCATGGATGATGATGAAAGGAAGGGGGAGGGGGAAGGGCGGACTCGGAGTCACAAAAGGAACTAACTAACTAACTGAACAGGCCTTAGGCCACATCTTGATGCCTTGACGGAGAGGATTATTTGACTCCGGCACTTCGGACTACGAGGCAAGACACTCTACCTACTCACCCGCCCCCAGGCCATTGACCCGGTTTAGAAGACTCATTTGAGCAAGTTTTGTTCAAGACAATATTAGAATGGTTCCATTCCATGGACCCAAAAAGGCCGGTCCCTGGCCGTGCATTCATATTCTATAACGATCGGCAATTCATTCCGTCCCCACCGATCAGTTCGGGATTGAAGCTTGCTCGTCGAAGTTCCAAGCAGCACGTCACGGATGTGTGTCCGAGAAGAACACAGGATCCCAAAAATTCGTGGGTAAGGATAAGTCCAGAAAGTCTCCAAACAGTATATCAATATCGGCAAATTCGCTGTCGTCGGGCCCCAGAGGCTTGTCAGGGGTGGGTGCGGGTATTGACGGAATGAGAGGCGTGTCGCCGACACGCCCAGTATCTTCATGGGACGAGAGTGCCAAGCATGAAGTGGAATTGTCGGGCTGCTCGGGTGCAGCAGGCATAGCCTGAGATATCCCCTGCGACCTGATGTCCCGACTACTATCAGATTTCACGTTCTGCAGAACCAATGCCCTGCGTCCCAGCCGTGCCATTGCTTCTGCAGAATACCAGCAGCTTCCTATGTCTTCGAGAAGAGAACAGCACGCTTCTAGACTAGCTTTGGCTCGGTCAAAATGAGTGATCAGTTTGCTCGACCGAAACTGCTGGTACGCGACGCCCATGGATAACGCTAGTGCATAAGGGACTATTGGTAGCGGAGGTAGCTCTTGACTACATTCAGTAGCAGCAATGGAGTATATCCGAATCGCTGCGAGGTTCTGGCGAGTATGGGATGGCTCGGAGCTGTCGGCACAATCGGATGGCTTATATCTACAGGACAGAATCCCAACGGCATGATAAAAAAGTTCGAGGAAGCCTGGAATCCATGTAAGCTAGACGGTACATATAGAAATCACACGAACAGGGGTAGGCGCACCGAGCGTAGCAAAATCTACGTCTTCTCGTACGTTGTCACCGATGATGTCTTCAAACGTTGGAAACTCGGTCTCCCAACCCACTGTATGATCCGTGGTTGGCCGATAGAACGAGATCACGCTCGAAAGCAACTCTGTGATAGCAAACCAAACATCAAATGCTCTTCTAGCGTGGGGGGTCTTAGTTTCGGGCTTCTCGATACCAATGTCGCGGTCTGCGAGAAGCACCGGCCGGCCACCTATGGATGCATGCATCTTGTCCAGAGTCCATAGACACCAAAACAAATCCCTGGTCAAAGTGGCCCGATCGGGTCTATCGAGATGTAATCCTATCGTCTGCGCCTGATGGATCGCCTGGCAAAGATGCATGGAGGCGGCTTCTGCTCCTTCATAGCCTTCACAATGCAAAGACATGAGCGCCAAAACGCGGATCCGAGTGATCCGGTCTGATTCAAGCCCGTCATTCATCACGAGAACAAGCCCTTTGTATATCTCGGAGCAAAATTCCCGTGGTGAGAGAAGAGAGCCATTGGTCGCCAGACGAAGGTGGGATATAGCTGCGCTATCTTTCGCCGCAACGAGGCACATAGCTTTCTCTAGGAATACAGACGCCACTCCCGCCGCGTGGGCGCAAGAGAAAGAATCCTTATCAACAAGTGGGAGGATATGGTTGACTTTGGAGAAATAGATCGAAATCAATCCATCTTGGGTTGAGAGGGGAAGGCGCTCGAAGGCCCTTGTTATAGATGCGCATCGATGCTGTAGAAAGGATGCTAGAGTCTGCGATCGGGCTCCTTCATTGCTCTGCGTGGCAGGCGAGTTGATCCAGAGTCCGATCCGGTCACGAAGCTGGTTCTCGGCCGTGACGTCCAATTTCTCCCGAATTGCAGCTTCAGGGTTGAGATCGCCTACGAAACGCTCTGTGTGAAGGGGCTCTGAAGGTATCATTTCAGGCGTCTGCGCACCTCTCTCAGAGTCTGAAGGTATGGCTGATGGTTGCGGAGTAGTTCCATTGTGCTGTCCCCCGGGGCATTGGCTCAGGCCAGTCCCAGTACTCAAATGACGACAGCGCTTCTGTTGAAGGTCGCAGGCATGATTAGCTTTCAAACTTCAGAACACCCTATAAGTAGGACAATCAGGGACACGTAGCCGCGTGCATAGATGAAAGATGTGCACATCAAGGTATCATCAATGCATGAGAGAGGATACGACAGGTAGAAACAAGCTAGAGACCGACCTTTCTTCGCTGACAAGAAGCACATGCGCGAGGGGCTCTAGTCCGACGACGCGCTTGGGGAGTATCAGCAAACCAGGTAAGCTCCATCAAGCCCTCAGGTGCCTACTTGGTCAGGGAGTACCTAGAGTATCAAGAATGGGTTGGTGATAAGTGATAGAATATATACCAAAGGTATAGATCGATGGATACCTTGCCTAGTTTAGTTAGTTACCTTGTAAGCAAACCTCTTAAGGATTTTACTAGTGCATACATATAATACAATATTACCAGGTTGTATACAGGTATATGAATTGACCTAACTACCTAGTAATGTACATCACTTATACATTACATACCTATTGTATACCTAAGATTATCTCGGTCCTGACTGTATGTATGTATGTACCAGTATAATACAGTACAGTTCCTAGGTATCCATAGGTACCTTACACTTACTAACTTACTTTACAAATCATACCGACCGCCTCATGCTCCACCCACCCAAGCTCTTCCTTCACACGCGCGACGCGCGACGCGTACTTGGAACACCTATCACCTTATCTAGGTAATTATCTACCTTATCCAGGCAGCTAGAGTAGCCTAGGTAAGAACCGATTCTCCAGTTCTACCAGTGATCTCCTAGTTACACATCACTACATACCTACCTAATATTCGTCAAAACCTCCGTCGGTCCTCAACCGTGAGTCGTCTACGTCTGCTACAGTCAGTTACTGCACCATTCTTCTGATATCTTGATTGCTTCATCTCCAAATCGCAGAAATCAATCATCAATTCCTCCCGTCAAGCCATCTGTTGCCGCACACGACCACCTGCTTGGAAGCGACATGGCCAGCCCTACAGGTGTCAAACGCAATGCCAATCATTTGACAGCCTCAGCGACTGACTCGAAGAAGCCCAAGGCCAATGGCAGCATCACATCGTTCTTCGGTGCGCCGAAAGCCAAAGTCAAGACGGCTGAATCCAAGTCGTCAACCCCGCCTTCGTCGACCTTCAACAAGCAGAAATGGATAGCGTCGTTAACCCCGGAACAAGCGGAACTCCTTCGGCTCGAGATAGAGACTTTGGACGACAGCTGGCTGGCACAGCTGAAAGATGAACTAGTCACACCAGAGTTTATGGCGTTGAAACAATTCCTTGAGAAAGAAAAGCGGTCTGGGGTTAAAGTCTTCCCGCCGGAGAACGAGATCTATTCATGGTAGGCCCATCCGAAAAGACAAAGATATCAGCACGATGCTCAAAACCCGACAGGTCCCGTCATACACCTCTACACACAGTGAAGGCAGTCATAATCGGCCAAGACCCCTATCACAATCACAACCAGGCCCATGGCTTGGCGTTTTCCGTTCGCCCTCCCACTCCGGCTCCCCCATCTCTCGTCAATATCTACACGGGTATCAAGAATGACTACCCCTCCTTTGAACGGCCGCCGAACAAAGGTGGCTTACTTACCCCATGGGCGGAACGCGGAGTCTTGATGCTTAATACTTGCTTGACGGTTCGCGCGCATCAGGCTGCCAGCCATTCAAACAAAGGGTGGGAACGGCTTACTCAAAAGGCTATCGATATTGTAGCACGTGTGCGATCTCATGGGGTTGTATTTCTTGCCTGGGGAAACCCAGCAGGTAAGCGTGTGTCGAGCATCAACCGACAGAAACATTGCGTGCTACAATCGGTCCATCCTAGTCCGCTAAGCGCGTCTAGAGGCTTTGTAAGTGCCCATTCTCTCGATATCGTTCCTTAGCTTGCATCGTAGTGACCTAATCATGTGAAATCAGTTTGTCAATCAACACTTTAAGAAATGCAATGAATGGCTGGCTGAACGTTATGGGGCTGATGAAGTCATTGATTGGAGTTTGACATCAAATATGAAGACAACATCCCCTTTGGCCGCAATTCAAAGTCCCTCCGTCGTGATTGAGAAGCCAAAGATCCCTATGACGAAAGGAACTGCGCCGATACCGTCCGAGGAAGCAGACGGCGATGAACCACAACTGACCAATACCTTGGACGTTGACGAGTTCGAAGATGACATCGACGCTCTAGAGGCTCTGGCAGCAGCGGATACACGCGATTGAAGGGAAAGAACATTGCGTTGTGCTTGAGTGCTGCAGGTGATGTTGTTACAGCTCATATCAAGGAGGATGTAGGTATCAGCGAGGTCCATGCATGAATACCCGGCTGCAATCATTGGTTCTTGTCCGTTGGCGTTTATTGGGTGTGTAATCACGAAACCTTGACTCGAAAGTCCGCTACTCATCAGCCTCTGGAGTGCGCATAGGAATTTTTCTGTTCCTTTGGAGTTTATCAGTTATTCTCCTTGATTCAATGAGGACATTAGGGGGAGGCCTGGTCAGGAGCCCAAGGTATTGCTTGAAAATGTGCGTGCGCATCTACGGCCGTTAATATGCTTTCGGGGTGTATAGAAGGACCTAGCATGATAGAGAAATACTTTTGTCTGGCAAGACAATTTCAAGTGCATTCAAGTTGAAGATTACAGATCTCGTTAAATAGAACAAGTTTACAATTCATCGTGATCAGCCTTGTCATCAGTGGCGGCAGGAGCCTCAGTCTCGCTAGAAGCGGAAGGGCTTTCGGCGGCCTCGCCGCCTTCCTCGGTGTTGACAAGAGCATCAACCTTATGCTTGCCATTCTCCTTCACGAAGCTGACAAGGTCCTCAACGGTACGCGACCCAGCGTATTCAACAGGGGAATCCTTGCTGCCGGCAGGGTAAAGCTTGATCGTGGGGAAGCCGGTGATCGAATCCGGGACATCGTTGGCCGTGGCATCAATCTTGGCAATAGTGACCTTGGAGGCGAGATCGGGGACGTCGGCATAGAGGCTTGCGAGTTCCTCGTATTTGGGAGCGAGACTAGAAGAATTAGCGACCATCAAGCCTAGTTTCCGGGATGGTTACTCACGCCTTGCAGTGCCCGCACCAGGGCGCGTAGAATTCGAGAAGAACATCCTTCTCGTTATCGATGACAAGCTCCTTGTAGGAATGGGCCACAACAACAGTCACAGGGCTGTCCTGGGTCTCAGGAATTGGCTCGGACTTGATACTGGGCTCGACCTTGCCGTCAAGAACATCCTGAATGAACTTGCCAACATCCTTGGCGGTGATCTCCTTAGACTGGTCATAAGGATACTTGGCCTTCTTCTCGGGGTCTTGGATGGCAAATGCGGGGAACGTCTGAGGATCAAGGTTGAGGTTTCCAGCATGAGCTCCAAACATCTTGGCGTCAATCGTGGCGATGTTAATAAGGCCCTTGTGCTTCTCGGCGATGGGCTTGAATTCCTCTGTAAACTTCTCACGCTCCTCAGCCGTTTCGGCAAAGATGTAGGCGAGGGGAACGCCGGCCTATAAAGTCCAGTCAGCTTATTAAAGCCATCGATAAACACAGAAGGGGACGGCTCACCGTGATATAACTAGAGTAGGTTTCTGGGCCAATCTCACCCACAAGAGGGGTACTGGCAGTCTTCACCCAAGCCAAAACAGCATCCTGCTCGATATCACCTGTGTAGATGGTCTTCTTCTCATCAAAGTCTTTGTAAAGGACGAGCGAGGGTTGCTTGACGCCCTCCGCCTTGGCGATAGCCGCATCGTCGGTAGCGGCGAACAGGTAGTTGTCCCTCTGCGCCTCTGCCAGGGCGTTGAACGCCTCGTTGGCTGCCTTGTCGTCGGATCCAAGGTAACCGATCACAACGATTTTGTCCATGGTCTTGGTATCCTCGAGGTTATCTTCGGTGACGCTGGAAACGGCCGGAAGGGACTGCTTGATCATGTATGAAACGAGACTGACAGGTCAGCATCCTGCCGGGGACAATAAGAGAAGAGATAACTCACGCCTCAGTCTGACGAGCTCCCTGGTAAGGCTTGCTCGAATCAACGCCGCGGAAGATCTTCAGGGTGGGATAGCCCTCTACTCCCTGATCCCGACAAAGGTCTTCCTCTGCGGTGCAGTCAACCTTGACCAAGGGGATATTCTTCTCCTTCAACTGAGTGGCGGCCTCCTCGTATTTGGGCGCCAGAGCCTTGCAGTGTCCACACCATGGTGCAAAGAACTCCGCCAGCACTAGATCATGCTCGTTGACGAAATCGTTGAATGTGTCCTGGGTCAATGATTTCACGTCAGAGGGGGCGTCGGCCTGGGCATCACTGGCAGACACCACAGCCGAAGCGCCCAAGAGACTCAGGGCCCAAGGCGCAAAAGATCGCATCTTGTCGTGTGGATATCACGAATAGCGTGATAAGGATTCAAGAGACTAGAACTGAGAGGTGCCCTATCCTTTCCAAACGGCTTTTAATTGGCAAAGGAGGCAGAGGAAGGTGATTGACGAAGCTATAGAAGCCGGGTGGAGGAGGGAGAAGAGGTGGTAAGAGCAAAGGTGAGAAGGCCCGTTAAGTATTGTATGGGCTGGGGGAGTTGAGGACAGTTTGTTCTTTCTGCTGTTTAGCTAATCTGACTGGTTCATGCTTGAGAGGGGCGGCGCCCGGTAGTCAGTCAGGTACAGCAAGGGAGACTCCCTGGGTACCTAGGCAATACCTACCGAGGGCAGTCTGGTACCTGGCTACCTCCGCTAGATTCCCCTACCCAGGAGGTACTTAGTTGTACCCGTAAAGCAGGTACCTTCCTGAAGAGTATGCCTGCTTATCTAGGTACATATACCTAGGTAGTATCTCAGGTACGTATGTATGTACTGTACCTACCTACTGCCCTATGACACTAGTCTCTTCATGGTAACCAGCTAGGGTGCCTGCCTACTCCGGCGTAGGGCGGTACCACCTTACTGTACCCGGTCCGGTAACGTTTCCGTGGTAACATCCCTTCCATGTAATGTATGTATCTTAATTAATATGATCTTTATTTCTGATCCTCCGTCCAGTTACTACGGAGATGTCTACCAACGGTACATGATTCCGGCTTTCCCAACGTCTTGTCCCTCGGGCCAGGCTTTGATGAAACAGTCAAGTACCTAGACAGACTAGGTCGGACAATGTATGAATTACGACGGTGTATGAGGCATGCGGATCGGTCCTCCCCCCTCCTTCTTTCCTCGTTGTCAATCCTCGGTATGGGCCACAGCCTCTTCTTCATTGTCTGGTTGGTCTTGTGGAATTGTGCCATAGCAAGGTGTGTCCCGTGTGGAGTGGCCCGCCAGTTCAACCGCAAGCGCGTAGGCATCCCGTTTACCTCGATTGACGTCAACGAGAAGCATTAGCGGCAGTGGAAGCAGTATCAACACGGCAAGAAAGGCAAATGCTGGCCGGATCTCACCGTAACGGTCCGTGATTATTCCCACGATAGCGGGCCCGAAAACACTCGAGCCCTTGTCCGTGATAGCATAAAGGGCAAAGAACGCCGTTTCGTAGCCGGGGGGGATGAGCTCTCCAAAAAAGCTTCGACAATATGACGACAAGCCACCCATAACAAGGCCGTAAACAATACCCAAGGGAAACATCTCCCAGGGTTGCTGGAGGCCAAGGTACCCCAAATCCTTGATTGCCGGGATAAACCCCAAGAGACCATAGAGAGGAACGATCTCAAATAAGACGATACATGCAATTATTGTTTGTGAAGCACCCAGTTTGAATATGCTTGACACATAGCGCCAGGAGAATGCCCCGAATACCCCCGCAACCATTGTCACGACATTAATCATGCCCAGTGCTGCAGGCTGCATAGCAAGTTGGGTTTTGGCAAAAAGAACAGCAGTTCCACTGACGGTGGCAATTCCATCGCTCAGGAGAAACCACGCTGCCAAGAACAGTAATATGTCTTTCAGGTGTCGAGTCCGCATAGCAGTGCGACCAAGGGATTTCCAAGCAAAAACCACGTAGCCAATCCAAGAGCGGTCTTGCTTCCCTTCATCGTGCGGAAGAGGAGGCCCTGGACGTGGACGAAGCCAAACTGCGGCGGGAATGGTGAAGATAAACCACCAAAATCCGATGAGAAAGAGGACAAGTCGCAGAGAAAAGGTGGTTTGTTTTGTAGCAACGACAACCAGGATGCAAATTAATTGTAGTATCACAGAGCCAATATATCCGATCCCTATTCCATAGGATGATATCTTAGTCGAGAGCTCTAATTCCTGCGATGTATCCACGGGCAATGGTTGATAACTCTCCAAGCTATGAGGATTTAGCTCGTGTTGACTGGGTTGGAGAAGCGGTGTGGTCACGTCAATATCATCCGGACAATCACTATTCTGAATAGAGCTGTTCCCTCTCGTTGAGGTGTAAGAGACACCTGCACCGACATTTCGAAGCACAGAAGAATGATGGCGGACTAGCAGGGGTAAAAAGGAATTCAAAAGAACAAACGATGCTCCGAAACAAGTATTTGCCACTACTCCGAACAGACCACCGACTATGTAAAACCCTGGCACAACTCCAAGGAACAGCATCGTCGTCAAGGATCCAATGAAAGCAAATGTAACCAAGAATGTTTTGCGATAGCTTCCATGGTCTGCAGCACCGGACATAGATATGATCAGCAGAGCCTGCACGAAGACACTCAAAGAAAATGTGTACATAGCAAAGCTTGCCGTATTGATTTCGACACCGAGAATCCTTACAATGCATTGGCCAGCGGCTGGAGTTTCGTGGCTCTCACTCGCATCGGTACTGACATTATAACTCCACGAGTCAAATAGAGATGGTTGCCGCGGGGGTTGCCAATCCACACATGGCGTCACCTTGTCTGATAGGAGAACACCACGGTCACGAGCCATTTGCTCTAGTGTGATGGGGAGGAACGACCCTACGTTATGATTAGCCTCGACCTGCGTCAGCCTGCTTTAAACTTGTGAGGGTATACCCATTGCGCACACCGCAAAGACTTCAGCTGCCCAGCTGTAACTAAGCCATCCAGCAAGCTCTCTATTGCTTGTCGGTCGTGTGTCATCACCAGGATATCGAGAACGCGAGGTTGTTTCGGCGCTTTCATTTTCCCACATCTTGAATCTCTTCAATCGATCCTTGCTTTCATATCATAGGACCGGAATTCTAGCCTGTGTGTCGGAAAGACGAAAGGACCGGATCGTCCGTGTAAACGCTGTGGAGCAGTGGCAAGTCAATTATTTAGTCGATCGGCCGCAAATAACTAGAAGGAAAGGGACGATGGGCAAGATAAATAGATAGCTCCACGACACTCCGTTCATGTAGCCGAACAGATAGAGATCCTATAACTGAAAAGGGATGCAGGTAGCAGGGAGCTTAGCTTATCTTTAGGCCTTGTGACAGTGGAAAGCATGACGACTAGTACCTGGTATGATCTACGCTTTAGTGGGAACAGATCATGGGGCCTCGGTGAAATATCACCGTAATATAATACATACATTACATCAGGAAGAACCTAGGTAAGATACCTTGGGTAATTTATACTTTGTATTGTATGTATGTATGTATATATGTACCGTACCGTATATACAAATTCCTACTTATCATACGGTAACTACTGGGTACGCCATGCTGTAAGCAGGCATCAAGGCATGCACAATCAGCCACTGAGGCTGACAACCCCGGGGCTCGTGCATTTGCGTCGCATCCATCCGCGGCGGGCTTCATTCATCATTATTGATTTCATTGTCCAACAAGGTTTCTTCTGACATCACAGACGCTCCTTATGAATGAGTCCTCCCTAATACTTTGCAGACAGGGAACTGACTTCCATTCATGTTTTGTTATACTGCAACAAACATATTAATATCATTCAAGCTCCCTCCGCCTTCGTTCTCTAGTAATCCCCTTCCATACCTCCGGGGATCTTGAAGGTGCAAAGCTCAGCCTCTATTGCATTTTCTAGGTTTGGAATCAAGACAAGGGAGAGAAGAAACCTGCTTCACCTTGCTTCGACTTTCAGCTCAGTTTCAAATCACTGCCACTGCTAATATTATTTCCACGAAGAGATTTCTTTTCGCCTTCCAATTCATTGTACTTCGTATCTGCGACAACACATCTACATACTTTTTCACGAGGACACAAGGCAGTCGGCATTGTACTACTTTCGAACGATACCTCAGACAAACCCCTCATCTCAACGGAGCCGATTGTTCGCGCCCACTGACAGACATATGGCACCACACTGAACCTCTTAGAGCCAAGCGTGTGCCATCGGCTGTCTTCCTTGCCCCAGCGCCGGATTCGGGGGATTTGATCTCAAAACCTGTGCAGGCTGTGAAAGAAGGAGGGAGGGCCATTGGATAGTTGCGAGCGCGAGCCTAGATATGCCGGGTGTCATCATGGACAATGCCAGAATCGTTGGATCTGAGCAGGGCACGGACGCTATGAATGGCATGTCCACCTCTCCTGGTGGCAGCAGTCAAGGCTTGGTGTCCGTTGGTACAAATAAGAGTCCTGTTTATACGAACGGAGTGTCTCAGAAAATAGACTATGGAAACCAGGAGCACAGGCCGACGTCAACCAAACTTGCTTTGAGGATGAATGACAGGGTCCCGGAGTTGCCACACATAACTCAAGGCTTTTTCCCATTCTCAACTTTGGTCAATAGATCTGTGCAGCAGTGCTGGAACGATCTATCTGATTTAATCACAGACTTGGCCGATATCCAGATTCCGCCTACCGATGTTTCGTTCCACCCCGCCAATGGAAAATCATCGGGCAACCAGTCTTCTGAAAACATACAGAAGAAACTCCGCGTTCTAAACTTTGCTCATGCGAAGCGAGCTGAATTCATTAAACTCCTCGTTCTCTCTCAATGGAGCCGACAAGCGGCCGATGTCAGTAAGCTAATCGACCTACAAAGTTTTATTCGCACTCGTCACCAATCCTACGTATCTGCTTTGCAATGGATCGGAGATCTGAAACGGAACCTCGTCCAAGCCCAAGTGGCAAATCCGGATTTGAAAACGGCGTTGGAAGTCTTGTCCAAGGCCAAAATCATGTCAATGCCAGATGTGCGTTTCATCCCCATCCCTAAGATTGAAAGTATATCCTAATTCGTGGTCATATAGTTTGGCTACAAACCCCCAAGGTCTTTGACGGCTAAGGGCACTCTTAAAAAATTAAGGAAGATCGACAGAATCCTTAGCGCGCGACTGGCATTACGTGAAACGATCCCCCGATCCTTTCAAACTTATCATGTTCATGATGGCCGTGTCACTTTCGTTGTACCCGGCGAGTTCGAGCTCGATCTTTCGATAGGGGAAGCAAACGAACTCTCTCAATTCTATTTTGTTGATATTCGCTTTCTTTTCCACCCGTCGGCTTCCGTTCCACAGGGCCGAATGTTCAACGACCTCGAGATTAAAATCAACGACACGCTTAAGCATGGTGGTTTGACTGGGTGCTTTGATCTGTTGCACAGTCTGGTCCTGACTAACAAGATCAACATTCTGTTCAAACAAGCTCTTGAATTAGCAAGAGGTCTCTGGTCAAATGTTTTACGCGTTGAATTGCTGCACAGAACGCTAGTTGTGCATTATTGGGCTCTCAAGCCTGGAACTAAGAGCTGGCTTGAACTGGGAGTTAAGAGTGGTCGTCTACGCGGTCTAGGCCATAGCCATGGTGTTCCATATTTGGGACTACGCTGGTTACGGGATGGACAGGAGGTTGATAGTACTGATGTTGGTTTCGACACCGTGAACCTCTCTCTGGAAAGTGTCCTCCGAAGCGTCATTGCCCTGCACACGTCCCATATCTTGTTTGCCGCGCATAACATTCTGAGCCAGAGTTTCTTGTTCGCAGCTGGGGTACTCAGTTTACAAACCCGGCTGACTGGAGTTGAGCCTGGGGAATGCCAACTCGATGTTCAGCTCACTCCCACAAGATATCTCCGAGTCTCGATCGAGCCTATGTCGGGGGCAACAATTTTATCGGCTCGCCCTAGTGCTCTTGAGCGGCCAGAAGGCGAAAGAGGCGTCGAAACATCTTCGGCAGATGACATCGTTTCCCGCGTGTCTCGACTACGTTGCATTGCAGCTATAGAAGAGACCGAAGCACATGTTAAAATGCTTGGTTTCGAGTCCGTCAACCCCAGGGGGCTTAAACTTGACGTGCGAAGGGTGTTCCCGGCCAACGTTATGCGGTTTTCGTTCTTTTCGCACCCATTCTGGGAGCGTAACTGGATTGTGGCGGTCACAAGTAGCATGGATGGCGATAACTGGTGGGTAATTCAACTTCCGCCACCGACGTTGGGAGACGAGCATCCATTACACCCCACTGGAACACTGGACCAGTCTATACCTCACACTGCCCAGATCATTGGCAGTGCACTTGTGCCCATGCAGGAGCGCATCAGCTATACAGCATTCGCAGACATAGGGCATTCTCTTTCTGGTATCCTGGCTATATATGCCAATGCGCGCTATATGACTGATTTGCAGTCTTCCCCTTTCTATCCACCTTTGCATAAATTGGTGTTAGGGCCAGATCTTCGAGTTCCAGACCTTTTCATTCGGTACAATTCCGCGACCCTCCCATTACCTTACCAACTAGCGTTACCTGGTGGATCAAAGACAAAGGGCCTGATTAAAGACACGATCCGCCTTGCTTTCCGTGGGGTCGAACCCCATAGCAAAGTTGCCATAATGGTGGCCTACGGCAATTTACTTATCCCTGCAAAGGCTTTCAGTTTATTGAGCGCGAAGTGGGATCGCTCGCTCGCCTTTTCGAGGCGAGACCGCGGCTTTGCTATTCGCCTTCTTGCTCCACCTGGCCGTCCTGTGATAAATAGCCTGATGGAAAATTTGCAGCGACTCGAATGTGTTCTATCAGTTTTTGAGACTCTTCAATGCAAGAAAATGGAACCACAATCCTTGTCATTGTCGCGAATTGCTTTCGCATATGGCCCAGAACGCAGTCTGTCTTCCCACATTGATATTGAAACTCTTCCTCGCAAGGGACTGGATTCATCTCAACCGCATCCCCTGTTTCATTTGCGCCTGAACATAACCTTTGCCTATTCGAATCCCCATCGCCGTATTCAAGGGTCTCTGACATCTATCTTGAATCATTCTTCTGCCGACACCAGCCTCGATACTCTCACCGAACTTCTCTCACTCACGCTTCCCGTGATGCAAGCATTCGACCGAATCATGCTCAATCAATCTTACAGAGAGCACCTAAAGATGCAGGTGATTGTCCGCAATGCGAAAACGTACATCATCCACTATCCGAACCAGAATCTCCGCTTCCAATTAAGAGCTGGCCAATACAAAGAACAAATGATCTGGATCCTTCAATGCACGAGCAGTCCGCAGGGCCTCTTGTCCAAAAAGTTACCTGACTCGGATTTCCAAAGTAGCCTCTTCAATTCCAAGGGAGACGGTTGGAGAGGGCTCGGTAGCGGAGTTGTTGCCGAGGTTGAAAAGGTCGGAAATCTAATATTGGAGCTTGACAAGTGTCTTACCGGCGGTCAAAACGATATGGCATCTAGTCTTGTTACTCATTCTGCTACGGGCGATTCGACACGTACCCAGGCGGATTCCCGTCTGACAGGAACCGGTCCAGCAATGAGGGATGTGCCCCCGGCCAGGATGAGCAACAAGAATGGATCACCAGATACCGACGCTGTCTCTGGGTCACATAATGAGGATGTGATCATGATTGATTAAGGCATGGCTCTTTTTGTCCCTGTCCCAAGCTGTTTTTTGTGTGCCCCAGGCACTCGTTGTCCTCCGGGAGGATGGGCACATGTAACTCTTAAGTGTTTGTCAAATAGTATCTCTTCTAATGTCACGCACATGGTGGGCTTGCTGCATGTTGCATGTTGCATGTTGCACCTTTTGGAGTTCCTCCCCATTCCACCTCAGCGATGCGTATCGTTGGATGTGTATAAATCAATATATATAATTCAAAAACAGGGTGGAAAGCCTTGTGAAGTCGATAAAAACTCAAGATTTTGTGATAACTAAATCAAGAACCCCAGGAATCGATCCGAGGATGTCCAATTTGACATGTCAAAGTTCGCCGGTGAACGCCAAGCTTGCTTCTCAAGATAACGATACATTCAGTCATTCATTAGATACGTAATCTGTGCTTTCACTAGTCTCGGGGGCAGATGGCCTAGTAACGTTCCTCTCTTACTCTCCCTCGATTCTTCAGAACATCGTACTCGATCCACTGCATGCATGGCATACTAATCTCAGGAATTAACCTCCCGGGATTCATCACATGGCACCCTTCATATGTCATACAAAACGGTGCTGCCTCCGCGTCTGCCAGGATGAGCCCGGTTGGTAGTGGATACAGCTGCAAAGACGATGCATAATCCCATAGTACGGGCCGCAGCGAGAGGGGGAAAGGCGACAGACTGCCTTGGTCTAGTATTGTCTTGACAAGCTTGCGGGCCATTCGAACCGCCGAAGCCGGATAAGACTTGACGTCTGTCGGTCTAATTTCCCCATGGCTTTCAGGCGCGGGGTGCAATCTGCCATCAGTCTCCAAGTCCCCGTCCATTGCTGTACCGGAAGGATCTAAATTTTGTGTCATGCTCAACGAGCAGCGTCTCAGCCTACCCGAAATGTCATCGCGGAATATAGCTAGTTCATGAACCGGCCCGAAAAGACTGAGGCGAGATGGGTTCGAGGTCCAAATAGCCTCGCCGGCAGGCTCGGCGCCCTGGGAATGATCCGACTCGGCATTGGCCATGGAAAATGCACGTTTTATCCTCGAGGTGAAAAGCTCAGGAATCGCTTGCCGAGGGATTGGAGAAGCAGCGCCAGCCGAGAAAGCGGACGACCAAGGGTCATTGTCGCCCGGTACAAAGACAAACGTGGAGCGCTGTAATAACGAAGGGAAATCAGACAGAATCCCCGCGAGTGAGTCAAAATACTCCTTGTATTCAATGCTCCCCGCCTGGCCGCCGCCGCTGACCGTGGCTTGCCGGACGAAGTTCCCGACGAGGACGAAAACCATCGGGCGCTCGCCGGGGGGAAGATCGTTGTAGATACCAAAAAGCCTCCGAAGCGCATCCGCAACCTTCATATTGTCCAGGTTCACCTCGGACATGACGGCTACCTTGAATCGATTCGGAGTTTCGGCGCCATCGCGCGCATGGTCGACACATCTAGCCTGGACCTGTCTCATGCGTGGACCTCGTGCACGCTCACTCCCAAGGCCTAGGAAGTCCACCCACCCAAGACCTCCACTGGAACTAACCTCTCCGCCACCTTCCCGAACACTGGTCCCAAAGGACGTATCTCGCCGCTCACAAGGCGGGCCGCAGATGGAGACACCAACGAATCTACCGCCAATAGTGCCTCCGATTCCGCTGTTGCCGCCGAGTGTTGACCCTTTGACGTTCTCTTCTTCTTCGTAGATCCCGTCTACGAGTACAATCATACCCGGAGTAAACCAAGCCCCATCCTGAGGTATTAGCTGTGCATGGCTCAACTCCACGGCAATGCTACCCGTGAGGTCGCTGAGGGTAAGTTCTCCTGTAGGCGACACGGAAAGCAACCCTAGCAGCAAATGCGAGGTGCCACTTCTGCCAAGCAAGTTCGCAATAGGTGTGAGCCTGTAGCCATGCTGGTGGTTAGATAACCCGCTCCCGGAGCGTGACAAGCCGAGAGGAGTCTGGAATGATTCATTCCGGAGCAAACGCTGGTATATGATGTTGTAACGATCCCGGAGCAAAGCAATATTCCTTGAAGGTGATGGGAAGAGGCTCGGCTCCGACTTAACAATTTCGAAATATCTTTTGTCGGCGTTGTAAGTCAGCCGTGGAATATCGAATGCATCAATGACCTTTGTCCAATGTCGAGGATGCAGCAATAGCTCCAAGTCTTCATCCTCTTTGTCGTCTTGCGGTGCCTTGCCCTCCGGCCTATTCTGACCCGCTATCCCCGTAAGGCCCTTGTCTGCGGTAGTGACCCTCCCCAAGACGACCCTGCCACCGCTCATGTTTCCCTCCATGGCCTGCAAGATAGCATTCAAAGACGCCCCTTTCCCTTCTTCAACTATGACCCCACCGCCGGCCTTTTTCCAGCTTTTTGCAACCTCATCGAGAACTCGCTCGGCGAGGCCCTCTTCGCGCCATCCCGCGCCACAGTTTTTTCCCACAAAATTGGCTAGGGTTTGGAGTGCAGTGGATGATATTGTCAGATTATGCTTCCGGGTGAATGTACGGAAAGCGACAGGTCGAAGCGTCGAGGGCGGGAGTTGAAGTGGAAGGATAGAAGTCCTAGTAGATAGCGGATTGGGTTTGTTCTTTCGAAAAGGATGCACTGGCGTTCCAAACGCCGGTGACGACGAAGGTATTGGATCCGAATCCATCGTCACGGCATCAAACCATAGTCTGGTCTCCGGGGGTAGGTAATCGATGTTTTCCAGTGCCGGGTCTCTGGAAACCGCACGGAATAAAGAAACGCGCGGAGCCACGCGACGCGACCCGCGATGGTTCCAGACTTCCTCAATCAGCCACTAATTTCATCTCCGCCATCCTTCCACCTTCCACCACCACCCACGCTCTTTATCTTGCTCGCCACGCTACATCCTCTTCTCTAGGTTCTTTCGGACAAGTTCTTCCCCATATCATTTCGTGTCACTTGGCCATGGCCGACGACGTCCAGAATAAGACCAGCCCGAGTCCCGCCGGAGCTACGGCCGATGTTAGCCTTCGGGCACAACTAGAGAGCCTCATTGAGCGAGCTGCCGCCAAAGATGCTCTTAAGGATTTCGATTCGGCCGCCGAAATTTACTCCGAGGCCACAGAACTTCAAGCGAAGTTGAACGGGGAACTATCGCTTGACAACGCCGATCTACTATTCGCCTACGGGAAAGCTCTATACAATGTGGCCGTGAGCAAAAGCGACGTCCTCGGCTCAAAGGTGGCAGGCGACGCGCAGCCCCAGCCAAGCAACACACCGGCTCAAAGTACCTTGCCATCGAAGTCGGCAACTGGTGGTGACAATCCCATCCAAAAAGCAATTGCTAGTGGGTTGACTCCGACGGGAGCGGTCGGAGAAAATGCGCAATCTGGGTCAGCTGGGAACAAGCCGCTTTTCCAGTTCACCGGCGACGAAAACTTCGACGATTCGGATTCCGAGGAGGAGGATAACAAGGAAGAAGAGGGTGCCGATGATGAAGATGATGACTTTGCCAATGCCTTCGAAGTTCTTGATCTGGCCCGCATACTTTACCATAAGAAACTAACGATTGACGACGAAAGCGGGAAGGGAAAGTCGGCCGATCTATCGCCCAGCATGCGACACCTCAAGGAGAGGCTTGCGGATACGTATGATTTACAGGCAGAAATTTCCTTGGAGGCTGAACGCTTTACGGATGCAGTTGCCGACTTAAGAACCGCGCTTGATTTGCGAAAAGCGTTGTTTGCGATGGAAGATCCATCTATTGCTGAATGCCATTACAAACTTTCACTTGCCTTGGAGTTCGGGTCAGTTCAGAAGGCAAACATTGACCGCGAAGGCGATAATAATGATCAGCGGGGCAAAGTCGACGAGGAAATGAGGAAGGATGCAGTATTCCACATGGAAAAGGCCATTGAAAGCTGTCGGGTTAGAATGACTCTAGAGCAAACCAAACTGGACCGCGAAAGTTCCGGAGACGAGGATAAAACAACGGCTATGAAAAGGAAAATAGCCAACGTGAAAGATATCATCGGCGACATGGAGCAAAGAGTAAGTCAAGCCCCCTCCTTATCGTGGGTAAAAATCTCACTGGCTTGTAGCTTGTCGATCTTCGTCGCGGACCGATCTCATTAGAAGACGACAAGCAAGGTGAAGCGGTCCTCCAGGGTCTTCTAGGTCAAATTATGGGACAATCTGCTTCCGAGCAAAAGGCAAAACTCGACGCAGTTACGAAAAATGCCAACGACCTCTCTTCACTTGTCAAGCGGAAGCCAACCGATGGCCAGGCATCTCGCAAACATGACTTGGCACATAAGCGCTCATCTTCTGAAGACACCCCCGAAAGCAATGCGAAAAGAGCGAGAAAAGACAACAACACGTCTGATTGATTCGGCCTGTGGTCATGTCCTGTTTTTCAATCATTCATACTTCGTGGGTCTACAAAAATGATCCTCTTGATCCTCTACCTTCGGTTCACCTGCAAAAATCGCTGGGCACGCGCAAAATAGATGGTTTTAGTTTACATTGTCATGGCAGGATGGATGAGACCCATAACGATACCCCATTCTTGTACGCTTAAACAAAGACTTAATTCCTCGGTATTCATCCGAATCATTAACACTATTACGATTAATTAAGGCCCCTGGAGTTGGGTCAATTAGCAAATTAGTACAGGGAACGCGGAACAAGAAAGATTCCTTGGCGTGGACAGGTAGATCATGACGAGGTGTAGTGGCCATAGAGGGTCCTATGTAAGACCAAAAACTGACGGACGATCAAGTTTGCGGCTTCTCCGACATGCTGCCAAACCGGGGCTCCAGATCCCCGCAAACAAATCCTCGCATTCGTCTTCGTCTTGGCTGTCGAATTCCACCGGAATTCCCGAAGCTTCTGGTTGTATATCCGCGGCTTCCAGTGACTCGGGTTGTGCAGGCGAGCCAACATAAGTAGCAGACTCCCAAGACGAAGCGGTCATGGTTCTCCTGGTTTCCAGAATGAACTTGCCGACCTTATAACGTTGCGACTCCTCCTCTGCCGCAACATATTTCCAGCCAAGTACGCTTCCGCAGAAGGCACAACTGATATCGCTAACTGTGTGGGATCCGGTGACTAGCTGGCGCGGAACGGGTTTTTGAATGATGGTATTCGGAAGCGAGACTGTCGGTGATGACGTTGCGTTCACCGAAACGGCGCAGGCCTCTGGCTCGGCAGACACAAGATATGCGCGCCCATGACGGCCAGTGAAACCCTTACTGATGATCTGGGAGGTCAAGCAGAGGTCTGTTGCACAGCGAGAGCAGCGGATATAAGAAACATGGCCTTTCAAATACTTGGCCTCGTCTCCGCTATTATCCTTCGAGGATCTGGGTTCGATCGTCACGGTCGACCTGCCCACGCCATGCTCCCTGCGGCGGAAAGGTGGGAGCAGAAACTTGGGGAACATATGAACAGGCTAATATTGAAGATGTGTACTGGGGCCGCCGGTATTACACAAGGCATTGAGGAGAACTTCGTTGTGTTCAAACAGATAGTGCCTGCAGTGCAGTTCATGAAGAAGTGTGTTGTCACGCTGAGGTCATGCGCGCCTTGGGTCTTGGCACCGGAACTACTTGATTGAATCGAACTTGTTATTACTACCGAACGTGCTCCATGCGCCTAAACTCATCAGAATCAACGATACTCCTACTGAGTAACGTAATAAACCCCGGAATTGTCAACGGGATAAAAAGATTTTGATATTATCAAACTTCAGCGCTCATAAACAGCCATCTGGTACTCAGCGAAGGCTCGGGTGTATGTTCCAGACTCCAGGGTTGCAATGTCGACAAGGCAAACCCACACCATCCTAGATTCCTAATTACTGCGAGCTCGGTTGCATCTTGGGAGCGGGGGACGCATGCCACAATTTGTGAGCACGCGAAGCTAGGAGTGCTGGCCAGCTCGAAAAGAGCGATGAGACTGTTGGCTGTGAGCATCTTGGTCGACTACATAGGCTGTCAGGAGCGCAAGACAGTCCGTTCATCCACGTACCCCGTTTTGAGACCTTGTCCTAGTTCATTGTGTCCGAAGAATACGAAGAGCGTTCTATCGTCATTCATGCCGGTGACGAAGCCCCTGTATACACAATCACTTGCGTAATCCAGGACTTCAAACCACCTTTGAATCTGTCTGCACCCTGATCGGTTGGGTACGGTTGGGTACGCACCCACCCCTAGCGACTCCTGCCTCGAAATTCTCCCCTCACCAAGGAAAATAGCAGATAGTTTGTCGCAGAAGAGCCTCTCACACTCTTCCGGGATGGTTTGCGCAGCCTCCCCCCTTTGCTCCAGTGAATTGTTAACCGGAGAGCCATGCTCGGTCTCGGGACTGACACAGAGCTCTAGGGGAGGTCTTTGGGAAGGAGTTTTCGACCCTGAGGGAACCTCAGGGATACCACTGGGCCCCTGGTTAATAGGGAGAGATGCCAAATCAGTATACTGCTTTGGAGGTGAAGAGAAGTGCTATGTACTTACCGGCCCCCAACGTAGTGCAGTAGTGAAATCCATCAACGGCCGGAGTCGACGCGTTGACACTGTAGCAGCTTGCGAGTATAGTGGATTGAGCATTCCTATCAGCATGTCTTTGTAACTGATTGGAAATACTACTGTTGTTATTCAAAAGCTTAGCCATGATGAGAGCTGCCTTGGGCTGATGATTGATGTGGGATAAGTTTGGCGTTCGAACAAGAGTTAGAAGAATCGGTCAGCAGATACTCCAACCGGTCAAGATGGGGTAAAATCAGATGTTTTGCCAAGTTCGATGGAAAGGCGAGCGGTTACTGTTCCAGCGTTATGATAAATCTAGTAGGAGGTAGTAGTTATCAAATAGTGATTGTAGGATAGGGGTCAAAGCCTCTCCGTCACCCGTTCGTCACTACATGACCTATCACATGACTTGACTTGGTGCCTCAGGCACAATACCTACATACGACTATGATTTGTGAGGACGATCATGAATAACGAGATAGTCATCTCTTCATTTCCTTCTTAGTTTTCTCAATTAACTACAGAAAAAAGCAGCAGCAACCGTAATAGTCAAATTAAGTCCAAATGCGAATGCTTTCCTATCGTGTTGTGACTAGGCCGATTAAGTATTCCTGCTAGGACATGCGTGCAAAGAGTCGAAATGTTACAGGAATATAAGTTGTACAGGAAATAAGAAATACGCCGCCACCCGCACGGCACAGCCGTTTGTGAAGACCGCCACATGATTCTGTCAGACTTACAGCTCTCGGTAATCACTAGGTCTTATCCTCCGATGTCTTGCCTGGTGTCTTTGCGGATTGACAGGTTGGCGGAAATAAGCCGTATCTTCTTCTCTCGCATACGGGGTGCTGAACGTGGTTCGTTGCTGGTTCGAGAAATGACCCATTCCCGGTCCCTGCGGGAATCCTGGATTATGTCCCACCATTGTAGACACGGGAAATATGTTGTTCGGCGTATCCCCAACGCCATTGTACATACCAGTTGTGCCATATCCGCCGTGCATTGCACCGCTGACATGGTCATTGTAAGGCCCCGCTGAAAGTGTGTTGAAGCCTAGAGTATTCATAGGGTTCCATGCTTGATCCATAGGGGCCGGAAAATTGCTGGTCGGATTCAAACCCATTGCGCTGTTCATAAACCCAATGGGCTCAAATCCAGGGTCAGGAAACGGCATTGCAGGAATACCGGAAGCCTGCATGAAACCGAGGCCGGGAAAAGACATCTGCTGGCTGAAGGAAGGATTCGTAGTAGATCCAGCAGGATTTTGAGTTTGTGAAGTGGACTTCTCGCTTGTCGTTTGAATGCTGTCGGTCTTGTGTTTCTTTGAAGTGTTGGCAATGGACTCTCCGGTAGACGTGCTGGGATGCTCATCCTCGGCTGGTCTTTTTTTCGATTCTGCATTTACTCCTTGGCTGGGTAAAGTCGATTCAGGTATCGTAACCGCGGGGTCATCTGCAGCAACTGACTGCTCTTCGTGAGAAGTCTGTTGTTTTTCCTTTTCCTTTTTGGACTCTGCCTTTTCGGTCTCATACGCCTTTATCTTGGCGACGGCCTCGTCGTCCACGAAAAGATTATCAAGTAAGACTCCCTCAGTCGCACACCCAGGACAGACGAAATCGCTCTCTATTAAAGCATTCGTAATGCAATCGTTGCAGTAAGTTCTTTGGCAGCACGGCGTTTTTGTGGGCTCTAGGAGCATGCGTTTGTCAATCGGGCATTCCAACCCTCGAGCTTGCAGCTCTTTGCTGTATTCTGCGGCTGCTGCTTCGGCGGCGGCGGCGGCGGACGCTTTGGCCTTCTCTTGGTATAGTTCCCACGCTGCCTTGTCCGGCTTTGCAATAACGAAATCTCCATCAGCATTGACCATCACGCCAGTATTTCTCATGTCTTCACTAGACCCATCCAGGGTGATTGACTCTGGCTTCTCGACCTTGGTTTGAAGGGAGCGAGGGATACCAGTTGATCTCTTGACCCTGTACTTCCCATCAAACTTAGGGTCATTGTTTGTTGGACACGCTTGGATCCAATGTCCTGGGGAATGAGTTAGCCTACGGCACAGGGGCAAAAATTATTTAAAGCAACCGCACCTTTTTCACGACATCGATAACAAAGATAACCGGGTGGCGGTGGATGATCGGGAACATTGACTGGTTTACCTCGGCCTCGACCGAAGGGGACAGGCGTGACACTAAATATCAGTGTTAGCTTCCTATGCATTGGCGCCAACAGAGCACACTTACTTCGCCATCTCTTGTTGTTGTTCCCTCCATTGATTGGCTTGCAGATTGAATAGCGCATTGATTTTCTCCTCTTCGGTCTGAGCGTTATTAAGTTCCTGAACACCATTGCTGACTGTGTTACTAGAACCTAAAGCTGTCCGGGTCGACGAAGTCTGATCATGACGAGGAGCGTTGCGCGCATTGACGGGCATTTTCCCGGATACATAACGGGCAGCACCACCTTTCCCAGGCCGCGAGGCAGGTAGTCTCCGGGCGATGACGGAAGTGGAACGGGGTATGATGGTAGTATCATCATCGTACTCTAAGGCCGTGAGGATGGGTCAGCTTTGCATGTTTCATTCAGTTTGTTCCCTTCCCCTACTCTCCGTGATGGGCTCTAGTTTACTAGTCCACCCATAACCAAAATCTTTTGTAAGGAGCAGGCAGGGCGAAACAAAGGCTGGATAATTGCTCAATTCACAGGACTCACCTTCCCCAGTATCCTCGTTATAGATAGATAACTCGAAATCGGTCCCATCACCGAGCCTACTCTGATTGATGATTTCGCGTTTCAATTCAAAGACAGAGATACCGGTGCCATCAAAGGTTACCCTGGAGGGTTCTTTCTGAGACTTGAACTTGAAGTGAACAGAGGATGACATTGTATTCAATTGCACGGCCAACGAAAATGTTTGTGGACGTAATTAGATCAAGAATTCTTTAAGGGGCACCGCTTTGACAATGGAGAAGGATACAGGCGACAATATAGGAAATGGAAATAATGATTGATACTTAAGAAGCTGGCAAAGCGCCGGTGACAAGTTTAACGACTCGAAAACCTTCCTTTATAGATTCTTGGAGATCGACAGCCCAATGTCTATTGGCGATATTGCTCGAACTCATGAACTCAAAAGACTCTTCTTGATGATTGCTGGATGGCAGGTGTACCATTCACTGCATACGAACAAGGTCAAGTCTGATGATTACAGAAAAAAGGAAAAAAGGGGAAACTTGTGGCTTCGCAGTAGATAAGTCAAAGGGAAGTCTCAAAGGTCTTGCCAGTCCACCAAGTAGAATCAAGGTCCTGATCCTTGCGTTGATAATATATGCTGACAAGAACCGGTTCTCTGTGCGCTCTGACGGAAGAAACCCATACGCGACAACGATCGGGATAGTGTGATCCAGGGAAGGCTAGGAGAAAATGACCGAAAGCTGATCAGCTGTGGATGTTATCCTGAATGGAAGTTTGAAACTCGAGGAAGTGTCGCAAACTATAAGCAAGATCGAGAATATGCGGATTGTGAGTAGAGACTCCCTATATTGATTGGCGGTGTCAGGGATGTAGATGATGTGGGTTGTGGGTGAACGGCGTTGGTGATGGGTCAGGATGCTGGGATGAATTCGCAAAGTTGTGGATGGTGGCGACTGGGGGAGTCACGTGGGCCCAGCCAGCGGCTCCTGGCCCATGCATGCTAGAGATCCATTATTGTTGATAGTATGAAAGAGAAGCAATCTGCCGCCCCCAACACTTGCCATTCTTTCTTCTCATTAAAAATGGGTACTCAATTGACGAAACAATTATTCTTTATGTTTCAAAAATAAATCTAATGATGAAATTCGCTCTATTTTTAACTCACTTCCCCCACTCTATTCCCATTCAGTGCCTCCTCACCTCTTTGGAGCCAAGATAGCATTCTATATCTCAGTTTCGAAAGAACGAACTAAGAAGCCTCTGCTACTCAGATATCCCTTCACTTCGTCAACCGTAAACTCGCCACGGTGAAACTTGAACTTTGTTAGCACAAAGAAAACCATAACAAGGGGAGAATTCCTACCATGCCAGCACCCAGAGCTGCATCAGTAGCTGTGTGTTCAAAGACTTGAGCAAAATGTTCAGGAACACCAGCCCCACTTGAAGCAATAACTGGTATTTTAACAGCAGCTTTGACGTCATTAATGAGTTCTAGATCAAATCCGCTGTTGCTTCCGTCCTTATCAATGCAATTCAGGAGGATTTCACCAGCTCCCATTGCCTCAACGGCTATTGCCAACTGTCGAACATCGACATCTCGAGCTTCCCTCCCCCCCTTGATGGTACACTGGTACCAGCAAAAGCTTTGTCCTGCTGCATTTGTGTGCGCCGTCTTGATGGTATGGTGGTCGGTGTCTTCAGGTCGATCAACATAAACACGTTTAGGATCGACGCTCACAACCACGGCTTGATTTCCATAAGCCTGTGATATGGTCTCTATGGCAGTTTGCCCACTCAGTTTTTCACCTGCCTTATAGAACTGTTCTGCTGCAATGACAGCATCCGACCCAATGCTAACTTTGTCAGCTCCGGATTTGAAATACATGGTTGCCACATCAAGCGCTGAAACATGAGTGCCATCAGTATCCACAGTTTCCTTGATTCCGCCCCCTATTGTAAGAGGAACGAAAACCGTTTCCGATGTTCTTCTCAAGATTTCCAGCATAGGCGTATCTGCCAAAGGGCAATTTCTGAAAGACGTTATGTTGAGGAAAGTCACCTCATCCGCCCCCTGTTCGTAATACTTTTTGGCCATATCAACTGGCTTTCCCAGGTTCCTAACTTGCCCCCCGGCGTCTACACCAGTCTTCTCGCGGACATCATATTGGTCACCTTTCGTGACTACTAGATCACCAGCATCATTTGTACGGACATCTAGACAGGCAATAATTCTGCGAGTCAGTCCGTTATTGTGCCGTTGCAAGCTCGGGAGGTCTTTTGCGAGTGACTGAAACTGATCACCGTTTAGAAAGGCGCGAAGGGTCCGGAGACCAGCATGGCCACTTTTCTCGGGGTGAAATTGCGTCGCGAAAATGTTGTCTCGGGCTATGGCACCGATAAATTCTTGCTCGCCGTATGTTGCGGTAGCAACTGACCAACCACGTTCCTCCAGCACACTGGGTGTATAAAGTGCTGCGTATGAATGGACATAATAATACTTGCTGCTTGGGTTTAACCCGTAGAACGTTTGATCGCTTGAGGAATGACACTTGGTCTGCATGGCAGAGTTCCAACCTATGTGCGGCACGCTTTTGGTATCGGCATTGAACTTTTGCATGCGCATTGGGACCACCCCCAGTCCAGGGACATGGGGGTCCTCCTCCGAGCCCTCGAACAGGGCCTGTAGGCCGACACAGACTCCCATGAAAGGTTTGCCAGCTTCTATATGCTGTTTGACGGGTTCCAGGTATCCCCCTTCTGAGAGTTGAGAAAGACAATGGCCGAAGTGGCCGACGCCCGGCAGGATAAGTTTCTGCGATTGCACATAGATTAGTCAATGAGGATCAAGTCAACGTCAAGACATTCAAGCCAGGTATGCACTCTCACATCCGCATTCTTCAAATCATCAGGAGATCTAATCCATTCCACATCATACCCAACTTTATTGATCGCATTCACCAAGGAGCGAACATTCCCGGCAACATAATCAAGCAGGTGCACGGTTGGCATTGCGGCAATTGCAGTGCCCTGCTTGGAATTAAAAGGAAACAAAGAAAAAATAAAAAGTGGTTTCAAGGAGTATGATTTCTTCAGGTGTTGAGCACGTCAGTAGATTATTGAAGGTTGCAGTAGCCCTCAATTCACCGGCTGCCGTGATGATTTTAATTCCTCTTGATTTTGAAGAATACCTCTGGAAGCCCACCATCCCGCGGATGAGTCATGTAGGTGGCGGGGCAATTTTTGTTCCCCTCACCTAAGGTACCTTAGTTACTATGTACATACAGTAAGTACAGTACATTGCAAGTGCCTGGTATGACGATACTTACAGCCATACCTTAGTTACGTGTATTAAGTACATACATACATACGTACAGTGGACAAACACCACTCTTTTGATCAGAATATGCAAAGATTCTACGTATCCTAAAGTACTCAATCGGCGGCAAGCGTTTTTGATCTAGATACCTTTAGAGCACGTATGGAAGAGATATGCTGCACTTCATTTCTCTTATAAGCCCACGCCTTGTGAACTAACCCAAATAAATGAGCCCATTTTGAGGCTAAGGCGGTTTTAGCGGTGTTGCGTGGAGGCATTAGGGATTGCTTGCTTACAGGAGAAAATTGCCGAAGCCGAATGCCGGCGGTCCTGAGAATTGTGGCACTCTAGGGATTGGGTAAGTAGGAACCACGAAAGCGGAAACGGCAGCTGGAGCATACATCTTGATCCATGTTGTAGCCTTTTGAGTAGACAACCTCAGAGATTCCAACCTGGGTGATCTTGACTGTGCACGTCAAGCAGGGACAACTGTGATCTCATGATCCTTGTTTCAGCAAACTGCCGGTGTTTTCATATAACCGCCCTTAAAACTTACGTATCGCAATAGAGCACCGCGCCTTCACGTATGCGCTCTCGCCCAGCCTCTAAAAGGGCATTTTCCTCTGCGTGGAGACATAGGCAGGTCGATAGACCAAGACCCCCGCCCTCGCCACGGTTACATCTGGGACCTAGATAGTCAAGTGGTAAGTCTTGACTCGACCAAACGAATAAGCATGGTGAACATGGGAGCTTCATACATCCTCCTTCATTGCAGTTTCTGATATGCCGGGGAGTTCCATTGTACCCTGTGCTTATGACGCGGTGGTCACGAACAAGAACACAGCCTACTCTTCTCTTCATACAATTACTCCGCTGCGCAGCAAGAGATGCTAGTTGCATGAAATATTGGTCCCAGCTCGGTCGTAATCTCTGATCATCGGCTAGGTTCAGAGCTTTTAGGGCAGCATGGAGTTCCTCGAGCGAAGAAGAGGAGTTGAACAATCGAACCTGGGCTCGATCTGTCAAATAAGCACGCCCAACATTCTTCTCGTACAGATGTTGGTCGTTCCAAAATATAAACTTCTCAAGTGAAGGAGGCTCAGTTTGTCTCCTTCGGCATCTAGAGAAGCAAACCGAGTCAGCCATGGTGGAACGTTATGGTGTGGATAACAGGGGATTCATGGTAACTCGGGGGATTGCTGACCTATCCACCAATCGTTTCCATCGAAGACTGACCGGTGCATCCACGCTCACCAGAAGGAAAAATGGGCGCTGGAGAAAGCGGTCTAGAGTGGTGCCCTCCCAAATGTCTGCTGTAACCCATAACCCTTGCCAGTTCTTGGTTGCAAATTCGAGGAGCGAGTCTACACATTCAAAGACTGTTGAAGGTGGACTTTTTATCCCCCCATTTGTATCGGGGACTTGCAGCTGAAGATCAACCTCATCCTCATCAGCTGCTTGAGAGATGGTATTACTTTTCAACTCAAGTAGCCGGAAACCTTGATTCTGGATGAGATATTCCGCGATGGCATGTTTGCCAGAGCAGATGCCTTTGAATAAACAAATTAGTCTGTGCCCAGCAGTGAGGTAATCCGGTAGTAAAAACAGTTCAACAAGCTGCTAACCTCCACACAAGCCAATCAACATTGATGTTGGAATTTAACCATATACGCAAGTCAATGTACGAGGTCTCGTCAGCAAGGTAATGGGTAAACTGATAGGACAGTGGCAGCTTACAGATGTTCAAGCTAGCGATTGCTGCTCTTCCCCAATATACACAAACTAGCAATTCCAATGCCCTCCCAGCTGAAACTTGTCTGCACGTTACGCAATAATGAAAGTAGATACCTAGGTAGCTATAATATTTCTTCTTCCCTCAACAGCCTGTCTAGCCATATTTGGAAAGCGGTTAAGAGGGCCCGGTATTATACTACCGAACGGTACCTATCAGGTACCTCTGTTGTCTTGTCATAGGTACAGTAAATACGGGCAACCTACCTAGGTAGTAGGGTACCTAGGTAGCCCCTCGGAATTACGGTAGACGTCGGTGTGAAACGGCGCTTAGTCCGGTCCCTCAGGGCGGGTTCCCCGCGCGCTTTATCATCCTTATCTTCTCGCCCCTCGTGGATGTGCTCATATGACAAGGTCATTCATTTGTTTACACCCTTAAAGGTCTTGGGATGAAAGATGTCGAGTTGCCAGCTCCCCGAAAACTGTACTTAGCATAATATCTCCAAACTTTTATCCAAACAGAACTTCAGAAGGATCATTCGTCGAGTGTTCCAGAAAGCAACATGCAGTATACGCCATTCGCGTCGGACATAGAACTGCCGTTCTATACTGCTTTGGCATCCTTGAAAATCGACCATGACAAACTTGATGATTCTACCAGAAAGCTACTGGGTCTCTATGAGATCCGCTCCACGGATTCTCCCAACACCTCGTGTCGGATGCAAGTACACGGAAATGCTCTCACCAGCGACGAGTGAGTGCTTGGAACTAATCTTCATACTCTTATGCCCCGGTTGAAAATGTTGGTCTTGCTCACCGAACACTTGCACGTAATAGGGTACCAACCGGTTACTATCGAGCCGAAGGCACGATGAAGAATGTAAACACCATCGAAGAATACCGAAATGCGGACAAAGCCTTTCTTCTCCAGGAATCTGGCAGGACGGTGAGTTCAGCCGCCTCCCCCCGGCTTTCTCTCGAACCATGATAACACTTCTCTACAATCTCAGATATGGGAGGCTATAGTTGACGGTTCTATCTACTCGTTCCCGTCTTTACTCTCATCCTTCCTCGTCCTCTCGTATGCAGACCTCAAAAAATATAAGTTTCACTATTGGTTTGCCTTTCCTGCACTCCATTCAGACCCATCGTGGACCGCATCGCGTCCGTCAACACAAATCACCAGCCGCGACCAGGTCGGGGACAGTACTAAACATGCCAAAGCCTTGTCAGTCTTCGAAAATTCGGCTCTGATAGAAGCAGTGCAGGCTTGGAGTTCTGGGGTAGATGCTCGTCAGCGCGGGTTTTTCTTGGCTCGCAGAGTGCGAGGCAGCGACGGCAAGGCAAATACTGACAACGAAGCGCAGTCTGCGGCAGTTAATATGACGTGCTGCTGGCAAGTTGATGCTCTTGCGACCTATGAAACCGGCTTCTTCGAGGGTGCGCGCTTTGAGGATTGTTTTGTTTGTTTCGTGGATCCTTCGAATTACGAAAATGCCCCTGGATGGATGCTCAGAAACCTACTAGTGCTTGCGAAACGACGCTGGAGACTTGACAAAATCCAAATCCTGAGATATCGTGAACCGTTTTCGAAGCATGACCAGGGTCGCAGTATACTAATGACGTTGGAGTCACAGAGTGCTCAGACCACTGGTACTGCAGAGTTGCAGGACACAGATGCCAACGCTATGCCGAAAGTAACTGGATGGGAACGCAACGCAACAGGAAAGTTAACAGGAAGACTGGTTGATCTTACCGAGTACTTGGATCCTAGAAGGTACGGGCAACTGCCTCCCAGTTCTTGAGGAAGGAAAACAAAATACGCAGCCAACTAACGACGCGTGACTTTTCTTGTCTTCTGCGTTGGATGGCAGATTAGCGGATCAGTCTGTTGATCTCAACCTCAAGCTTATGAAGTGGAGAATAAGCCCCAGGCTCAACCTAGATACGATCAAACACACTAGGTGTCTTCTACTTGGAGCCGGTACCCTCGGAAGCTATGTGGCCCGAAATTTAATGGTACGTTTGCCAAACTTCTTACACCCGAGGGACAAACAAGTAACATAGGGATATCCAGGGTTGGGGTGTTACTAATATTACATTCGTGGACAATGGGTCTGTGTCATTTTCGAATCCTGTGAGGCAGCCATTGTTTAATTTTACAGACTGCTTGGGAGGGGGCGCAAAAAAGGCACATCGAGCATCCCAGGCCGTGAAAGAGATATACCCCGGCGTTGAATCTACCGGATATGCTTTTTCGGTCCCAATGGCTGGCCACCCTGTGTTGGATGCCCAGAAAACCCGGGCAGATTTTGAAACTCTTCAGAAGCTTATAGATGACCACGACGTAGTGTTTCTCCTTATGGACACAAGAGAGTCACGCTGGCTACCAACCGTCATGGGGAAAGCAGCTGGGAAAATCGTTATGAATGCAGCGCTAGGCTTTGACTCTTTCGTGGTAATGCGCCACGGTGTGAAAAATGAGGAGCATCAAGAAGCAGAACTTGGGTGCTACTTTTGCAACGATGTTGTTGCGCCGATGAATGTGAGTGTCAAAGATACAAAATTGCCTGCCGGTGTGGCTAATTTTTGGACAGTCGGTCAAGGACCAGACACTTGATCAGCAATGCACTGTGACTAGGCCTGGTGTAGCTGCCATTGCCTCGGCCCTCTTAGTTGAGCTGCTTGTTTCGCTTCTCCAGCACCCTGACGGAGTTGCAGCCCCAGCCCCGGTATCCCAAAGCGATGATCAAAACGATCACCCCTTGGGACTAGTGCCACATCAAATTCGAGGATTTCTCTCGACTTTTGAGAACATTACTATCCACGGGAGGAGCTACCCTTCCTGTAGTGCCTGTTCGGACAACATCGTTGGCGCCTTCAAGAGTCAAGGTTGGGAGTTTGTGCAGAAGGCATTGAATGAACCTGGGTATGTCGAGGAATTAAGCGGGCTGAAGGAGGTGAGTCACTCTCATTAGTCCCCCCCACAAGCGCAATCACTAAAAAGCTGCAAGGTTCAATCAAAAGCCGAGGAAACGATTGCCGACATAGAATGGGATGAATTGTCTGATGAGGAAGAATTGGCCGTGTAAGGCCAACACATCTAGCTGTTGAGTGTCGCATGGGCGTCCGCTATTTTGCATCTTTGTCATGTGTCCCCGTGAATGGTTCATCTTTGGTCGTTTGTTTGCGACGGAGGCCAATGAAAAATGCCTCTTTGGATTCCTGATCATTAAATTAGTGAGGTTATTTTGAGAAAACTCTCATGTTAACTACATACGTTGCGCGACGATTGTGGCTTGACCCTGTGTACTTTTTCGAAGAGCGCTTTAAGTTGATATTCCAGGTCACGATCCTCAGCACCTTGATAAAATTTACAGATGAAGTGGCCACCGATTTTCAAAGCCTTGTAACTGAAGAGCAACGCAGCGTGGCAGAGGTCCTTGGTTCCGATTGAGTCAGAGACCAAATATGTGGAGGGTACACACAACACTCACCATACTTCCGGCATGATCTTTTGAGCTTATGCCACTTGTATTCATCATCCTATTGCGCGGATATCAGTGCGCCTCACTCTCATAACATAAAAAGAAAAGCAGGGGGGCAGACATATCGCTTAGAACAACATCCACTGTCCTTTCGCTACGATCTTGGGATGTGCTATTCAAGTTCTCCTTTGATTTTACGCCGCGTGTATCCGAGATTTCAGAAGACTTGTCTCCTTCCGGGCCCCGAAGAAGCATTTGAAGGTGAGCTTGAACTTTGGGGTCTAAGAAGTTCCCTTGTATCGCGGACACACCCTTCAAAGGCTGGGCTGGATTAATATCAACGCCCAGCACGCGACCGTTCGGTTTCGTACGAATGACGGCCATCTTACAGAACATTAGCTGAGAGGTCCATTCTGATGATAGACAACAAACCATACCTGAGACCAGGAGCCCGGAGCGTACCCCTATGTTTCATTCATCACATAAGCCAGGATCGACCTATAAATTAATTTCTCGCCTTACCAAGTCGACAACAGTTTGGCCGCTTTTGAAGACGCGGTACTTTTCATCAATCTGCCCGAGTGGAGGTTAGAGTTGATTGATACACCAAAGGATTTCGGGTCCTGGGCTCATGAAACCTGTAAGAGCTTGAAAGCCGCTCGACTTTTCAACCCCTGAGCTGCTGCTTCCTTCGTAAAATGGTCCTTTGTTTGACGAGCTTGCCATCTTTTCGACGAAGATTGTCTTCTGAAAAAGAGAGGAAGATGTGTACATAGCAACCGCGGTTGTCGGGGAAAGCGTAAGGACGAAGACATGGCAAGCCGAAGCTGCGACAGTGTTAGATTTTTCTGAAGAAAGATTAAACAACCGGGACTATCACAGTAGAGGATGCTGTTTTATGGGGGAGGAAAAGTGATAATAGTTAAGGTAGTTGTTTCTCTTCTTCCGCCTCGAAAGACCGATGGGGTTTGTCCCGACAGTCTAGAGCGCACTACTGTGTGGAGTACGGAATGTGGAGGATGCCAATCGTGGTCGGAAATTGATTGCCATAACTACAGAGTACAACGTAACCACATATGAAGAGAACTAAGCATCGGTGTCACTTAATCTTTGTGCAGAGCTGTCTGCATGGCTATGCACCATGGGCATACCGTTCTAATGCCCATGGATTGAAAACAGGAAGTGGCTCGTTGACTAAATAGTAAGTCGCCTTCAGCTTCCCTAGAGCTCATACAAGAAGACATTATACTGTGCTAGAAACCTGTGGCAGGAATGCGACATACAAGGACATACATCTCTAGGTAAATTGTCGCAATATGCAAGTAAATTATACCGCCCACTGTATGAATGCAATGGGCATGAGCATGCTTCGTCTTGACAGACAGAAACTTCTAGCCTGTTCTTGAGTCGTCCAGTTTTTGCTGGTAGAGACTGCCTATATCCACTTATCTTTCATGGCGAATTATAGGTGTTACTGCCGTCTTTTATCTCGTTTCAGGGGTGAGAAGTCTGACAATCCACCAAAGCCTCGGTTCCTCGACAGGTGGCTGCCAGTTGAAACAGACAATGGCCCAAGATCAAGACCAACATTCCGGCTGGTGTTGCTACCGGGGACAAGCTTGCGGCCCGGTTTTTTAATTTCTTGTAGCTCATCGTCTTCGTCCTCCCCTTCGAATATGTTCTTCTCGCGCTGCGCGCCTAATTTACGTTTCTTTGGCCTAGATTGTGCGTGGGTAGCCAGGTGGGTGACCAACGTAGAAGCTCCGTCAGCCAAGTCCCCTGTGTCTAATTTGTTGAACGGTTTCTGGGTGGCTTTCGGTTTGGCGTTGGCGATCGACGCCGGTGGTTCGGATGGTAGTCTTTGCGCGAGTCGGGGAACTGATTTACCCGCCAACGTCGGGTGATGCTGAGGTTGAGGATTATTGCTGTTGTTGGTCGGGCTAGCCTTGGAGAAGGCCCGGTTTGCATGAAGCTCGTCTGTGCCATCAGAACTAATTGGAGAGTCTGGAAGACCGCCTGTACGGTTCAGAAAAGGCGTTATTGAAAATGACGACTTGTCGCCGGGTAGCGCAGATGATTTCTTTTTCCTCTCCCGGGCGTGAATCGCCCCGGGCGTTGCAATAGTAAGCTCTGCGTTAAACCTTGAGGCGGTTTGTTGAGTAATGGGATGGGTTCGGCGAGTATGGTTACGAGGCTCCGTGTCATTCAGGCTTCCATGCGCCCGCTGTTTGTCATTTGAGCCTACCTGGGAAATGTCATTAGTTGAGGGTGGTTTTTGGTTTAGAGTCTCCAATCTTCTCTCTAGGGAGAGCCGTTGGGCCGTCCATTCGAGACTCTGTTGATGAAACTCCTGTTCACGGCAATTCCGCGCCTGCATCTCTTCTGCAATTCTTCGACTTTGTTCCTCCAGTCTTGCATTGAGTGCCGCAATCTCTTTGGCTTGCTGCGATTCTCGGGCTAATGTGTGCTCATGTACATTTCTTTCGTTGGCCATGCTCAACTCGAGCGAATTCAATTGACGCTCAAGATCTAGTTTTTCGGTCAATGGGATACTAGAACAATACTCCTGGGCCCTGAGCGCTTCCATCTCTAACTGCATGGCCGTGAGATCTTTTGAAAGACGGATGTTGTCCGCAACAACCTTTTGTGAGTCGGAGCTGGCGCTGGCTAGGGAGGCAAGCTTACGCTATCACCACGTTCAGGCTTAGCCATTTCAGAAAAGGGGAGATCGCAGGGTTACACACCTGAAGGCTTTCTATCTCGCTAGATGCGATGCGCGAGGCACTCCGAAGATGGTCAAGCTCGGCACAAGTCGCCTGGAATCGATAGCGAGTATCAGACTCTGCCCTCAAGGCTTTGCTGAGCTTGAGGTTGGCCTGGTCCAGCTGCAGCCGCAGGTTTTCGTTCTCGAACTGGAGAAATAACTGCTCGACACGCTTGACGCGCGTTTCCTCAGTCCCCCAAATTTGTGTCGTCTTCCCGAAAACATCCTGGAGCTCTTTTTCAAAGCGCGCTGTTCTAAGGGCCAGTCGACACTGTTGAATAGGGTTAGGCCACTGGTTTTTATCAAGTTTTTTCCCAATCACTGCGTTGGATTGAAATGCTGCACATACATCGTCTACAGTGCACTCCGAGTCATGATTATCCGGCTCCATGACAAAGGCAAAATACCGTGCCGGGGAATCGGGACTGTGTAGCCGTTGTATTAAGTAAACGCGCGCTCTATGTACACGTTGCTTTGAAAGGAGAAAAGGAAGGGATAGGGGGTGTGAGTCGGTGACAATAAACATACCTCGGCGACTCGGCGGGCGCCTCTGAACATCGGAAGGAAGAAAATAAGTCCGCCTTCCTTTGCTCAGCACGGAACTCCGCCGTTCTGCACCGTAAAGCAGTGCAGCAGCAACCGGGCCTACCTGGTATGTACTAGTGCACCCAGGTACCTAGTGGACACCTAATGTTAATATACCCCAAAGACTAATCTGTCGTCTGCACCACCGTCCTTCGCCGCAGTTCTCCGGTATCTTTTTACAATATTATCCCGTTCGATCGGCTCGTCTTCTATCTTTACTCTAAATCCCTAGTCCGTCACCGATCGTCACCGTGTATTGGAGCTTGCCATGTCAACATGAAGCTCTTCACTCCGATAGTGACATTCCTTTGGATGGTAACCTGCGCGTTTGCCGCAACCCCGAGTCCAAGCAAGTTTGAGAAGTACCTGTCACTTTCTCGCTCCGGACCTCTTGACTTGGACGATTCCCTATATGAGGACTTGACTTCGAAACCTCGGGACTATCATGTTGCAGTTATCCTCACTGCCACAGATGCGCGATATGGATGCATCTTATGCCGCGACTTTCAGCCAGAGTGGGAGCTCATCGCTCGCAGTTGGAGCAAGGGCTCGAAATCTGATGAGCTCAAGCTGCTTTTCGCTACCCTGGATTTCAGCCAAGGAAAGGCTACGTTTCAGAAGGTATGTAATTTCACTTGCAGCCTCTGTTGCTAGCAAACAAAAACTAAGGGAGTCCTAATGAAGTTGATGCTACAAACCGCCCCTGTCGTACTTGTTTTTCCGCCAACCGTTGGTCCTTTTGCCAAGGTTGATGATACCCCTTTCAGATTCGATTTTAGCGGGTAAGGGTACAAAGCAACAGCGAACTTTTTCTTCGCGACACGGAGTGAATTATCTACTGACCGTACCAGTCCAATTTCGGCCGACCAGCTGTACACCTGGATCAATCGACATCTGCCAGAAGGCTCAAAACCACCCCTCGTTCGCCCCATAAATTACATGAGACTAATAACTGTCGTCACGCTGTTGATGGGGGCATTGACTATGTTCACTGTGCTCTCTCCCTACGTTCTACCAATCATCCAGAATCGTAACCTGTGGGCCGCATGCAGTCTGATTGCTATCTTGCTATTCACTAGCGGCCATATGTTCAACCATATTCGCAAAGTACCATATGTTGTTGGTGATGGCAAAGGTGGTATCAGTTACTTTGCCGGCGGGTTTTCCAATCAGTTTGGGATGGAAACGCAGATTGTCGCTGCTATTTGTAAGTCTTGTCCCCTCCCCAGTCGAGGGAAGGAAAGAACGAATGGGCGGGAGCGCCGTTGGAATCAATGATGCTGATAAGTGGTCTTTGAAAGATGCCGTTCTCTCCTTCGCAACAATCGCCATAGCAATGAAGGTTCCTCGCATTGCGGACAATAAGGCGCAGCAGGTCGCCGTGGTAATCTGGGGAACCGTATTGCTTGGTATGTATAGTTTCCTCCTCAGTGTTTTCAAGGCCAAAAATGGCGGATATCCCTTCTTTTTGCCGCCGTTCTAGATCTCAGTCTCCTTGGGCTATTGAAGCGTGGCATACATACATTCTTGCGGAGATCAACAATGAGCTATCGATAGGTTTGTCAGTGAATCTTCTGCCCGAACTGGTGGATTTTGAATGTATTCTAGATTCTGGGTAGACATTTCAAGCTAGCAAGATACAGCAAATGTCTTGGAGATCCCTGTATCAGTCCGTAACTTAGCCATGCGTAGTCCAACATTTTCCATGCCCGGATGGACCGACCTTTTGTGCCACCGCCCGCCCCGCAGTACGTACTTGCTAGTACAGCTACTTCGGTACCTTAGCTACCTTACCGACCCCGACGTTGACTATTTCTGCTTTTTTATAGATAGTCACCAAAGACGTTGACGGGATCAATGGGCTGAAGTTTGTCCGCATATGTCAACATGCCCCAACCCGACCAGGATGTCGGCAATATATTGGCATCTTCAGCCACTGGTACCACGCTGTTGATCGCTGTCCAGGTGGCCTCAAAGCTGTTTACTTTCGTGTCAAACCAACTTATCCTACGGAACCTGCACCCAGAGACTTTGGGCATAGCGGCCCAGCTTGAGCTTTATTCCATCTCGATCCTGTACTTTTCCCGAGAGTCAGTCAGAATCGCCATTCAACGACAACCTTTGCGATGTGCAGGCCATGCTGGGGCCGTTAGCGAGGAGGGCGGCGGACACACGCAAATTGACAAAGCAAGCGAAGTCACGGATGTCCAACTTGTCGCCTCTCAATCAGTGGTCAATATGTCCTACCTGAGCCTCGGGCTGGGGATTCCGCTAGCCGTGGTGTCTGCCCTTTCTTACATACAAGTGGCTCCCCAGGACGTCTCTCGAGCGGAATTTTATCGCCTAAGCGTGCTTATCACCACTCTAGCGTCTGTTATAGAACTTTGCTCTGAGCCCTTTTTCGCAGTGGTACAGCAACATATGCTTTATAAAAAGCGAGCGGTAGTCGAAATGACTGCATCTTTTGCAAAGAGTGCCGCAGTGTGCGGCTCCGTTGTATGGGCTGCCCAAGCAGGCCGAAATATTGGCATCCTCCCATTTGCATTAGGTCACCTCTGCTATGCAATCACACTCACCTGTGGCTACGCTGTATCTCTACTAAGCTCTGCGACCCAATGGTCGTTTTCATTGCTACCGAAACTAATAAACGCAAGGTATGTTAACAGCGCAGCCAAGCGAACTCAAGGTCCCATATGATAACAAGGTCCCAGGGACAACTCATCCTACATAGTCGGCAGATTTCCCAGGCGACTGGTCTCATTGTGTGCAGCCATCTTTTTGCAATCCGTCTTAAAACACCTACTGACACAGGGGGATTCCATGATGTTGGCTGCGATGGCAAGCCTCCAAGATCAAGGTATTTATTCTTTGGCGTCCAATTATGGGGGCCTCATAGCCCGTATTGTGTTTCAACCAATCGAAGAAAGCAGCCGAGCCCTCTTTTCATCCCTGTTGAACTCCGGGAAGAGCAGGGAACGGAGCCCTAACACCCTAGGTACAGCCAGGGCACATCTAATCAACATATTGCGGGTATACGGGCTTTTCTCCGCTTTAGTTGTGCCTTTGGGTCCGTACATGGTGCCCCGAGCGCTCCACATCCTAGGCGGACGCAAGTGGGCTTCTTCTGAAGTTAACAGTCTGCTAGCTCTTTATTGCTACTACATACCATTTCTCGCATTCAACGGTATAATGGAGGCGTTTGTCTCATCCGCAGCGAGTGCTTCAGACTTGAGACGCCAAGCGCGCTGGATGGGTATCTTTTCGGCATGCCTAGCCCTAGCGGCCTACTTGTTATTGATAATTGGTGACTTGGGTGCTCGCGGCTTGGTATGGGCCAATATCTTCAATATGGGGATCCGGATAACATGGAGCCTCCTTTTCATCCGATCATACCTATGTCGCAATGACCATACTCTCTTAGCTCCAAATGAATTCATCCCGAGGCCACTTACTCTGATATCGGTGATCATAGCATCAGTTACGTTGGCCAGGCACGAGCAGTTTGATACTGATTTCCACAACATTATCAAGGATCTGGCTATTTGTACTGGTTATACTCTCCTGGTGTAAGTTGAACCTATCAGCAAACAACAATGAAGACTCTAATCTATATACAGCATGTTCCTTGAGAGAAGATTTCTTTTGGCGCAGATCAGCCAAGGCCGGCAAATGATAAGAAGAATTAAGTTCGGAGGAAAGACAGAATGACGTTCGTTTCACTCTTCAAACACGATCTTTGTGGCTGTTTTGCTGGAGTCGACATCCTTGAAGAAGGCGCCATATGCGCCATGTTGCTTCTTTTTGACAGTTGAACCGAATTTGAGAAGATCTTCTGGTACCTCTTGGTTTGCGGCCTTGAGAACGTTGATCAACCTGAGGAGATATCAGCTGGAAAGGTAATTGTAGAGGTTTCTATACGTGGTCACATACGCTCCTGATTGAGCTTTATCCGTTTCTGTAAATAGGGTGATAGCGTGACCCTCGGCTCCTGCACGGCCAGTTCTAAGGACGAAAGTCAGTCAGCTCATCAGGTACAGTGGGATTGAACATACCGGCCAATCCGATGCACATAATCCTCCACAGTTAGTGGGAATGTCACGTTAATGACAAGTTTAACTGCGGGTATGTCGAGACCACGAGCTGCCACATCAGTCGCAACAAGAACCGTAGCATTTCCAGTCTTGAAAGCATCCAAGCTTCTGAATCGTTCTTGCTGGTTCATATCACCATGGATACCCGCAACTCGGAATCCTTTTGCGCGAAGCAGCCTTTCAATACGCACCGCCTCCTTCTTGTATAAGCAAAATGCTAAAACCTTGTCCGGATTCGGCCCGCGCTGACACGGGTTCAGTAACTGAACAAGTCGAGATTCCTTGTCAAATGGTTTTACCACTTCCACGACTTGTTTTATGCGCGTGTTCGCGCGTGGATCGGCCGACGGATCCCCGCCGATAGTAACGGTCACCGGTGTGTTCATGAAAGTCGATGCAAGATCTCTCACGACAGGGGGCCAGGTTGCCGTGAACATGACGGTCTGACGGCGGGATGTGGGCATAGGCTGGATAATGTCCTTGATATCCTGTTCAAACCCCTTGTCAAGCATACGATCGGCTTCGTCCAGAACAAGGTATTTGACTTTCCCCAGGTCCACTGATCCGTCATTTTGAAGATCCTTCAGTCTGCCGGGTGTCGCAACAACAACAGCCGCCCGTTTTAGGTTCTGGCGCTGCTCATCCTTGTTCACGCCACCGTAAATACAGGCCAAGCGGATGTCAGTTGATTTGGTGTATTTCAAGAGCTGATCGTATATCTGCAGGGCCAACTCTCGGGTAGGAGACATGATCACGGCCAAAGGACGAGCGGGTTTGAATTTCGACTTGTTGACCAAGTCTTGCATCTTTTTTAGACACGGGAGGCCGAAAGCAAGAGTTTTCCCACTCCCAGTTTCCGCAATACCAATGACATCACGGCCGGCGAAGAGTAATGGCCAGGTGGTTGACTGAATGGCTGTTGGGGCGGTAAACGAACTCAGAGGGCTGTAGAGGTCACCATCATGAGGGGGAAGATGAGAAAATGACAAAATTGGACGAGGCGACTCCTTCTCGGGCGTGGTATCTGTTATCTTGATCGAATTCTTCTCGAGAAAATCATCGATCTCTGATTGAGGTATATCATCACTTGAGGGAACATCCCGCTTGGGATGCTCTTTCTTGTCGGAATGCCCGTTGCTCTTTGATTTTTTCTTTGCTCTAACCTGTGGGTTTTCTTCATTCTGGTGAGTGCGTTTCGCCATGTTTATCCTTTTTGCGCACAAAGTTGGTCGTGGTGTCAATTAGATTATCTGGAGCAGGAAAAGAAAGTAAGGTTTTCTTTTTTTTTTTTTTTTTTTCCTGCTTCCGGATAATTAGTCCGGAGTAGTTCCGGGCTTAGAGAGGTTTTGTCAGTCTTCACCGCCCAAAGAATACCAATTAAGATAGGGTACCTTATCTTATCGACAGCCATAGGTACGTTACCCACCTAGTTACGTACCAAAATAGTGCACCACCTACATATGGCAATTCAATGTACGTTGCAGTCAGTAGTACCTGGTACGGGATAGAGGTCCCAAAAGTGAAATTGGGAGACTACCTAAGGTAGGATGCGGACGGCGATTTGGTTTCTTTACTACATACACAATTGCCATAGCTGAGCTCAACATGGCTGGAAAAACTCCTCATGATCCGTGTTCATTATCGGACAATAAAACTGAACTCGCTTTCCAAACGCCTTAATCAACGGTGCAGATGATCTTCCCTTTGGTACAATTACTCTCAAGTAATTTGTGCGCATCTGCTATTTGTTCCAGACGAAAAACTCTTTCGACGAATACCCTGAAAGTTCCATCCTTAAACTTTGGCATTGCATGTTCCACCAGAAGGTCACGCAGCCTCCTCTGATACTCCAAATCTCGGCTCCGAAGTGTACTTCCTTCCAGTCTAATTCTTTTCATCAAAAGAGCGCTGATGTTGGTACCCGCGGGAAGGACTGACCCGCTCATCTGGCCCAGCTGTACGATGCGAGCATCTCGGGCGACAACATCGAGATTACCTTGGAAGTGCGCCGCACCAACGAAATCAATGACAAGATCAACACCTCGGCGATCGGTATCTTTCACAATTTCCGATGCCCAGTTTTGGGTCTTATAGTTGTAACCGGCCGAAGCCCCCAATTCGTTGACACAGAAGTCGATCTTTTCGCGCGAGCCCGCAGTCACATAAACCGCGGAGGCGCCGTCAGCTTTGCAAAGCTGGATTCCCGCTATAGAAACCGATGATGCCCCCGCATGCCAAAGAACAGAGTCTCCTGGCTTGAAGCCGCCGATCAGATACAGGGCCTGGGTAGCCGTGAACCATGTCTAAGGATTTCAGCAACCCTAATTCCGATCGTTCCAGAACATGCATGAAGTTGGCTCGCAGTCTCACCTCGGGTATCCCTGCTGTCTCTTCCCATGACATTTCAACAGGTTTGCGTATCAACATATGGGTCGACACAACTATATATTCGGCATAGGCTCCTACAAACTCGAGTGATCAGCGCTACAGCGGCCTTCTTGACTAAGAAGGCAAGGAAATTGAAGGGTATACCTCCATACGCTAAGCCAAAGACCTGATCGTCCACGGCAAAATCCTCCTCGGTATTTTTGCCGAGTTTTTTGATGATACCGGAAAACTCTACTCCCATGGTGCTGGGCGCCTGGGGAGGAACAGGGTACTTCCCTTCACGCTGCAAAAGATCCATTCGATTCAGACCAAATGCCTTGATTCTCACCAAGGCTTGGCCATCTTCGGGCTCAGGAACTGGTAGAGTATCGACGAATAGGGCATCAGCAGACCCTTTCGATCCATTCACACCTATGAATCATTAGAATTTCTTCGAGCATGCATTGGAAACCAGACCACAGTGAGGCAAAACACACCAACTGCTTTCATGGTGCCTGCCATGCGGGGCAGTACTTTCACAGTTGCCGCGGTAGAGACAGTACTGATACTAGTCAATATCAGAGTACTCCGGACAACACCGAGATTTTGGGCAGAAAGAAGCGAGGGGAACTAGTTAGGTTACCAGTCTATTAACTAGTTATGAACTAGGGCACTTACGTCACCATTTGATTATAAACTAGGTACTACTTCGTACCCACTGGGGCACTGACTAGGTAGCTTAACTACCTACGTGAACCATTAATGACCGTCAGTGGGTAGGCGGAACGCTACGGATAGTTGATGTACATTGAATTTGTCAGCCGTGACCACACAAGAACTCAGACCTCCCGAGGGAATTGATACATAAATTTGAATAACTTCTGGACGAGGCATTTCGAGAAAAACATGCTTGCTGAAGCTTACTGGACTATTTTACGTTCCTACTAGTATACGCCATTGATTAAGGGCTACTTTTCTCTGTTTCTTCTTTTCTCGCTCATAAGGATTGATTATGTTGAAATCAAGGCAGCTAGGGCTCCCAGAAACTAATCCACTCGACCCGGGGTCCTCAATAACCGAGTAATACTACACAACTTTCGATCAAAGCGTGCCAGCATAACATCCCAGGGGATAATGAAGGGTCATAAGCAGATTCTCCGCATTTCTACGGCCGCGTCAACAAAATTTGGCCAGTGTAAAAGGGCAAGAGAGTAGAAATCAAGCTTGAGAGCATATGCAAATTCAGTACTTCTAATCTCAAGATTCGAGATCCAGGCCTCAGATGCCATAGCTCTCAATCATATGGGCAAGGCGAGAGGCTTCCTCGGAGTAGTTGATGGGTTTTGCGGAAGATATTTGGTAGCGGATCCTAAAATTCGCAACTATTGTTAGTACTCGTACCGAAAGATCTATCATAGATAATCTTACCGCTGCTGATCACCGAAATAATCAATCTTCGCCCTGCATCTGAAATTCCAAGTCCTACAATTTGCATCTTGGAAGATATCTCCAATCGTCTTCTCGTTCTCATCTTGGCGCAATTGCATCACATGGTCGGCGGGGGCACCCATCATCGACCTGCCTACCTCGTCAAAGCAATTAAGCCAGAGATGGCCGGTATGGTCACTGACATTGATAAGCATTATATAGCGATACTCGGGCTTCGGATATGTTTTATCGCAGCGCTCGCAGCGCCATTGACCGGGATCAAGCTCCGTCACTTTTTTGTTGCACCCCTCTGAAAGACATGCTGGGTAGCACATGTTGTCTTGCTTGATATAGATCACTGTTGCCTTGAGTGAGAAATAAACTGCATCATCCGACATGCCCAGTTGCTCTTCGCGAACTTGTGCAACAGTTTTGAACTGTTCAGCTTTTGCCGTAGACGTGGTTGCTCCGAGCATAGACGCATGTGAAGTAAAGGCTCCAGCTCTGCCCTGGGCATCGTACCACCCCTTCAGCTTATGGGCCTCCTCAATGTCCGGGTCGACTGTCATTGAGCCTGAACTCAACAAGCTGAGACTTCTACCGCCAAAATCTGAGACTTTGACGCCTTTGAACGCCACGACAGATTCAGGAGCAGCATCAAAATTCATGGCTGTTGAGCCCCAGATCGTCAAGCGGACAGAAAAGCCTGTGTTATCGACCAGGGTAAGTTCACGTTTGTTGTATGGCTTGTTTGTGGTCTTTGAGACAATCTGAGAAGTCTCTCCAACCTCTTTGAGCACCCCGATCACATCAATGGTGCTATCCTTTTCAACAGATTGAAGATCGCCTATGATAGTAAAATTAAATCTGACTTGTGGAACGTCACTCTGATCTTCTGCCTAGCACAAAGCGTCAATACACTAATTGTGCCATTCGTGGGGGGCAAACTGACCTTCTCGACAATTGTGTCCCTTTCAAAAGTGAGTTCATAGTCGTTGTTCAGGTTTGTAAATTGCTTCTTGGCGATCTGAACACGACAAGGGCTCGATATGTAGTAGACGCTGCCCTCCTGGAAGATATTGTAGAGCATGTCACACTGATCGTTGAATCCAGTTGCACGGATCTCCCCACTGTCATCCAACAAGTTGACGCTAAAGAGTTTACCCTCGCCATTCCTGTTGTGCCAAGTTTTGATGTTCGACTTGCTAGTGCAACGGGCTTTGATGGTCCATTTATGCGCATATGGGGAAATTGCCTCGATCGGATATATGGTGGCATGTCCCGGGGCAACGGATGGTCGCGTCAGTGGTGTATGGTCATTCCCTTGCATTTGGGCACCGTGAGTGCTCGAGCCATAAAATCCATGGCTGGAGATTGTGGTTGGTTGAGGTTTGTCCTCCTCTTCTGATTTGCTTTCTAGGGGCTTAGGTTCTCCGATTTTCTCGGCTTCCCCAAGATCCTGCAGAACTTCCAGGTCTAGGATGATAAGAATCCTGCAATGAGCCCTGGTTAGCTTAGTCCTCGTATGGGAAAGTCAACGAGTCCCAACTTTTTGCCTTTGACCGAGTTCGCTTGGAAGGCCTTGAGTTTAACAAAGCACCCTTTCCGGAGGAGACCACTTGTGACAAGGTGATTGGCTTCTGAGTATAAATCCATTCAGGTTAGGGTCCTTTCTGTAACCTCATAAGATGTTAAGAGACATATTCACTCACGTGTCGCTAGCATTGTTTGGACATAGTTTGATATATCACTGAACACTGCTCTGTACCGTTCTGCATGATTTTGCTGAGGAGGCAAAGGCTTGATCTGAACGCATTGAACGATAGGCTCTGGAAATTGAGGTTTGGTTTCATCGAAGATGGCACTCAGAGATGGTTAGTTTCAGAATGCATGAAGAATGTACTAGGCAAAGTTACCTGAGAGCACCAACAGAGATTTGCGAGGCTGCTTCTGAGGCCATCGTGACAAGCGAGGGGGGCTGTGATTCAATAATTAACTAGAGACGTACGTCGCAACCAGGAACAGACAGGCTGATATTGAAGATGAATATTCAGAATAGCTTTATGTTCATCGAGGAGAAGATTTGATTGATGCTCGAGGATTGGACACCCCGACAAAACAATGGCAAAGCACGGCGGGTAGAGTAGAACGCGTGACGCCCTGCAATTGTCGCGGTCAGGACGCGTTGGCAGATGACCCCGCTTTCATTTGCAAGCTTCTGCCTGAGGTATCCATGTATTTAGGCATTATTGCCCGCTACCTAGGTAAGCGCCTTATCTGTAACGATTACCGGTAACGTATTCAACAGGCGAGTGGTCCTCACGGGCGAGTAGACCACCTCTGTATCCCATACTAATTCATCATCTTTTGAGCTCTAATATCTCAACCAAGCCTTAGCTAATCTATTGTATATTTCTTAAATGAGTATATTAAAGTACATGTAATCTTAATATCTAAATATTATAGGATATATATCTATATATCTCTAGGTAAAATATATTACGTTGTATTTTTGAGTAATTTAATTAAAACTGGTATTATAGTCTATATATTTGCTTATATATAGCTATAATGTAATTATATATTCTAAGAGTATATATATAGCTGTTCTTAATATCTTATTATAATTAAGCTGATGGTGGTCGAGATATTAGAGCTCAAAAAATGATGAATTAGTATGGGATACAGAGGTGGTCCACTCGCCCGTGAGGACCACTCGCCCGTTGAATACGTTACCGCATAGGTATTAGGTAAGATAAGATAAAGTACGTACATACATACATGGGTACTGTACATACGGAGAACATGCGCGCATCCGTGGATATATAGAGTAGATACATACAGCGCATTACATACCATACATCCACTCTAGCCGGGCTGTACAGTGGTACAGTACCTTACCGCTGATATCCAGTGCCCCACGAAACCCGACATTACGTTGTTGCCCCACCTGCATTCCAGGTACTTTGAACTTACTAACTCCAACAATCAAGTTAACTGATCAAGCTTCCACCTCCAACTTGTACCAGAACTGTGCCACAGCTTCGCGATCACGGTAGGAGCCCCCCATGATGGAATCTTGTATTCATGTTCACTCCAAAGGTTAGTGTTCCAAAGGACAAATAAGTTGTGATTACTCTGTATTAACGTCGCCACACAACAGAGCTGAAAAAGCCATCTGACTCGCAAGCTGTCTATCGCGAAGATTGTACCCAGTGTTTTGACTCTATTGTGCGTATTTGACGCTCCTTGTTAGACAGCCTCCACCTAATCAACAACTAGGACCACGAAGCTGGCCTCAATGTGTGTCTGACCTGCTTCAACGGCGGCTGCGCAGGAGAAAAGAACCATGGCCATCTTCACTTCAAGCGTTTTGGTCATCCTTTAGCGCTTAACATTAGAAGGCTTCCAAGAAAGCTGCAGGTAATCGAAAATGCCTTCGTCATGGATTTCGTTCCGGACAGGGAAAGCTAACGAGGGCAGCGAGATGAGCCTCCGCAGAAAATGTCGAAGCTTGCGATTGTTGAAGAGCGAGAGGAAGACCGTTATGACACTAGAACGCGCGTTATGTGTTACGCCTGCCTGAATTATGACGTGGATAAGTCTAGTGGCGATCTCCCAGCTGTGATAGAGGGTGTCATGAAAGCAATGACTTTCGCCAAAAAAGAGGAGGTTAAAGCCTGGGAACAAGAATTCGTACCATGTGAACATACTCTGTGTCTGAACCAACATGAGCCTAAACAGATTGGTTCTCAAGGTACGCCTCCAATCGTTCATTCTAATCAATTCTCTCCTTTAATTTTTAACGAATCCAGATCTCAGCCAGTGTTCGATGTGCGACCTAAAAGAAAACTTATGGCTTTGTTTGGAGTGCGGCAATCTTGGCTGTGGCCGGAGCCAGTTTGGTGGTATCGGAGGGAACTCACATGCTCTTGCGCATTCAGATATGACATCTCATGCGGTAGCCGTCAAACTCGGTTCGATAACTGCCGATGGAACGGCCGATATCTACTGTTACGCATGCAACGAGGAGAGAATAGACCCCGATATTGGGCCGCACCTTGCCCACTGGGGTATCAATC